CAGGTGTCATCACTCGTACGCTTCCACAGTATCCCACGTTTTCCGCCCGGACTATTGACTGCCTTGGGTTTGAAGACTATGGTCTCCTGGGGTGACTTTACGGCTAGACCCTGAACCGGGGGACAAGGTCTCAGATGCCCGCGGACAGGTGTCCCGCAGGTATTCGCTTCTCTCGCCGAGGTGCGGTCAACGCCCCAGAATCTGGATCGAGGGGATGATCGGAGCCGGGAAGAGGTCTGAAGTCCGTGTGGATTGGTTCGTCATTCAATTAGTTAAAGTTTGAAAGCCTTTACGAGGAATACTTTCGACTTCGGAAAGCTCACAGCGGGCAAGCAGGCCAAGCAGACATGGCAAGACCGCCAAGGGTGGCTCGCTATTCGTCTCTGGTGTTGGCGGAATGAGAAGCATGTTAACCGAATGCGGCTCAAAAATACTTTCAAGCCTCTTTCCCTCTCTCGCTTTCTCTTTCTCCCGACTACGCCCCATTCTGCGCCTCACCAGATCAGTCGAGGCTGACCAAAGCTCAGAGACACGACTAGCTCCGATTTGGGCTGTGGCGGCTTGCCGACTCCATGTCGGATCGGCCGCTAGGCCTCGAACATCCCTTTCAAGAATGTGTTGGGGCCGGGCATCATCACGTTTCGGGGCATGGCTCTCGCTTGGCACCGCAACGCGAGCCTTGCATTCTTTGGATGTGTAGCTGCACTCTTCCGCTTCGCTGGCGACTTGCCGATGATGGCAACGAAGCCTCTTGGCGCAAGGAAAAGCCGTCGTCAAGAAACGAGAGGAATTGCCGTTGAACCAGAGTTCTGGGAAAACAGATTCCGCTTAGATTTATGATAACCTCAAAGAGAGACCCCGACACGGCAGGCCATAGCTCAACAGGGCTGTGCTGGCTCTTGGTTGCGCCCATCACCTGAAGTTGAAGAATCGAGTGCTATCGATTGATCATCTCACAGAGTCAGGCAATTACGGAAGGCAATGGGAGGCTTGAGTCCTATGGGCCCATGGTCACAGATCATGTCCCCGAGCTCGAAGGCCTCTCTGTGTCGGACTTCCGACTTTGCCAAGTGTTTCTGGTTTCCAGTATGATGCCATGCGACCGGATATGGATAGAATCTCATCAGAGGCACGAAAATTTTCAACAAAACCCTCTCAAGCGCCCTGTCTCTACACGGCTGCCGGGCACACCTTAACGCACCCGGCCTCCGTCAGCTGTCTCCCACTCCCCGATCTTGACCGAAAACGTGTATACTCGCTTGGCAGATTCCGAGGTGTGTCATTTATTCGGCAATGACAATGCAGCATTCCAGAGGTGTGTTGAGGGGGACAACAAGGACGCCGGTTTTGTGTAACCGAGCTTATTATTCACACTGAAGAAATACCCCGTGTACGGATCATCCGCCTTCACGCCTGTTAAACAACGGTTTCCCTCGTTTTCGGCACTTTTCCGCTGGGTCTCCATGGCCTAGACTTTGCCTGTCTAATGAGTCTGGAACGTGGGATTGGGCAGTATCTGATCAACCGTCCTTGCTTACGCATCCGTTGAACGTGTAACGAGGCATATAAAGCATGTGGAATCCGGGACCCTGGCCATTTACAGTTTTGTTCTCAAGTCATTGACTAGGTATTTCTCGTGCATGCGTCCAGGCTTCTGAACCCTCACTTTCAGACTCAAGCCAAGACCACTCTGGATGGTGCGTCCAAATACATATGCAGGCATGTAGGCTTTCGTGTTGACATTTGTCATTGATCAAGTATTTTCAAACCAAATTCGGACCCCATTCACGGTGGTAGTATGTGCTGAGTAATTATGAGCTGATATCCTATGATTCTCCGGATTACCGGAGCTAAGAGGGCAAATTAACTTCAAAGTATCATCGTGTTCACCAAACACGTTAGTATGGGCAACAAGCGAAGAGTCGAAGGCTAAAACGCCATCAGCCGAGCCTGGATGACACCACTCTGTGTCCAGGGTTTATCTATATCCTGATCAGTGAACTTGACGGATTGTAAGCTCGATCCGGAAAACAGTGTGGCACTACTCCTTTGACAGCAGCTGGGCCCCTTGGGCGGTGGACGTCTATCCCTCCCCATATAGACTTTGTCAACTATTAGACCCCAGACCTCCTGCAATCCACCAATCTCATCGAGGCAAGCCTTGATAAAGCTAGCTTCCCGGCTTATGTTCTTCTGTGGGGGGTTCCGTGTTTGACGACTCCGTCAAGTACTTGATGATCACCCCGGCCCTCGATGGCCGTAGCCTCGGGGGTGAAGGTTAAGCTTTCGTGTCTGTCCGATACGATCGTGGAGAATATGCTCGCGCCTCGTCTAGCTCCCTCTCCAACCTTGCCAGATCTATGAACCTGGCCAAGCTCATGACAAGATGAAGTATCTCAAGATTAGCTAGGGAGGTGTTCTAGCCCGGTCTTTCCGTCACCTTCAGATGGTACCGACGCTGTTCAGATTGTAGCCATTTGTCGGGGCAAACGTACATGTACTTTATCAAGCTGCTGAAGGTCATATCCTTATCCATTCACTAGGTAACCTTCAGATCAGTATCTGGTGGTACGGATAATAAGTTTAGTCAAGCCGTAGACGTGCAGTCATTTTCCATTGCCGTGCTCAATTATCAGGCTACCTGACTCAACCGAAATATGCTGCCTGACACCACCCTTCTCAAGACCTTCCAAAGCTGACATATGTGTCCACACTCCAGAATACTCATCAGTCTTGCACAATACCTCAGGTGAGAGACTGGAGGGATGTTAGATTGAAGGTTTAGTCCAGACTACGCAAGGAAGACTACTCATGCGACTTCATTGTATCGTAGACCGTTTTGGGTAACGTTTCAGATATCGGCATATCATATCATCGGTATACATCTTGCAGAAAATCAAAAATGATAGATAACTTGGGTATCTCCAGAGGTCAAGGCTCGGTGAACGACAGCCATGCCGAGTGGATGAAGGCTGAAACTTCTGTTGAATGCTAGAGGGCCTCTAGATAGTAGGCTCTGTCTTTGTGTCCTTCAGCCAGGGCTTTGAAACGTGCTTAGAATGTATCAGTCGACAAACACTGTGGATCTGTGATTGATCATACTTATAGCATCTTCTAGACGACATACTCAATGATCATAAACCCTGTCTTGATATCAATGATTGTAACCAAAAACACTGGTACCAAGCTTCACAAAACAATCACATGACAAACATGGGCACCTCATAGATTATCGCCTCGTGGTCATCAGGGGTACATAGATGCGTTTGTAATCTGCCCAGTTCCCCACGGGATCACGCCGTCAGACTTCGAGCGTTTCGTCTGGTGTAAAGTTTCATTCACCTAGTTCGAAGCTGAACGATCACAATCATCAACTTCCATGTGAGGACTTGACTTTCCTAGTTGGATATTGCGGCTGACACAATTTGACGGGGGCTCCGCTATGCAATCAAGGGTTTTCCATTCGTAGGATCACCCCAAGTAATTATCGAACCGTCTGGTCAGGTTGAAAGCCATTCACGGCCCCATACTAATCACTTAATGTTACCATGTTAGCGGTAGTAGATCTTGCATTCCTTCTCCCACCCGTAATAGGTGAGAATTGCTGGGGAATGGTCAAGGATGGAAATACTGCCTCGAGATTGTCTCACTTTGAAGGATGATGTGTTGTTATTGTAGCAAATTGGGGTCCATTTTTGCGTTCATCCCTTCCCAGCCTGCCGGTAAACGTGCACTGCCCACGCACCCGAGGATTGTCTGAGCCCAGTTGGGGGCTATTGAGCTTGGGAAGTTGCGGTCCTCGGATAGCTGATGTACCCAAGGATTGATCGGAATTGAGACAAATCTCTCATTGTTGGATACCCTACTTTACCAAAGGGATACTGTAGCCGAGCGGCTGGGGAAGTAGCATAGTCATAGAAAGCTGTGAGCAGGGGGGCCGACTGAAAGAAAAGATCTAGCTTTAACGTAAATTTGTTATTGAGTCCATAAACAATGATTCGAAACCCGATTTCCTTGATTGACGAACTTATGTCGTTGTTTGCGTCTTCGGGTAGTCGCCAGTCACCTATTCTCGTGAATGATCCGGATGGATGATGGTTCCACTCGCTCAGGGTAAGTACGGAGTAAGGTAGCCAGCTCCAGAGCAAGACCCTGAACTCCACACGATGAATCCTTGCAACTTGGCGTGCGTATGGAGACGAGATAGGTGGGCCGATGGGATGTCGTAAGAGGAGCGTGACTAGCATATTCCCAGTGACATTCAAGAATTGCTAGGGCAAAAGGGAGGGTCAAAAAGTGAAATAGCTTCCCGCACTAGCAGGCATGGGCCAAGCCTTTTCGAATTATTCGTGAATCCAGAGTGCGCGGTAGTAACGTGACACAGCGGTTTTCAGTCTCAGAGTCTTCGGGTCTTTCTTGAGGGTCTTTTGGACCACTCCGTCATGGGCTACTCCCATGAGACAATATAGTGGCTGTTTCCCTTGATCATGAGTGGGTGGAGGTTGCACCGAGAGACAAGGCCCAGCCACGGGAGGGCAGACAGAGTGAGAATGAAAGTGAGAGGTGAGACTCACTGAGAAATTGAGAGTGAGACTGAAGGTGAGAAATGCCATGTTCCAAAGTACCATGGAGCTTGGGCTCCCACTAGACCCGCTACGGAGACACGTGCAGCTCGTTCCATTCGTCAATCATCTTTAGCGCCTTTGGAAAACTCAGACAGGCCACCGCGGATTGGCTGGCCGAGGAGATTAGTCATCGGCTGGTCCAGAATAAGCGGGTTTGCTGGCCGACGCGGGCTGGCCCTTTTTTTTTCTTGTTCGTTTTTTTTTCTCGGTGCAGCTGTTTGTCACCACCTCCCACCCCCCCGACCGTCCAACCACCAGGGAAAAAAAATCACAGCAGGTTGTTTTTCCAAACCTGCCTCACCGCCCATCGAATGTTTGTCCCCGCGTTCATATCCTCCCGGGATCTTCGGATGGAACAGGCCAACAGTCAACACAATGTCTTCGGAGCAAGATTATCAAGATCTTTTCGGTCCTCAAGCCAAGAGGGCCAAACGTGGTCGAGTAAGTCGATGGGGTCGAACCTTTTTTCTGTGTGATTCCCGTTCCCTGTACCGGGGTCTGGGTGACATGCCAGGAAAAAAAAAAAAAACTTCTTTGGACTTCAGCTAAAATTTTATCTCTTCTCTCTCGACGAAAACTGACCTGTTCCTCGAGCAACAGCTGCAAACCGACAAGTCCGCAAATGCCATTCGAATACGCGATAATCAACGACGTTCACGCGCCCGCCACAAGGAGTTTGTCGACGAGTTGCAGCGCAAGGTCCAGGACTACGAGAAGCGGGGGACCCAGGCCTCGTTGCAGATGCAAAAGGCTGCTCGAGACGTCGCCTTTGAGAACTCACGATTGGCGACCGAAAACACTCGTTTGCGCGCTCTGCTTGTTAGCAAGGGCGTATCGAATGGAGAGGTGGACGCACACTTGCGATCGTTCGATGACGAAGGCAGCAAAGGCTCGCCCACCGCGTCAAACACGACGACACTCGCTCCCATTCTCAACACACCCATTCTCCTCGAACCATCACCGACCCAATTGCCTCCGCTCCAGGAACACTTTGGCAAGGCGAGCTTTTCGTCCGAGACGGAAAACGAGCATCTGGCATCGAAGAGGAAATTTGGAGACTCGCTGCTCCCGCCGGTGCTTACCCTTACTCCAACTCCCGATGTCCAACAATCCTCCCCGCTAGACAGGCTCGCCGTGCTCGCCGACGCTAGTCTTAATCGCTCTTCCCAAACTGGCTCGGCATCCAACACTGTCTCGGAACCATCTAGGAGCCCTCATCCCTATCATCGTCGGAGTGAGACACCTCCCCGTCCCTTGGAATCCCATAAGCAGCTCCCACCGGCTGCCTCGCCGCTAGAAATGTCTTGCAATGCTGCGGCACGTATCATTGCCGATATGCAAGGACAAAGTGACGATCGGGCCACTCGATTGGCTTTGGGCTGCGGCGCTCAGGATGAAGAATGTTTTGTTAGAAACACGTCTGTCTTCCGAATGCTCGATCATCGATGATGAGACCAGCTCCAAACGGTCTACCAGCTCGTGACAGGCCATGGCTCCTGCGTCGATGACCCATGATATCCTGGGTGCTACCTGTACAACTCTACTCAGTTATTTTCGTCGCTGGTATGGATATCCCACGCAACAACAACGCGTGTGGCTATCTGAAGACGCACCAAGGGTTCTTTTTGCACCCCAAAACCGCCAGTTCATCACTTCGGAAGCTGATGGCAACGGTTGAGTGCGACTAGTGAAAACCTGTTCCTTAATAAGTGTTATCATCGACAAGCTTGTCAGGTCGACCTGATGCGTGCGCTCGCTTCTGGTGCGGAGGTATTGCCAACCACAGAGATCGAGGATAGGCCGCCCAAGCTGAGGGCAGTCTCACTAGCCATACGGCAGATTGACGGATCGTGTTTGAGGTCGACCACCTCCGCCACTCTCCGGCAGACATGCTTGGCTCAGATTGCGACCCTCAGTTTTCTCTGCCTCTAAGCGTCCGCATGCTGTCCAAGCCGTATACCAGTCGAATATCGATCAGCTGTATCGTTTACTGTGGAGAGTGATCGAATTTGAGGAAGCTTGCGGTGTGCGTCATCCTGTGATCGCTCCGGGAGCGCTCAGGAAGTGGCCGTCGATTTTCAACCGTTGCATTTCGGTGATGTCCCTGCTCGAGTCATCAGAGACTCCGCGCTGAAGGAGTCCGTGGACTATCGCTGGGTCACTGCACGAATACGCCTGGTTCGACTTGGGCGAGTGCACGAAGCTTGAATAATTTCAATGGTGAAAGATCCATTCAAGAGCGATACCATTCGAGCAATTGTTACCTAGCTGTCACATACATGTAATGTTATAATGTAAAAGGCCACGAAGCCATGCCCTCACCACTGCCTAAGCTGAGTTGCGTACTTGCGATTCCTCACAACTACATATCTGTGTGTGCATATGCCTAGCATTCCCCTTTCTGTTCTCGTCCAGTCCATGACTTCTACTCCCAGCTTGCTCGATCTACATTCGCTACTGCTTACTAGTCTGTCAGTCTGCTTCAGCATCCACTTTTCAGATGATGCGAATATATTAGATTTCTTTACACATCGAGATAGCATCATGTCGTTCAGTCAAGTTTCTTATTTACTCAGTCTCGAGGATATCATCCCTAGGAACTTCAAGACACGGGCTCTCCCCAGACATTTCACCAATACTTGGCAACACGAGTCCGTCCTATTCGGCAGGCTCGATAGACTGCACAAATCGAAATAAATCCGTTGGATCATAATCAGCTTTAATCCACTCCAACCGCCTCAAATTACTCCCCCAATACAAACGCACAGCATCGCTCGCACTAATCTGTGAATCAGGATAATTTGCATACATCCCCCACTGATCGCTACCCAGCCCATTGGTGATACTCTGCCTTAACCCCTGGAGTAGCGCGAATCCATCTGAAGGGTACGTCTGGCTCGTCGAGACGCCGTCCTTGAGCTGGAAAAGGAGCATCTTGTCGCGGTGGACGTAGGCGGTATCGTTGGTCTTGGGCCGCGCCACGGCCGAGTTTGAACCCCCATGGAAATTCATGTGCATGTACCAGGTCCGGGACGCGGTGAGACCACTCTTTGCAATGGTGTCGACGAGAGATTGGAAGGCTGTTTTTGTGAGGGCGGGGGTTGTGAGGCTTGATGCGTACGAGTTGTCGTGCTGTTTCATCGTGTCAGTGAATTTCCTCCCTTTTCCAGCTTCGTTAGGGTAGTATGGGAGGAAGGCTTTCGTTACCTCGTTGTACGTTGCCGTCGTCACGTCAATGTCCGTCACACCCGCATAGTGCTTGATGAAGTCAATCCATCCCACAGTCTTGGAACTAGACACCTTGGCGCCAATTTTCGCAAGCAAAGGTTGCACTGCCGCGCGAAAGCCAGCATCATCACCAAGATACGCGCCATTTATATAGCTCCCGTCATTGTTAAACGTCGTCGACATCGTCAGCTCGGCCGGCATAGTCTTTGCGAATTCCTGCGTATCGACCAGAACCTGTGGCAGCTTCGCCGTGTCCCAGACAAGATCGATGTCAAAATACGTCACCTTCTCGGGCGCGGCAAAGGTATCGAACTCGAGTTCTGCCACGATGACCATGGAGGAACCCGCGCCGCGGATGGACCAGAAGAGGTTAGGTCGTTCGGTCGCCGAACAGCGCGTGATTGTCCCATTGGCGAGGATGACTGTTGCAGCTTTGATCCAGTCTGTGGCGAGGCCGTAGGTATGGGAGACCATGCCGTGGCCGCCGTGCAAGGCGTGGCCGCCGACGCCGACACTGGGATACGCGTAAGTAAAGCCACGATGAAGCTGCATGAATGAACGAGTCCAAGACTCAACAATCAACTGAATAAACACTCACGCTGGGCATGTTCCATGAGATATCGCTCTCTTGCCCTGCTTATACAGCTCCGTCGCAACATGCCCTAACCGCGCACCAGCCTGGACCTTGGCTGTTCCATCGCTCGCAACTGTCACGCTGTACATGCGATCCAGATTAATCACAAGATGTCCATCTTCGCCGCCGTACCCGGCCGAGATGTAGCTGTGTCCGCCGCTCTTTGCACTGACGCTGATGCTATTCTTGGAGCCGCATGTTACAGCGGAAGCGATCTGGGCGTTTGTGGTCGGGACGGCGACGAGAAGGGGCTTGACGGGGACTCGGAGGTTGTATGGCGTCGGAGCTAAGGATGCGATGGGTACGGAAGCGGTGCGGAGGCAGCCTGCAAGGTCGTCGAGGGGGGCGCTGAGGGCGAGGGTTGCCTGAGCTAGGAGAGCTATTACGAGATGCATTTTGGCGAGTTATCGATTCTTATTACTCGCGTTGGATGTCTTCATGGATCAAGTCATTCGGGGGAACTTGTTTACTTATGAACTCTCCAAGGAGGCTCTACATCACGCCAGAGTCTTGGCAAATCTGATCATGCCCTCATTTTCTCATACAACCTGCGCCGAGTCTTCCTTCCGACCTGGGATTTTAATCCTGTGAGTAGCTGGATTGCCTCAATTTATGATTCTCCTTCGGTGGTCGCAGCCGACTGGGCGAATACGCACACCTGGTCTGGGGGTTCCTGTCGTTTCCCCAGTGTGGCTGCATAGCATTCTCACCCCGTCCCTGCGAGAACCTGCAGGTCGGATGCGGTGCATATCAGCTCGTGTATGCGCGCCTCAGCCCATGAGATTTCGCTCATGTAAAAGTTAGTAGCGATCGTTGAAGGACATTCTGCAACTCATCCAAGTGACTGCTTGAGAGCCTTAGCTGAAGCAAAGCAATATTGTCTGGCCATGATCTTGCCGACAAGATTGATTTACGACACGGTACACGTATGCAGGTTCTAAAATAAACCCCTTAGAAATTGATCAAGTCTAAGCTCAGGGTTGAGAAGGAACAACTTTTACCCTTAATGTTAGAGACTTTCCTACGAAACCTGTGCCCGAGCAGGGCACTGTTAGTCCTAAATTTCATCCGAGGTGCCTTAACTAAGTATAAATTTCTAACTTCGACTTCAACTATCTCAATATCACTTCACTTGGATCTCCAGACTTTTACATGCTCCAGATTGCGGCAGGCTGGATGCATCTGCAATGCATAGCCTCACTACAAGCGCCAATGGCCTCCAAAATGCAAACCAACAAGTCCCAGGCTTCTCATCAGGCTGACTGACTGGTGGACAGTCGACCTCCAGAGGAACATTTTTCAAACGTTTCAAGACTTTGCATGTCCCCCATAGGATTGGCGATCAATCAACACTTAATTGTGGTGTATCACAAGTACCGGCCATCGATGCCCAGTATGAGTTCACCATGTTCGCCAATTCCACCTCCACGAGCGGCTTACATACCAAGCAACAACACCGGTAGAGCCCATGATGAAGAAGCTGGGAGCGACTCCGTACGCCTTCAAGATTATAACCAACCCTCATCGTCTACTCATCAACTCAAAACAAACACGAGCTATCCCATGTCTTTGCAATCCCGTGTCTCAATTTTTCTCAACCAACAAGTTGTTACAGTAGACGTGTCAGGACACAAAACCACCATCCAACTGCCGTGGTTCAAGGCTTCATTAACGCAAGGGACCGAGTTAGTCATGAGCTTCCATTAATTGAACATCGCCTACACCCCGCAGAGTCCGTACCAGGAGTTGCCGAGCAGCGACAGTCCCCCACTGGAACCTCTGACCACCCAGCCAGGACAAAAGAGTCGCCAGAGACTTCCCATATAGCAGTGCCTTCTTCAGTCACTGAAGGACTTGCCGGTCTCAAGAAAAGAGGCGGTCGATCGAAAACTACGAGAAAGGTACCCGGTCCGCCACGTCCAGTCGTGCAACGTAGGAACGAAATAAATGAAGTTCTTAAGCCACTTTTCTCCAGCGCCCCGTTCATTCTGATCTGCGAGGGAAATGAACAGGATGCCTTGATCTCTCCGGTCAGATTACCAAATGAATTGGATTTAGTCAGCTTGTGGGCTACTCTGTCTGGAGTTGCGCGGCAGCGTGCTTGGGGATGGAAACGACTGCTAGGCCCCGAGAGACTTGAGCTAGTCAATGTAAGTGGATGTCTTATAGTTTTGGATATGGAACCACCAAATCCAAGTTGCGATCCAGATTGTTGCTGACTTTGAAATCCGAAGCTGAGAATCGTCGACCGGCACGCTCGTAGACCAGGTGCATTCCGGGGACAGTTCCAGATCGTCAACATTGCCAAGAGAATCGAGGAGCTCGAACAGATAATCAGCAAGTATGATTATTACATGACTGAGCCATCGAATCCCGACGCGAGCGAGTACTGTTGCTACCATGACCTAGAATTAGACAGTGTCATGCATGGCCCCAAGATCTGCGAAGGGGAATGCGGAGATGACTACACAGGACCCAAACACAGCTGTTGCGATATTCAAACGCATGTGGACAGGTTGACAGAGCTTTCAAAGCTCAAGATGGCCTCAGCCTGGCACATGATCCTGGCCTATCCAGAGCTAGCCGCGGGAAATGATTTGCTTTACGATAAATGGATCTATTCCTCCAAGTGAGCAGGTTTTTGTTGTCTTTGCTGTCATGTGATGATAGACCTTACTTGCTGACAACTTCTCCAGAGACGTCATACCACCTATGAAATCTGCCCTGTTCTGGGCAGTGGCAGAAATTGAGTTCATCGGCTTCCGCATCGTGGAATGGCCCTACATCAGCTTAAGCACACTATCTATGACTGTTACGGTAGGAAGCACAGTGGTTTTCGGGCTATTTGCCATCCTTTCCCAAGCCATATATCGTGACTGGGGAGTCGCTTATACGGCAGGTGCCTCTTTCGTCGCCTTGGCTGGGGTGTTGACTACCTGGATCGCTTGGACATCGACAGGGTGATACCGTCTTTACGACCGCCTCAATCTCGAAGTCGTCTATGCCTATTGTCTCTGTCTGATGCTACGGAGGGTATATGATTGGAGGTGGTTCTTGTGTTAATGTGGGTTCAATGTCGGTCATGTCTCTTGAGTTAGTGAAGCACAAATCGAGAAGGGCACACTAGAAAGTGGAAGCTTTGGTTCGCCCTCCTCGGTAAGGAAGAGAGAGCCTGGGTGAATAAGCCTTTCAGGTTTTCATTTTCCATAACCAGCAATGCTCCTTCTATTTGTGTCCAAGTGCTAGTAGACGCACGTAACAATCTTTCGGCTTATACGTCAAACCTTCCCTGGCACCATAGCCAGACAACTCTCTCGGGCACGGAAGAAGCTGAAAGTTCCACACAATCTGCGCCAGAATGATTCTCAACTCCAAGTACGCCAGCCTTCTCCCGAAGCAGCCGCGAGTTCCCAGCCCAAAGGCCAGTTGGGGCCCTGCCTGTTGGTCAAACTCCAAATCACCGGGGACGCTAGATGACTTGACGAGCCATCTCTCCGGCTTGAACTGCCCAATATCATCGTCATCCCACGCCCGGGCCTTCGCACCTTGGCTGCTCTGACTGCGATTTGATTCTTCGACGTCGAATGCCGGCTTCATCATGCTGTGGCCCTTATTCAAGCACATGACCACCGTTCCCTTGGGGATGTGGTGCCCTAGCAGCTCAGTGTCACAAGTTGCTTCACGGTCAACTAGTGGCGTTGCGCCGCCGCATCGCAGGATTTCTTCCACTGCAGCATCAAGGTATGGGACTTTTGTGTTCCCTGCAATCTCCTTGACCGTCGGACTGCGTTTCTCGACGACGGCATCAGCAAAGGTAGCTCGTAGAGCTTCGCGCAAGTCGGTCTGCTTCTGGGGGTTATCCGCGAGGAGTTTGATGCCCCAACACATGGTGGTGCTGGTTGTATCGTGGCCTGCAACGACTACTCCAAAGATCTGGCACATGTGTTAGTTGACGGATTGGAGCTTGCCTGCAGGTAGTCCGGCACCTACCTCGTCAATCATAAACTCGGAAAAAAAGTCCGGAGCCCTGCCCTCGCTCTCTGCAAGCTTCTTTTCTCGAAGGACGACAAGCTCAACGGCAGAGAGGACCTTGGACTCCTCGTCGCCAACTTCCTGTAACCTCTTCAACGCCTTATAAATCTCCTCTCGCACGTATGTTCTCTTGACATGGAAGACGCGACGTAGCGACGGGAGTCTCTCGACAAACCACCACTTTATTCTCGGAATCGGTGAGCCTTGAAGGTATTCGATCGAGTTCGCTACGCCGAGCGTCGCCTGGATCTTTTCGTCGCAATCTCCCGTTGGAAATACCAAGGCCTCATCGCTGTTGGGACTCGAACCCCGTAGGCACTTGATATCCTCCGCACCTAACCCCTTGACGAGGTCCGTCGTCGGGCGTAGCGCGCTGCTAGGGAAGCTGCCGCCAAACGTAAACGTCATGACGGCGTCCAGAGAACCGTAGTAGATATCCAACTCCGCGGAAAATGGTCGACCCTCTGCGATCCGCGCCTTATCGTCCCACAGCTGAATGAGTCTCGAGACCCCTGCATAAACCGTCGGTGCCGCTACTTCGTTGAGGAACTGCGGCGACATGAGGTCCTGGAGAAGCCTGCGGTGCCTCTTCCACTCGTCGCCGGTCTTGAGGTGAATGTGGTGGTTGCGTCCTGCACCCTCGAGGAGGTCGGCATCGAGAGACGATCGGTCAAAGTCCTTTCGCCGCATGAGGATGTCCTGGGCTTCCCGGAAGTCGGAGAGGATCAACAACGGCTTGCCGAGGGGACGGACGAAGACCTGGAAGAGTGGCGATTTGAACTTGTCCGCCTGCTCGTTGACCCAGGCATTGAACTCGCCGGTGCGCTTGATTCCATCGAGAACGGAGGGGATATCTCCCAGTATGCGCTTCGTCGCTTCCGCATTGTAGGGGATTCCGGCGATCGGCTTAGGCAGAGCCCAGTTGTACAACAGATAGAGGAGAACTCCTGCTACAGCAAGGACGGCAACATGCAATGCGGAGGGGGAGAATGATATTGTAGTAGCATGTTCGTCGCCCAGAGTCCGCCCAGGTAGTGCGGTGCCCAACATCGTGGGCGGATGTGGGAGGTTGTCGTAACGCAAGCCCAGGGACACAGGTGCAATGACGTAGGCACTCTCACTTCACACCTGAGTGAATGCAAATGATCCAGCTGGCTACACTACCTTTATAGAATCAAAGCTTCCGTGCAAGGAAGATAGTAATAGCGGGTTCGGGATGGATCCTCGGCCGTGACCCTCTGGTAGTGTAGGTGTTCCCCGAACTACGTTCACAGTTCTGAAGCCCCCCAACGATGAACCAGGTGCCTGGAACACGGTAGATGGCCATCACCGATTGCGGCAGATTACTCCACCAGGGCAGAAGGGCAAATATAACGGATAGAGTATCATCAAATTGGGCCCCTGGCGAACGTCTTTCCCGACACGGCAACCGACTCGCGGGCGGGTTGGGTGACGGGTCGAGAGATTCAATGCCGGGTAAGGATGACCCCCGTAAGAACCATCGCGGTTCCCCGCAGGGTTTACACTGGCACAAGCTCTATCGTCCAGTTGACGGGGCGCCAAAGCATGCTGAGGCACGCGAGCCTCGGGAACTTTGGCGTGGTCTTAGCGTGCTATGGCGTGCCACGTTCCTTTGACGATTTGGGTTGCCTGGATAATGGATTAGCAGCAATTGACAGGCCTTTGTCTGGTCAGAGATTGCTCCAAGAGGCGTCGCGCTCATGGCTAATTTACAGATATGAGGCTGAAATGCCAAGGGAAAAGCGGCTCGAGGCAATCTTTGGCACTGTTTGGTTGGACGACCGTGGATGGATTCGGATAATAGCCTGGCACGCCTGGGTAACCACAAGCGATTCACATTCGAATACCTAGCAACCGGGGGCTGAACTCGCCTGAGCCCCGCGATAGCTTTAGCGATACCAGCTGCTCCACCACATGGATGTCTTAGATTGTCTTTGTATCGATGGATTGACGAACCAGAAAAAGCAAAGTGGCGGTCAGCGAGGAATGGGATGAGAAATGATGGATGATTGACCTCAGGTACAACCGGGACTCCGGGAGTCGTCTCAACTTTGTGCGCACAGATATTCGAGATGCGGCACAACTCCCTCCAGTGACAAACAGTCAAGGAAACATCTTCAACCACATCAAAACGTCAAAAGAGAAATCCTTGGTGGATTTTAACCACTGTAACTCCCCGAGGTGGGCTCGAACCACCAACCTCCAGATTAACAGTCTGACGCGCTAGCCAATTGTGCTATCGGGGATAAGCTCAAAGTGAACTAGAAGGATGTTGTTGACGTCAGCAGCCAGTGAGCAATACTATCAAAGTGCAGTTCTAGTTGGGTGGGGGGTTTGGTGGGTTTCCACCGTTGAAGTGGGACAATTTGGTGTCTGACGACGAGGGCCACGAGCACTAGCGTTTCAAGAAAGCTGGAGTGGAGAGGTGTTTGATTGTTGGGGACAATGAGAAGTGTTGCAATTGCCGGTTTAGAGCTTTAGTTCATTCGGCCATGCCTAGAGTAATTAACAGTGCTGTGAGTACAGGTAGGTTGAGAATGGACCGGGATGGTAAAACCGTTCATCAGCACACTAGACTGTAAGATATCAGATTACAGTATCAGTTGTCATGTTTGCTCTTCTTGGAGTGAGTATGGTTTCCTCGGCGATAACTTTGCAGAGTCCTGATAACCTTTTGACCATAACCAACGACAATCAACGCGCGATAAGTTGCCGGTGGCTTCCTGACTCTGCGGTCATTGTTGTGGAAGACCCAATGACAGAAACTGCTATGTCCTGCCTGCACGAGCCAAGAAACCGTAGTCGATTGGCAGATTGCACCACACTCGCTTCAACAGTTTAAGAGCTCTCCCCGCTGGCACTCATGAAATCTTTCCTCTCGACCTGCGCATCCCAGATTGACACGTTAGCAAACATCCGAGATGAAGTCCTCGCTTCGAATCGAGAGTCAAGGTTGAGATACCTTGAGTGCTTTCTGAACACCGTTCTCGTCTCCCGTGCGAAAATCGCGGCCTTATTTGCTTACCAAGTTTTCGTTGAAGAGAGTTCATACAGATTGGGCATGGGCAAGGAACACGGAATCTTCGATTGCATCTCAATGCCGCAATGGTTCCCCCCGCATTTCCCTGGAGTACCAGCTTTCGCCCGCCAAGTGTCGTCCCCCACACTCCCCAGGACCCCGCAAGTCAAGACGATGGCATTTCAACAACGCCCGTCAGCAATGCCAGACACTGGACAGGAGCTACTTTAGTAGCAACCTGTGCCTGGTTGACTGATTTCAGATTCTAGCTGACATGTTGTTTTGCGAATGTTATAAGATTGGGACAATGGTCGGTTGCTCAAAGCCACTCTCGACCGGAGTGAAGGTAGATAGACTGGAATTAACCTGAGGCTGGCAAATCGCAGGACGAATATAGCTGACTTGTCTCTCTTCTTTCAGAGGACATGGATCTCCGGAACAACATACGCAATGTGTGGAATCTGCGGAGTATCGAACGTGCGGACCTTTGGTTGCTGAAGGCACCGGTCGGCTCCCGGCAATCTCAACCACCGACAGTTCGGAAAAGCCGAAAAACAAGACCTACCACATTACGCATGCTCTTGTCGTCCTTGTAACAGTGTTCGCTCAACCTTTGACTTATCACCTAGATCGCCAAGCATAGTTTCCAAGATTCATAAGCAAGCATCACTTTCAGCAAAGGAACATGCTCAAACCACAAGCCAACTCGACTCGAGACGTCGTCTCTTTAGACGGCATCTGGAACTTTGCCATTGCATCATCGCCCGACATTGACGCAGATGCACCATGGGATAATCTCTTGCCACCAAAGCTCCAAGTACCTGTACCTGCCAGCTACAACGATGTTTTTGCCGATGAGAAGATACGCAGTCACGTTGGTTGGGTCTACTATCAGCGCCAAGTCACGATACCTCACGGGTGGTCGCCCACGGATCAGAGATATTTCTTGCGATTTGATGCAGCAACACACCGCGGACGTGTCTACGCCAATGACAAGCTGGTCGCTGATCATGCTGGCGGATACACCCCCTTCGAGGCAGACATCACCGGCTTCATCAAGCCCGGCGAGAGATTCCGCCTTACTGTGGCCGTGAGCAACGAGCTAAGCTGGGAGACGATTCCTCCCGGCAAGATTGAGGCCCTCGCCAACGGCAAGCGAAAACAGAACTATCAGCATGACTTCTTCAACTATTCTGGGCTTGCACGATCCGTGTACTTGTGTTCGAAGCCTGCCGTGTCCATCAGCGATATCACTGTCGTAACGGACGTCTCTGAGTCGGGAGCAGGCAAAGTTCAGTATCAAGTTCAGACTTCGCAGCCAGTGGGAGACGACAAGGTCAAGATCTCTGTCCTTGACGAGGGGGGGTTGACTGTGGCTCAGGCGAATGGGACGCAAGATGAACTGACAATCAACTCGGCGCATCTATGGCAACCTGGCGCGGCTTATCTGTATCAACTGCGTGTAGAGATACTATCAGAATCTGACAAAGACGATGTTCTCGACACCTACGAACTCCCCTTCGGCATCCGCACAATCTCAGTCAAAGGCAACCAGTTTCTCGTCAATGGCAAGCCCTTCTACTTTACGGGCTTTGGCAAGCACGAAGACTCGCCAATCCGCGGCAAGGGTTTCGATCCGGCGTATATGATTCACGACTTCCACCTCATGCGCTGGATGGGAGCCAACTCCTTCCGTACAGCTCACTACCCGTACGCTGAAGAAGTTCTCGACTACGCCGATCGACATGGCATCGTCGTCATCAACGAGACCCCGGCGGTGGGAATCAACCTCGGCATCATCGCTGGTGTCTTCGGGCTCAAGGCGCCTTCAACGTTTGCTCCCGACGCATGTAATGAGAAGACGCAGGTGGCGCATGATCAAGCTATCAGAGAGCTCGTGGCGCGGGATAAGAACCATCCGTCGGTGGTGATGTGGACGGTCACCAACGAGCCTGCGTCTGCGGAGCCCGGTGCGAGGGAGTACCTAGAGCCGCTGGTCTCGTTGACCCGCGAGCTGGACCCGACTAGACCAGTGTGTTTCGCAAACATGGGTTTTGCTACGTTCGAGAAGGACCTCGTGACAGACTTGTTCGACGTCATCTGCTTGAACCGCTATTATGGATGGTACTCCCAGACAGGCGATCTAGAAGAGGCTGAGAAGGTTCTGGAGAAGGACTTGCTTGGATGGCAGGCCAAGTACGGCAAGCCCATGATCATGACAGAGTACGGCGCGGAAGCTGTGGCGGGGCTACACGCCGTATGTGACGTTCCATGGAGCGAGGAGTACCAAGGGAAGTTCTTGGAAATGTTTCACCGAGTATTTGATCGGATCGATAGTGTAGTTGGAGAGCACGTTTGGAACTTTGCGGATTTCCAGACGACTTCGAGTATCACCCGCGTGGACGGAAACAAGAAGGGTGTCTTCACGCGGGACAGAAAGCCAAAGGGCTCTGTGCAGGTTTTGAAGGCTAGGTGGACGGCTATGCAGGCGAGGGATGTATGAATAAGTTCATGGAAGTATCAATAGACTTGGAAGCATTTCCCATCTTATAATAGTAACCGAAAGAGTGTACGAGTGTACGAGTAACAATCATGCTAGCTGGTCCGTTCGAAGTCCGCTTCGGCGCAGCCTCCGTCAGCCCCACACGGAGCCGAGGTACAAACTTGCGGCCGGGGTGACTAACCAGTAATAGGGGCTGCCGAGGCACCCCGCATCTCATCCTAGGCTCAGAACTACGAAAGTAGTTGGAACGGAATCAATATCAGAAGAGTGGCCGCTTCTTTTTAACCATTTCGTTCTTTTGGCTGTATCATATTCGTGAAACTACACAGTAGTAGCCATGGCACGTCTTCCTTATCCCGATATCAAGGGGACTCCCCTCAACATCTCAAAGCTTCTCGCCCATAGCCCCGCTACGGTCAACCACTGGTCGAAAATCGCAGGCGCTCACTTCAAAGATCTTGAGCTTTCCTCCAAAAACCGAGAGTTGGTGATTCTTCTGAGCACAGCAAAGTTCCGGTCCACGTACGAGTGGACGCACCACAGCGCGGTCTCGGCTAAAGAGGGTGTCACTGACGCCCAGCGCGAGGTGATTGCCCAAGCTGCAAGGCAGAAGGGATACTTCTCTGGTCAGGGGAAGCTGGACTCCTTGGCAGAACTATTCACCCCGAAAGAGAAAGTCCTTCTGCATTTCATTGAGGCTGTCATCGACGGACCTGAGGTTGCGGACGAGTTGTGGGCGAAGGCCAAGACGGAGTTCTCTGATCGGGAGGTTGTGGAGATGATGACTCTGCAGGTTGGTTTTCCGATCAAAGTTGCTGGATGCGGATGCTAACTAAGTCAGGGTTTCTACTACACTTTCTCACGCCTGACAACTGTCTTGAATGTAGAACTGGAGCCTTTCGCCAAGCCATCTAAGCTCTGAGGAATGTCTCTGGGTTCCCCTTTTGGCCGTGATGGTGGTTCGCCAACACCAGGGCTGCACATCGGCAGGACATGCATCCGTGCAACATCCGTCACAGAATGCTGATCACGGCTTGGCAGTTCTGGAAATATCTAGAAATTACATACAATTGTCCTTCAGGGCGCAGTGACTGCCTGTAGGCCGTGGTCTGTAGCAAAAAAGCTGTGGAAATTAGACATTGAGATGGATTTTACAGCGAAAGGAACATGTTTTTAAGTGTTTTAATCTCTTTTACTTATTAGAGCGTACTAAGTTGTACCGATACATCCCCAATAATTAAAAATGGCCAGCACTTGATCAGATCATCCGAACCGGCACACAGCGCCTTTTCGTCTCGTGAAACTGTCATGATCATCGACTCTTTTCCCTTCCTTCTCCTCAAAGTCTCGTAAGGTCTCTACCCTCACAGCCTCTGTCGCTGATTAAAGGCGATTATGCGGTGGAGGCGTCGAAGTCAAGGGCGGTGGAGGCATTGCCAGCCTCGGCCTCGTCCTGAGAGATGTTGTTGTCGAGCTTCTTCTGCTCGGTTGCCATCTTGTCGGCGACATCCTCGCCCTGAGCCGCCTGAGCCTGCAGCTTCAGCATGGTGGCGGTGAGCTTGAGGACCTTGTTCTTGATCTTGCCGCGCTGGAGGGCGTCGGCCTCCTCGCCGGTGGCTCCCTCGATGGCAGGGTTGAAGGCCTCCTTCTCGGCATCGTTGGCGATGGAGTTGACGCTGTTGAGGAAGTCGAGGTCGGCCTTGGCGACGGTGCTAAGGTCGGTGGGGAGGCCGGAGAGCTTGTCGAGAGCCTCCTGCTTGGCGGTACCAGCGGTACCACCGCTGATGGAGAGGTCGTTGAAGGTCTGGGTGGAGAAGACGGTGGCCTGGCGAGCGCCGAGAGGAGCGGCGGTGGCGAGGGCGGCGAAGCCGAGAGTGATGACGGAAGAGAACTTCATATTGAAAGTCGAAATATTGTTCTTTGAGAAGTAGTCGATGTTGTGAAAGACGAAAAGAGGGACACGGACCCGGATAAAGTTGAATGAGTGATCAAGATGCGTTGGAAGAGATAGAAGACAGCACAGCTGTTGTAGAAGAGAAGAAAGAACAAACAAGGTTGTAATGATTGTGAGCGTGATGAGGAGAGGAAAGAAGAAGCGGTGCTAAGAGGAAGATCGAGCTGATCTTTATAGAATATTTCGGACGATCTGCCAGTCCGTTCACATTAGGTGATGGATGTTATTGCATCGATGCATTGCCATGTTTGCGTCTCCATGTTACGCCATCCCTCATTCCCCCTTGTCATCGTTCTCGTGATATGACGCCCTCAACATCGCCCCTGGGCCTGAGTGCCCAGCTGTCGCAGTTGCAAAGAACTTCAGGCCAGGGCCAAAAGTAGGTTACATGCGGCGGCCAACATGGGATGACATGGGGCGTTCGAGACGGGGCGGGTTGAGACGGGGCGGGTTGAGACGTCAACGTCGCGAACATTCTTGATGACTTTTCGCAGCGATGGATAAGATGGGGTTTGGAAGCGATGGCGACTCCGCGTCGAAGGAGGTCTGAAGTTCGTGACGCATGGGTGCGATGAAGCTGCCAAGCTGTTGCGGCTGCATCTCCTAGGCCTGATCGGGAAGCCACATTACGACCGGATCTGGTGAGAAGCGACAGGGAAACCCCTGAATAGGCGCCTGTCGTTACAACTTCGAGCCTCGTGAGGCTCTTTGTGGACATTGGCGGTGGAGGGGGGCGGGTTGGGGCTGTTGAAGGAGGCGAGGCGGAGTATCATCAACACAAGAGCAGGGGGGCTTGAAAGATGGGGCCGGAGTGATCCAGCTGCTCGTGAGCCCAACCAAGCCGGAATTGCCCACCGAACCTCGACAGCATATGGTAAGTATCTGCGTGTGTGAGCCAGGGTCTCGGATCTCTCCATGTCGTCTCTTCGTCGGACTCTGCGGTAGCTCACTGAGAATCAAAGATTGTGCCCATGACGGCGGCAAAGCTCCGAGGAAATCGACCCCACCACCATCCATCCCTAAGGAGAGTTTCACGACCCCCTGTATCTTACTGCCAAGCTTATTTTCCAGACGTTGAAGACCAATTTTCGAACGGCAGCAGCTTTGGCCGTGCCCACCTCTGCCGTGCTCCTCCTTTGACACCATGTTGTCAAGAGAGGAGGATCGTTCGAGGACGGGCGCAATTCATGGGGTTTGAGCAAAGTTGAAGATGGGTCCTGATGATGCTTGTCAACCAGGCAGAGATTCTGCTCGACGATCCCCTGGTGATCCCAAACACCACAACCAAAAAAAAAAAGAGTCTTGGAGTTCGATCTGCCCTGCTTGACTCGTCTTCTTCCGAGGCTCTTCCTATCGGATATCTAACTCATCCCATCTCTTCGCCCGTGTCGCAAAAATTCTTTTGACGTCGGGTATCGTGGTATGACAAGTGTCACTGGCATGACTCTCAGCTCACATGTCAAGCGGCATGTGGCCATGGCATGAACTTTCATTCCATTGTTTGGACGGAAACGAACTCTACCGAAGGTTTTCTTACACACTCAATAATTCAAGAAATAAGTTATCTGCTTGATTGGTTCCACCTGGAATCTTAACGTTGGGTGCTGAGATAGCATGTGTCTCTGTGCGAGGGTTCGCTGCAGGCTAACCTTAACAACAGATCCCCCAAGAGACAGCCCGCTACGAAAACAAAGTAAATACGCTAGAGACTGACCTGCAGTCAGCGCTCCTAGGTCCCCGGGGCCTGAAACCGCTTCATCGTCCCCAGTCTCCCAATGTCACCCACTCAAGTTTAAGCGCTGCGGGGACGGGCGACAGACGTATTTTTGGGACCCATTTCCGGATTGGCATACGTGTCTCATTATTGTTTGAATCTTGAAAATCCCTGGGCGTGTTTGGATGTTGCGGTCAACATGAGGAGAACATTCGCTGGCCGTATTCGCTTTAGTGTCAACCATGTCAATATCGCCCTCACTGAGTCGCTGGGAGACGTGCGCTATAATTTAGGCAGGGGAGGCAGCATATGAAGACCAAGTGACTTGAAAAAATGTTCTTCGTGGCTGGGTCACAGGCCGCATGTGGATGGAAAGTGACCACGATAATTAATCCATCAATAACACTACCTACTACTAATTTCGCGGTACCGACCTTCGCTTCGGCCGAGTGCTCATTCTCCGAATATCATTCAGTCATATGAAAAATGCAAAGGTGTGTTGGCCGTGGATTTATTCTCATAGTACGGATAATCGTGCACACGTTAGCAGAGCCTCGCTACATCACCACATGTGCACGTGAAATGAGGTATCTTAGTCCCATTTAGAGAGTTGGACTATACCGAATCCTCCTTCCCACGGCCGTCGTTCCGGCTGAAGTCGACCCCATAACTTAGCTTTGATCTTCTTGATCCCATCGTGAGTCGTGACCACCAATAACAATGGGGATCGTGTTACAAACCATGAGACCGATACTCCGTACATGGCCCGTTAGTACTGACCACATGTCTGTCTTGGCGGTATTGCTCGCCTTCTTGCGAGCTGCCCCATTCGTGTTGAATGACTCGGATCATCTTCGCCAAGTTCTGACACAAGGGCATATCGGGAGCACCCGTCCAGCATGCAATTCTGCGCAGAAGGGTCCTTACTAATGCAGCCAAGCCGCGGCAGATCGAGTTGACGGAAGTCCCTTGAAAGCAAGATGCTCGTTATCGATGCACTCTATCAAGCTGACCAGTCATCCATAAGCTCAAGAACATGAGTGCACGGCATAATTCATCATGAAATGCAGTTGAGTCCTTTTTCTGAAGAGGGCATGACGGCGATGACGAACGCGCGGACTTTTCCAGTGAGCCGAGCGCAGCGACTACCGGGCCGGGGCCGGGGTGGGGTCCATTACGGCGGCGCGGAGAGAATTGAGAGACCAAATTTAGAGTCGGACGTGGAATAAGACAGTGCGAGTCAAATGAAAATCTTAGAATAGGTTGAAATACCTGACGAAGCGAGCCGGGCACGGATTGCCAAAAGGGGGGATGGCAATACTCATGTGGATTTTTGGAATGAGAAACAGCACAAACCTCCCTCTTACTACCTACTGAAGCATCGGTTGCTAGAGGCTGGCGAATGTCAGAGCATCGCAGACAATGATGCTGTGGGCGAGCCTCAAGTAACCATTCAACTGAAAAGATGGCAGACTGGACCAATGAGGGCCATTCCGGCGAAGACATACGCCCCTCAACTAAGAGACAGGCGTACCAATCATTGAGCGGTATGTTCCTAAGTAAGGAGCTATTGCAACGCCCGCTCCGCAAGCCATGATTCGGCTCTAGTTGCGCCACTTCTTGCCGGAGGACCGAGATCTCACGCTTTCCCCGCTTGGCTATCAGTAGCCATACGTTCGCGGCAAAGATCGCATTGTTTAGTCTCAGCCGACTACAACTACATGCGAACACGAGTTACACGACATAACCACTTGAGTCAATAGACCCCGTCACGCAAATCCAATGAGTGCAAGTCCTGAACGAGCGCGGCATGACGGACCTCCGGTGCAGGACATTATTGAAGCTGGCGGCGATGACTTGAGCGATGATACCTTCCAGCCCAGCGAGTGGGATGCTTCATCATCGGGCTCAACCTCAATCACCTCGTCGGTCTTGAAACATTCTATGAGAACGGCAGACGGTAGGTTGCGCGAGCAAAACAGTGAATGTACAGACACACGCAGACTTTTGTTCAGAGGCTTATCAAGTTACACAATCCAAAGCTACCACTCCTTTCGGGATGGAAGATATCCCATTCCCAACGATGACATCGAACAAAATCGTAAAGACATGAAGCATGCGATGGTCATGGAACTCACTGATGGCAAGCTGTTCCATGCCCCGATTGGCGACTCGCCCAGCAAGATTATTGATCTTGGGACGGGCACTGGCAAGTTGCCTTCCAGACACTGTGCCCAAGTGTGTCATTTGTCAACGCTGGATTGGATTGCTGAGTATCTTTGCAGGCATACGGGCGATGGAAGGTGTGTGACACTCATTCTGAGTGGCCGCGATTTAGAGTTGAACATGATGATTAAAAGTTCGCAGTTGGAGACCGTTTCCCTTCTGCCGATGTCACCGGCGGGGACTTATCTCCAATCCAGCCCAGCTGGTACGTCCACTCAGCTCAACTGTCTTGTTACCATGATGTCCTGACTTGACGCTTAGGGTGCCTTCTAACGTCCGGCTCTTCGTCGATGATGTTGAAGATGACTGGCTGGCAAGTGCTTTATGGTGTAACAAACTCTTGAACCACACGCTTTCAATTGTGAAATACACTCGCTGAGAATAAACAATCCTAGTCAGGGAACAATTTCAATCTCATACACATGCGGAAGTTGGCATCTCCTTTGCACGACCTCCCAAAGCTTTTAGAACGAGTCTTTGAGTGAGTTTAACCTCTGCAAACCTCCTTGCTGGTAACTCTACTTGTGTGCAACCTCGAACTCACTGATCGCACCTTGCAGCAACCTCAAACCTGGAGCGTTTATCGAGACTCAGGACTTCAGTGCCAACGTGCAATGCGATGACGGGACTATGCCCGAAGACTGGCCTCTACTCGAATTCTGGTCCAAGATACGCGACGCCATGCACAAGATGAAGATTGACATCCAAGTCGCCCCGCGCATCGGCGCGCTCATGAGAGACGCCGGCTTCGTCAACGTTGAGGCGAAATCATACAAAGTGCCGGTCGGACGATGGCCTCTCGACAAGACGAAGCGCCTGGTTGGACATTATATGCGCTCAGTGACAGAGGATTTCTTGGGTATGGCCGCAAGTAAGCCGTTGGCAGCTCTGGGGATGGATCGGACTGAGATCGAGGTATTTCTCGCATCGGTTCGGAACGCAATCAAGGATCCGGAGGTGCATGCGTATGGAACATATTATTCCTTGGTGGGACAGAAGCCAGTGGGTTCAGGTCATGAGTGATGGGGATACTTGATCTGGAAACCCGCCCTTTAGCTGCGCGTGATCCTTTATTCAGTCATGTATGGAGAATGAAGCTAATTCGCCTAGCGTTAGAAAGAAACTTCATGTGCCGCCACCGTCGATATCCTCGATATCGTGACCGGTTCATATATTTACGGCCATCAAGAAAAGTTCTAGACCTCCTTAGAGGGACTTTACTTACCAGTGAGTAGGTCACCAAAAAGACTGTACATACACATAGACAGCAAAATGAAAGGGACTAGACTCGAACTCGCGCGGGTTGCCCCACCAGGAAACAGATGTTAAGCTGACCTTAACCTGGCGCCATAACCAACTCGGCCACCCTTCCGTAATGTAGATCCTCAGAGACCCGAGGAGCTGGAAGTGGATGCTGGTATTTTGGCGCCACTATTCCTAAGACTGCAGGTGGAAAGAGTGCGTGGGCGAGTGTGGACATGATCATGAGCCGAACTCGCTTCACAACTTCACGATGTTTTGAGTTGTGGGTTGTGGGTTGTGGATATATCGAGATTCGACGCTAAGAACCCTGGTAGCGATAATTTTCTTGCGGGCCCAAGCACTCAAAGATATTACGTTAGCGTGAAGACTGGGGAAAACCAAGTTGGCCAGACGGTCCCAGACCCGGGGCACCAATGTCTTTTCGGTATCGTGGAGGCAACCGAGATGTCAACAATTCCATTTCATCGGGTCAACCCCGTATGTGGAATATGTCTAACCTAGCGTGTATCCCCACGATCCAACCCCACCAGTCACAGCATCGTTTACTTTACGCGATGCTCAAACCTAAAGTTGATGTGAGCTAAAGCACGGAGTACAGATACATTGACTCTGTGAAATACCCCGGTGGGAGACTGACAACGTGGTCTTTGCACCAAAGTGACCGTCCTGCAGGACAATCGGTACACCGTGACCAACAATGCGGATCTCGGCATCTCACATGACACCTCACGGAGAGAAACATGCCAATCAAGCGGGCATGTTATATCTATCTTACATAGGATGTTGTGGACTGAATGAGGGGTAGAGCGCTGTTACACAGATTGCAGGATAAACCTCGTCACGGGACCATTCAGCTTCAGGTGAATAATCAAAGTCTTTTCGGCCAAATGCAACATCAAACATAAGCGTAACAACTGCACGTGATTTCGCCGTGCTTCAATTCGAATCCTTCAGCTCCATCGTGATCGGCTGACATTGCGCGTCAAATTGTCGAAGATTTTCCCTCGCATGGCGGATAGTAGGCGGTTGCATTTGGTGCTTGCCAAGATACTCTTCTCAGGATCATACTGTCCAGACTTAATGCTGCTCGTTCTCCAGCCCATAAGGTACGGACACACAGAACATCTTTCCTAACATAGGCAGATCAATTATAGCAGCTAAGTCGATACAAATGGAAGAAACTCCAACATGAATCAATTTGATGACCAGCGCGAACTGAAGTGTTGGTTCAAGCCATACTTGGCCCATTTCCTAGAAGCCATCCAGCCAAATCGCTGCGGCTGTCTGTGAACGGGTGCGTCCTGCAACCGAGCCAATTCCAGACCTTTGTGGAGTTCCCAACAAGAATCTCATCAACATGAAGCTGAAATCACCGTGATTTAGCGCGACCATGGCACGACTTTCATCGACATCGTGATCATCCCCGGTGCCACGTTGCTGGTATCACCCAAAAGGGCACGATTGTCCGCAAGGCGATGTCCGCAAACGCGTTCCAGCCTCTCTTCCTGGAGTTCATTGGTCCCCTGGTTTTCGCAAAATTGGTAATATCGCCAAGTTGGGTGACATCTTGGCCATCATTGGCTCGGATGGCACCAACGTGAAGAAACCCTTGCCGGTTTCCCGGGAACCTCGAGCGCGCAAGGCGCTTCAGCTCGAAGGCCTGGCGGCTTCCAAATATCAGACTGGTACGTCCGTCTCGTGTCTTTTGAGGAGACCTGATTAAGCTATTGGGTCTTTGTCTTCGCCCCGGACCCGTGGAGACGGATCTCGCAGATGGGTGGAACGGGTGTGCATTTTGACTGCATTGGACGCTAATTTCGCGGAGAACTAGCGCTTGGTTGCTGACATGGACCATGGCCTGAGACCACGTTGGGGGCGGCTGAACCCGTATTTCGCGACGCGGTGCGGCGTCGTGCCTACAGGCGGCTACGCCTCTGCGCCTTTCCCATCTCGACGGCCCAACGTGTGTGCTACGACGCGCCCTAATGAGAGCCGACGATGGAGGGTGGAAGACATCGAGAAAGTACTTAGTTTCGAACATCGCCGTTTCAGTAAGTGGCCGCCGCGGTCACATGGGAAGCTAAGGAGCCGCGTCCATCCAAGCAGCCAAGCAAGTTAAGCAACGCGGCGTACTGGGGAAGTTGGGAAACTAACCCCAAGAGCGAAAAGAGCCCCGAGTTTATGACAAGGCCCCCGTTGTTGAAAGGGCCGATGGGATAAGTTTGCCGGACCCTGACTAGTGGTCCTAACTGGTCCAACTGCGCCGTTTCTCCAAAACCTTGAGCAACCTCCCACCCCCATTGGAGCGCGTCGGCGCATAGGAGGATATCTGACCCGGCTCGGTTCATCATCAGCCGATATTCGATCCCCCAGAGTGTCACCCGCCCTTCTTCCCCATTCCCCAGGCTCATGTGGGAACGGGTCTATGGACCAATGCGGGGGGCGGGGTTGAGGACGTTTGGGGAACCCCAAAGTGCCCAGATTGCGCTTGTGAGGATTCCTTGTGGGATTCAGATCCCCGTCCACCCTTTTTCATACGTTCGCGTTGGTTCAAGTTGCACTAGCGTAATGACACCCGACTGGGGTTAAGTCTTAAGATAATGTTCCATTGGGCATGTAGGAAAACGGGAACTGGGGAGTAAGACAAGACCTTTATTAAACAGCTTGCCCGTTACCACCCTCTCTCTCTTGGCTTTCGTCCCTTCTCTGTTCTTGCTTGCTCGCGCTCCCTCGTCCCCCTTCTCCTCCTCACCAACAAGACCCGGCCACAAACAACCTCCAACTCCAATTTCTCGGCGAGGTTCCAAAGAGAGTCAACAAACATGAGCACCACCATCGACTCCAAGTCGCACAGCGACCCGGCAAAGGTCGAGGCCTACGGCGACATTGACCATGTCGCCGACCTCGACGAGAAGGCATCGCCCGCCTCCTACAAGGCCGATGCCATCGAGGCTGAGCAGGCTGAGCACAACATGGGAGTCATTGAGGCCGTCAAGGCCTACCCCATGGCCTCCCTCTGGGCTTTCATCATGTCTACCACGATTGTAAGTGACTCTGACTGGCCTGTCCCACAAATTAGACTACTGGCAGCTAACAACATTGGTTTTCCAGATCATGGAATCCTACTGCGTCTTCCTCATGGGTGCTTTCGTCGCCATGGACGAGTTCAAGGACAAATTCGGTGTCGAAGCGGAGGACGGCAAGCAGATTGAGGCATCGTGGCAATCCGCTCTTCAGATGGGTGGTCCTCTTGGCGCCATCATCGGTGTCTGTATCGCCGGTCCCATCACCAGTCGCATCGGATACCGCTGGGCGACCATCTCCGGCCTCATGTTCCTCAATGCCTTCATCTTCGTCTTCTACTTTGCCAACTCGCTCGCCGTCATGTTCGTCAGCCAGCTTCTCGAGGGCATTCCCTGGGGTATCTTCATCGCCAACGCGCCCGCCTACTGCTCTGAGATCGTGCCCATGCGCCTGAGAGCCCCAGCCACCCAGATGCTTCAGATGTTCTGGGCCATCGGTGCCATTATCGTCGGTGGTATCTGCTACGTCTACGAGAGCAAGAGAGACTCCAGCGCATACAGAGTCCCAATCGCCCTCCAGTGGATGTTCCCCACTCCTCTCGCCATTCTTCTCTTCCTCGCTCCCGAGTCTCCTTGGTGGTTGGTTCGCAAGGGACGTCTCGAAGAGGCCGCAGTTTCGGTTCGTCGTCTTGGACGTTCGTCGGCCAATGTCAACGTCGAGGAGTCTGTTGCCATGATGCGTCGTACCATTGAGCTTGAGAAGGACGTCAAGGACCCCAGCTACGCTGAGCTTTTCAAGGGCACCGACAGATACCGCACCCTCATCGTCTGTGGTGTATACGCCGCCCAGAATCTTACTGGTAACCTTATCGCCAACCAGGCCGTTTACTTCTTCAGACGTAAGTTTTCATCTTTCCATTCTCTCCATCCTTTATAAAGTTTTGCGGTGGCTAACACATGAACAGAGGCCGGCATTGGCTCCCAGCTTGCCTTCGCTCTTGGTCTCATCACCTCCGCCCTCCAGACCGTCTTCGTCATGCTTTCCTGGATTCTCACGACGTATCTCGGCCGCCGCACCATCTACGTCTGGGGTTCGCTCATCAATGTCGCCTTCCTCATTGCTCTTGGCATCGCCGGCTCCGTCGGCAAATCCACCGCCGCCTCCCTGGCGATGGCCTCTTTGGGTCTCATCGTATCTGTCGGCTTCACCCTCGGACCCGCCCCCGCTTCGTGGGTCGTCATTGCCGAGACATCATCCATTCGTCTTCGTCCCTTGACCACTGGTATTGGCCGTGCCGCCTACTACGTTGTCAACATTCCCTGCATTTTCCTCGCCACGTACATGCTTAACTCTACTGTAAGCTTCTTTTCTCATCCTGTATGGAGAACTACATTTACTGACACACGCAATAGGGTGTCAACTTGGGCGGCAAGTGTGGTTACGTCTGGGGTGCCACTGGTTTCGTCTGCTTCGTCGTCGCTTTCTTCTACCTGCCTGAGATGAAGGGCCGTTCCTTCCGCGAGATCGACATTATGTTCAAGCGCAAGATCCCCGCCCGCCAGTGGAAGAAGACCGTCATCGACATCAACGATGACGAGTAGATGCACACTCATTACAGCTTCAATATCGGGACCAGGTTCTCGGCCTGAAGTTCTTTTGCTTATTGAGAAGTAATGTAGTCAATGCGAGATGGCTCTAATAAGGATGTGCCATGGCGAAGAGGGTACGAAAAGGGGGAGAGGTGAATGGGACATGATTTGAAGAGTATATGAGAATACGGGCAGATATCTGGTTAATATCAGTAACGTGACCCTATCTCCAACCGTGCCTAATCTATACGCGCTACTGAGTTTCCCCGTGACATGCCTTCCGAAATGTCGCTTCTTGCGAACAGAGTGAAACCATCCTTTTCTACTAGTATTTGGTCAAGACCAAGACATCTAAGGGAATACGGTTCAGGTCACTACGTACGCTATAGACGTGACCAAAAATCGGGTCAGAATTCGACGCATGATGAGCCGTGAGGATGACTGATCGTTCAGCTTCCCCAAATAATTGTACTGGCTGATCCGTCTACTTAACTACCCTATTGATATTTCACACTGCTTAGAGCCTGTTCAAACACCTGGCCAACTAAGTCTATGCGACATACATGTATGTATGTGTTATTGAATTATTCACGCATACATACATGTACAAGACGGAAAAGGCTTCCTGTAAGCTGAAATGCATAATGTCTTTATTCATAATTATTATCACAATATTCAATGCAGCAAATCCGTCGATGTTTCTCAACCCTTTATCGCCTCCAAACCAACCAATAATCATATTTATCACAAGGTAGTGTTACGGGTGTACTCGATGTAGCTGGCAGAGTCAAACAACGATGTTAATGATACCATCGAAATGCTCTACACAGGTTTAACGGGGGCCACACGCACCCGCCCACTCCTATCTGAACGACTAATACGGACGAAATGGTTCGAACGTTTTACCTCATCCTCAACATGACCATCACTCGCGTCCGTAGCCCCTTCCAGAATCCATGCCGTCTCGTCAGACACAATCTGCGCCACGCCCTGCCAATAATTCCCTTGGCTGGAATATCGACTCTGCACCATGAAAACGAGCACCACGGCCAGGCCGCACGCCATGTTCAATGCCATGACGCCAAAGATGATGAGCATTCCCCGAAGGCTCTTTGGCGTCAAGACGCGCACTGACGAGGTCAGGATGGCATTGGACTGGACATCGAATTGCGGAAGAGCCTCATTGATGATAGAGCCCGAGAGGGCTGTCAAAGTGGACTGCATCGCTACGCCAGGACGGTTGGTGACGTTGAGAATATCTGCAAAGATGGCCTGGTACTCAACGTGCGGCTTAATGGGAGAGTTCCCGCTGCCTTGAGGGTCCATGAAGAGGGAAAAGTTGAAAGTTCGGGGCGAGTTGTATAAGTCGTTTATGAGCTTGTTTGTCAGGAATTGCGTAGCGTTTAGGTGGCGCGGGTTCTGCAGTGAGTCCACCGAGAAGATCCCGCGGCTGCTCGTCCCGTAGGTTCCGATGCCCATGAGTTTTTGAACATTCTTCGTATTCCAGGCCTTGGCCTCCGAAGACCAGGTTATCTGCGATTCTTTCAAGTCCTTCTTGCTGGAAAGCTTGACTTCCGCAAAGTTGAAGGCCAACTGTTGGAAACATAGCGACATGTCCAGCCTCAATACGCCCGTCTCGATCTTTTCCCCTGTGGGAAGTCTTCCTCCGATGGGACGATTATACGTAAGCCAGTCTCCATCAGTAGAGGTAACATTATTTAGCCCGAATGTCCCCGCCAGGACGCGATTGCCTGGCCCTTTCCAAAGATCATGGGTACCATTATTCCTGAAGAAAAGGAAGACCTGGGAGTACGGCGTGATTAGGTTCTCTGAGATGGTGTAATTTCGAGCACTCGGGCGTGCGGCTGTGCCATTGGGGATACACAGGCTGTTCGTAAAGCCCTGCCGTGCTTGCGTTTCGGTGTACTGAAACTGAGGGAGTGAACAGTTAAAACTTGACGGGAAACAATTTCCATTTTCGCAACTTTCTGTCGGCGAAAGACCCGCTTCGCGAAACATGGACTCATATGATAAACTGCCCGCCACTTTTAGATAGAAAGGGACAGTATCTGTGCCCGGTGCAGGAGTCGTCACCGAGAGGAAGGCAGACACCGAGGGACGGAGACAGACAAAGCGTGATTCGAGACCGTAGGCACCGCCGTTGTACTGGCGTAGTGTGGACATTTGTGATGTTGAGAGGGGGAGGAACGTTCTTCTTACGATGCCCGTATCGCTGTAGCTGGACTGACTGTCTGTCATCGTATTTGCCTCTGAGGGCAACTCGCCAAATGGCACATATGCTGTCGGACGACTGATCCAGTTATTCATCTGCCTGTTGAGGGAGATTACCTCGCCACTCATGTGCACGTTGAGCTTTCTCGCCTTAGCATTACCGACGAGGTTATCGGTACCCAAGTCGGACACCAAAATAGTCGACGAGAATTGAACAACCAACGTTGTGAGCAATAGTAAGATGGCCAACCCGGTCTGCATATATGCCTTCCGTGCCGAAGGCAGCAGTAACCAAGTCAATTGGAACGGCCCGTCGTTGGTGCACCGGATGATACACATCTCAGCGACTCGAAACAAAGGTACGCCGTGCTTCTCTAGAACAACGCCGGCAAGGAGGCTTGTGTAGATGGACGCCTGTGCTGTGACTGTTATACGTAATAAGACTGTTGATAGGGTGATGGCCTGCGTGATGTGTTGGTTAAGCATGATCCATCGCCAAAGCGCCGCGGCTTTCCTGCCGTCTTGCGAGCCTTCGCCGGTCCATAGGAAGAGGAGGAAACCTAGGATTGCGAGGACTAAAGCAGTTCCGCCGCCTACGGTTGCGAGACCGAGAGGGCCTAGGCCTTGTTGAAGACGCTGAGAGTAAGTGGGTGGGTGCTTGCTTTCTGATCTGTCGTATTCTGGCTTAAACTTCAGTTTTGAGGACTTGAAGCGCGTCATACTGGATGTGAAGAAACTGCCAGGACTTGCTCCAACTGAAAATGAAGGTGCCCGCGAGGTAAATAGAAGGTGGAAGAGCTTGAGCCTGTCAAGACAGCTGAAAGATGCTCGGAGACCAGACTATGATGCGCATAAAGTTGCCTTTAAGCTTACCGTCAGTCACTAACTTGATCTCCAGAACACTTGGTCATTCCGTTCGATGATCACAGGGGTAGTGGGAAACATGCATATTTCCAAACACTATGCCCCGCGTTCAACGATGCAACTATAAGGACCATTGACAAATCTGCCTTGCTGGACTTAACAAGCTGTCATACATCGGCTCCGAGCTGTCGGTATCGACGTCGGTGCATTTAGGTTGAACGCCCGCACATCACCCCAAACTCTATCACTCTCCCGAGTCAAGATTGCGATGCATGAATATCAGATGGGAACGATGTGCCATCCCGCGGGAATGTTGGTTGTTGGATGACTTGCACCGTTGCACGCGAGGTGAATGCAGGGATGCTCCGGCAAGTAGTGTCGCAAAGACCGAAAGAAGCTCAACATGCCTACTCCGATCGCACACGCTAGGTCTCGAGTTGTCTTGCGCACGAGAAGGCGACGATTGGCAGTTGAGGGGAATATGAACGAGGCAGTTAGCGTGAGTGAATGCAACCTAACAGATGCTTCAGTAGTAGCCATCTTGAATGATTAGAGTTACGTGTGGGCATAAAAGCGCAAGTTCCTCAGTAAAATTTTCGATAGAGTTATCCGATGACACCGTCAAGCTTTGCATACTGACATACAAGTATGACAAAGAACAGACGAGCGCGTTGACTGACAAACACCCACAAAGATGCTAACCCCAGGTGCTGCGAAACTCTACTCTTGGGTAATTGGAATCCCATTTCGAGCATTACAGCTCGCTAGCAAGGACATCGGAAGATCAACTGAAAATTGGCAAAAGTATAGGTCGTACCCGGGTTCGAACCGGGGTTACCAGAAATTCTGATACGATCAAAATCTGGAGTGATAACCGCTACACTATACAACCTTGTCCAGAGTTTTTGTTCTGTGATTGGTGCGATGATTTTGACAAAATATAAAGGCTAAACCATGGAGAGTGGGGTTAAGATCTCGCACGTACCTACAGTCATGGCAAGGAAGTCAATGACGCATTGTAATATCCGTACAGTCGCGAGTAAGCCTCGTTTACCAGGACTCAAGTTCACAAACGAAGCTCGTCTTGTCGGGTTTATTACGCGTATCGAGTTGTCCAGCCTCATCTCATTGAGTTGCCTTGGCACTCACCTTCATCCAAACGGTCAAATTTCCAGGACGTGCTTCGCCATCAGACCAGACAGGTGGAACACGCTTAGGAAGAGAACTCGGCGGATCGCGGTATTGTGTATGGTGCGAAATCATCTCCTTCGTCCCCAGAAACTTTACAGTTCCATCTTGCAATATGTCCCAGGGGATAGTCTGTCTTGGCGTCGCGATGCTCGGTGGCAGTGCGCCGATGTTTGAGCCGCCTGGGAACCACCCTGGCCTCCAGTTCTGAGTACGGCACAACTTACTTGGTCTACGGATACACTCAAGAGTGACACGCAGCACAAGACGTGTTCGCTGCAGTTCTGCGTGCGCTAATGAGGTAATAACTTAGTGGAAACCTCTCTCTGAAGACATATGTCTTGGGCTCTGTGCTGACTGTGAGGCCCCCATAGCGAGCAGAAATTCTCAATGCTGCCCAGTTCCTGTCGAAAGTCAATGACTCGAGCGCCTGACAACGTCTTCTCCGCAAGCCCAGCGACGCGGATCATCCTTGATTCTAAGCCGAACTCTATCTGCAGAAAAGCTGGGAAACAATCTAAAAAGGTTTCTGCAACTTTATTGCAGTTGGCATAATGGGCCACTCTGCGGGCGAGCATGTCGCTACTCAACCCCTTTACCAATACCACCACAGCAGTTCATCCGGTGTCCGGTACTGCCGAGCTCTACGCGTGCGGATGCCTCCGTTACAACTTGCGGTAGAATTGCCCGGCGGCGTGGTGCAACTAGACGATGCCAAGAAATCATGATAGAACGTTGGGAATTAGGGGGAACGCGACGAAAGATGAGTTATAAAGCAAAGCCCCGGATGCGTGGTACTCGAGACAAAATGCTCTCTTGAAGCTTCCAAGCTTTGCCAGTCCAACTTCAGTCTCTCCTTTTCTACTGCACTCATTCACCATGGTTCGTGTTTTCAGTCTCGCCGCTTTTGCGACGGCAACCCTCGCTTCGTGCACACAGGCCCAAGGCCTAGAAACCTGCCTTGAAACGGCCGGTCTCCTCACTTCGTTCCCCGAAACCAACGCCTCGTTCCCAACCGACATCCTCCCGTGGCAGCGCCGCATCGCCCCCACCCCGGCCGGCGTCGCCTGGCCGCGCACTACTGATGAGGTCGCCGCCGCTCTAGCCTGCGCCCGGGAGGCAAAGGTACTCGTTGCGGCCCGTGACGGCGGCCACTGCTACGGCTCCTACAGTCTGCCCAATGCCGGGCTCACTATCAACATGACTCATTTCCAAGAGACCAAGTACGATGAAGCTACCGGTCTGCTCACCTACGGCGGCGGCTCCCTCGTGAGTCCCGTCGTCAGCCAACTCTGGAAAGAGCACGGCGCCCGCTTTCCTCACGTTCGTGCCAACATAGTCGGCCTCATTGGCTCTTCCATCGGAGGCGGCTTTGGCTCCCTATCCCGCATGCTCGGAACCCCCATGGACTTCCTCGAGGGCGCCACCTACATGCTCTACAACGGCACCATCGTCGAGACCTCCCGTACCAAGAACCCCGAGCTGTTTTGGGCCCTACAAGGTGCTGGAAGCTCCTATGGTATCATCTTGAGCCTCACCACCAAGACCTGGAAGCCCACGTACCAGCAGGCCATCAACTACACCATCACCCTCACCGACAGCTCCCTCTCCGCCGGTGTCGACTCCCTTCTCGCCATCCAGGAGCACTACCTCTCCGGCCAGTGGCCCGACGAACTCACCATGCGCTGGTCACTGACCGCCCCTCCCTACACCGGCTCCGGCTTCTATTGGGGCAAACCCGAGGACTTTGACAAGCTCCTCGAACCCCTCATGGCCAAGCTGCCCAACGGCACCCAGCTCACCCGCACCGTCCAGGACTTCTGGGCCGTCGAGAACGTCGCAACCCCTTCCATCGACATCCCCGTCGACACATTCCCCCCTCGCAACTTCTACCTCCAGGCCCTCGTCCTTCGCGAGGACCAGCCCTTCACAAAGGCCTCCGCCACTGCTCTCTACAACTTCACCACCGTAGCCTTCAACCGCACCGACCTCACAAAGTTCGGCTTCATCGACCTCTGGGGCGGCAAGCCCACGAAGGCGCTCAAGGACGACGACACCTCCTTCGCTCATGCCAACAGCTTGTGGCTCATCCGCTGGGAGGGCCGTCTCGCCACCGGCCTGACTCAGTTCCCTGCCGACGGCTTGAGCTACATGCAGAACGGCTTCCAGCCTTTCAAGGACCAGCTCGCCGCCGAGGGCGTACCCCTGCGTGGCTTCGTGAACTACCGCGACACGGCTCTCACCGTTGATCAGTGGAGTGAGCGCCTGTACGGCAAGAACTATGCTAAGTTACAGGAGATCAAGGCCGTGTACGACCCCGAGGGCATGTTCACTGCTCACCCGCAGAGTATCCCTCTCCCTGGTCAGCAGCCCCCTGCCGCCATCAACTAGATGGGATCGCATGGACAATGTGAAAGAGGCCTCTGGAGGCCAATGAGAGATTTGTACATATTGACTAGAGCGGGACTGTTTCGAGTCCTGCCCGATAACATACTTTGAGCGGGTTACAAAACTTTTGATTCTTGAAAGGAAAAAAAAAAAAACGGTGCGCTATGTAGCAGAACTGGTTCACTGAAACATCCAGTTTAAAGTCGTTCTCCGCGCTATTCGCATCCTGTGATATGCTTCAAGTTTTCCCAGACAGAACGAGGGCTCAAGCAGCCAATTTACCTCCGTCCAAGATCCTTCTTGCTGACGCCTTCACCGCGTTCATCGCCACAAGATACAAACTCGGTCCAACACTGATCCTGGCGACGCCAATTTCGCCCAGCTCCTTCGTCGACAACGAGCCCGGCCGCTCCCCAAGCTTAACAGCTACCCGTCCACCGAGTTCCTTAACAAGCACTCTGACCTCCGAAGCCCGAAGCCCCCGTCCCGAACCACCCCAGAAGAACACAGTCGTCGCACCGGCGTCCAGGTACGCCCGGCCCCGCTTCACGGCCTCAGCCAGCGCACTCTCGTCATCGTCCGCGTAGTAAGGCTCTAGGCGGAACACATCGCACCGTGCATTGAGAACAAAGTCAGAACATCCCGCCTCGCGAGCTGCGTCTAAGGCGCTTTTGAGACGAGCGACTTGCGTTTCTATGCTGTAGAGGGATCCGCCAATGCCCTTCTCGAACCCGGCCGAAGGAATGCTGTCTTCAATATTGGCCCCGCTGGCGCCTAGTGTCACCACTTCCGTCACGACTTCGTCGATCAGGTCTCCGTAGCCGTCTTGAAGGTCGACGGAGAGTGGGAGACCGGCGGCTTTGGCGGCGGGCGCGAGTTGGCCAATCGCAGCCATGTTCTGCTCTAGCTCGAGGTCCTCATCTTTGACGCCCACTGCTGCTGCGATCGCCCATGACGCGGTTGCGATAGCTTTTACAGGCTTGGAATCGGCGGTGTTTAAGGAGATGATCGCGTTGAGCGAGGCAAGGTCCCAAACATTGGTGAAGATGACAGGCGATGCGGGGACGTGCAGCTGCTTCAGCTCTTGGGCGAGTTCGTTGCTCATGTTGGCCGTTTGATGTCTTCGTCGGTGATCGCGTCTACGTATGGATAATGAGAGTAATAAGTACTTAGTAAATGTAAAGTTTTGATGTGACGTTCATTCTGAACTTAGGAATGACTCCCAGAGGGGTTCATTCAGATGGCCCCAACGCGCTAGTGACAAACGAAGGGCGTCGTGCCGACTTACTTCGACCCTCGCCCGATACAAGCCGCGACTGGATCCGATGTCGCAGCAAGATCTTACTGCGGAAATCACAATGGCTTTGACGATGCTGATTCTTCTGTATATTTACTTTACGCCCTCGCCATCTTCTCTGTGGGAGTAAATCCTTGTTCCGAAATTTAGTGGGGGTAAGAGCGCTGGGACTAAGGGTTCATGGGTTGGCAAGCAAGCCCACGTTGTCGATTTAGCACCCACTCCAGTTGATAGCCCGAACGCTATTCAGCTTCTTCGATCAGACCTTGATCCAGAATCAACATCGATCTCCACGTCTTGTCATCTGTTTACTTCAACGTATGTGCGAACTTGCGAGAACGTAATTGGTCAATTGTAAAGGACTAGGTTAGCAGACCTAGGTATTACCGCAGGACACATGGAGTTTTGGGGTGGACCATCCTGCAGGACCTTCAGTGCTCTTTTGCAGGCACTTGTAGGAAACATGGGTTAGAGAGATCGTCGAGGAGAAATACACAGCCTGTCCGTGGCACTGGCCCAGCTATAAAACTAAGAGACATGTAGGTTTGATCCAGAATTTCAACGCAGAAACTTCAATATAATCAGACCTTATCATTAATGTAACCGATTGGTAATATTCCCGCGGATTTATCTAAGCCTGACCCTAGTGCTGTGCTGACGCATTGGTGCTGGTTCGAACTTGGACCTAGAATCTCATCTGAATCCTTACTCCAACGTCAAGTTCTTAAATATCTACGCTACTCTGCTGGTCTCCGCTAGATATAGACCATCACTAATCGCTTGTGCATACTACTGCACGTATTGATTCAGCCATTGGCAGATCATTTTGATGAGCCACAGTGAACCTAACCACCATGCACAGCGGTATTCCGCGGCTCCATGCACGGTCTCAGTAAGGCGATAACTCCGGAGCTAATGGAAATCTTATGCAAGAGGAAGGAAGTTTGTAAGCCAGCTCATCAATCCAAACATCAGGTCTGAGCATGCAAGCAGCCCTGCTGGCATCAATCATACCATCTCCGGCAACCAAACTACAGCCAGAAGAGCTTTGTTATTTAACTGCAATAAACCCCGTACCCTTCACGACACCAAGATTTCGTTCCCTTCATCACACTCAGACTTCGCTATACTTCGCCCGAAGAGATTAACTATTGAAGCAATTATGCGGGCTTTCATTGCAACATCAATTCTCTATACTGCTCTCGCTATAGGCCAGAGTCTACCCTCTCGCATTGTGTACCAATTTCCTCAACAACCCAACTGGATCGAAAACATCGCCGTCCGCAAAAATGGCAACCTCGTCCTGACTATGCTTACTTCTCCCGAAATATTCCAAGTCGCCAAGCCTTGGGAAAAGTCGCCATCAACAGAGCTCGTCCATCGGTTCTCGGGCTTTGATGGCCTTCTCGGCATCACCGAGACCTGCCCCGACACCTTCGTGGTGGTGGGCGGCAACTTTTCTGGCATCGGTGTGAGCGTTCCCGGTAGCTTCTCGGCGTGGGAGGTCAACATCGCCGATAAGAAGACCACGGTGAACAAGATTGTCAACGTCCCAGAGGCGGCATTCTTGAATGGCGTAGTCGTCCTACCTTGGGACCGCAACATCGTTCTCATTGCTGAATCAGCGCTTGGCAAAGTATACAGACTCGATGTCAAAGCCAAGAAATACGATGTCATCTTAGGCGGTCAATATCTCGAGCCTACAGCCGAAGCAGTGCCGCCAATTGGAGTCAACGGTGTGCAAATTCGCGGAGATTTCTTGTACTGGAGTCATAGCTCCCTGAGAAAGGTCTTCCGGGTCAAACTCGATCGCGCGGGTAGGGTTGCGGCCAAGGCCACCATCGACCAGATCGCCAACGTCAACACTACGGCTATTTTCCTCGACGACTTCACTTTTGACAAGAAGGGCGGTATCTGGGCCGTGACCAACATTGACGGCAAGCTTCTCTACGTCACTCCGCAGGGAAAGAGCACCGTCGCGGCCGGCTCAGAGACGGAACTGACTGTTGCTGGAGATACTGCAGCTGCCTTCGGTCGAAACGTCAAGGACAAGGGGATCTTATATGTTGGCACTGGGGGATCTCTTGCGAGGCCGGTCAATGGAACGATCACAGAGCCCGGAAAGGTAGTGGCCTTCGACACACACAGCTATGGTCGGTGAGGAACAGATCTAAAAATCCAATAGACTCATGCTGCCTTGCTTGCAACAGTATTTGAAAGCAAAGAACATGTATCTAGTTCAGAATCGTGTGACTTCCTAGACTCAGCGTGCTGTCGTATTGCGTCCCATTGCTATTGAATTTCCAACATGAGCAACCGTTCCTCCATCTCTGTTTGCTCAAGAACATAGGACCGCTTGAATCGACACTCAAAGACGTCTCCGACTCTTCTACTAACCAAAGACTCCATTTATACTCTTAAATTTATAAAATATAAGTTATTATTACTTTTTACATAAGCTCTAAATATTTTCTAATTAAATATTAATTATACGAGTAGGTCGTCTTGTTTTGCTAGGAATCGAGACCGCCGGAAATGCCTGAGCGCTGAGTCTACGCCTCGATAGTAGGCATGAAATGCAGAGGAACGAAGTCATTAACCGGCTGGTCGCCTTTGTCAAGGATAACTACTCGATAATATCGTTATCATCTGTCCTCTAACGTTGTGAATAGAAATCGAGTTCCTTTTGGGCGATCATCTACCATTGCAAATATCTGTGTCTGATCAACTCTACCGGTAGTTTAATAATAGTAACCCAAGAAAGATCGCTACTGGTGTAGCTTCTGGCACACCTATTGATGCCTGGTATGCTGATCGAGTAAAAGAATTCATTCCGTATCAACAAAGCTCACCTCAAAGAATGATCTGGAGCACAGCGCTCAGTCAAAGTTTACACATCCATGTCGTTTAGTGAGTACTGCTACCATGGAAACCCAACCAAAAGCTAAAATAGATTCAGAAGTGACTTACCTTAATTTCTAGAATCTCCTCGAAAAATCTATTTTGGTAAACCAATTTGCTTCAGTCTTGGGTCCTCTCTATCAGCTGAGACTGGATACATCACTGTTTTCATTACATCAGTCCCAAGTTGCATGTGGCTTTCGATATACCCTGCCTTCGTGGCACACGTCTCACTGTGTCCCAATGACTCGACATGCTAGTGAGAACCCTTCAAATGTCCTGACTTGCCAGTTCTTTAATCTTGCTCTTATCCATTCATGGATATCATTTGATCCGGCACAAAGAAGAAATATTCGGGTTCATCAGTTACTTCAATCAACCAAGCAGTGTGGATAAGCTGTACCCCGTTCCAGCCTATCTTCTCCCTCGCAAGTCAACCTGTGGGATTCAGGACTTCCTAGTGCCTATAACTGTGATTCATCAATAGCGGTAGAAATCGCATCCGTCTGATATTATATTCGCGCTATGCTGACATTTGGGCCAATGCCAAAGTGCGAGAACCTCCAACCCGGAAGCGAGTTCTAATCTGGATTTCGGCAATTCCGCTGGCCCTGTCCATGTACGGCTCCCCAAGAACCCCCACCGGCTCGTGGCGATCATTCCGTGCGTTCAGCACGTGCTTCATCCGACTTGAAAGTCGTTGACTTTGGTAAAACAGCAAGCATCGAAGTCCCGAGATAGTGATACTACAGATTACACCACATCGTAGTGATCGAGGCGTACGGTACGAGAGATTACAGATAGTGATGGTATTTGAGAGTCGACTTAGATCTATATACGCAACTTGCCTTCGTAGCGATCGGACGCCGTTGCATTCAACGGCCAGTACCTAAAGTGTAATAGGTATTGTGAGAATTATATGAAGTTGATCTTGGTTCTAGTGCTCTCTACACCACGCGGGCTCCTGGAACTTGAAGAGAGGCCCAAGGTAGGCCTCGGGCATCACAAGGCCACCGTTCATCCAGTCACAAAGAGTGCCCCACGACTTATCGTTGTCACAGTTGGTGAACTGCTTGTTAGCAGTCCTAGACTTAGTGACGGTGTCTTGATCGACGTAGTTCCACTCGCAAAAGCCGTGCGATGCCAGGCAAGTCACCTTGGTCTTTCCGTCGAAGCTCGGGTCCTTACCCTGGCAATCCTCGACCTTGAAGATCTCGCTCAGGTTGGCCCAACTCTTATCGTGAATCTTATTGAGGACATCGACATGGTCATTCTTCCAATCCTTCGGATTGTGCAGCGCGTACGAGTCACCCGTATCCGGGTCGATCCAGAATTGGTAGCAGTTCCCTGCGGGTCCGAGGCCGGGACATGAGACGGCACCGTTGGTGTCGGGTGCGTAGTCGAGGGCATTGACACCAGTTGAGCGAGTGGACACGATGCCGTTGGCCTTGAGAGACAGAGAGAGAATGTAGAGTTGCAGATCGTGATAGAGCTCGGTGGACTGGAGGTTCAAGCTGGTCACGGCACGCTGGCTGAAGCCACCAGGCTCAGTCGCGGCCAGGAACAGGGTACTGTTGCCCTGAAGCTCCTTCAAGGCGCCTTCGAGGCTACCCTGGTAGTCGATGATAAGCTGAGCGAGGCTGCTGCCGATCTCACCCAGCGTGATGAAGCGTGAGTTGGAAGAGCCTGCTACTGAGGACATGAAGAAGGAGCTCATTCCTGTGACAACTGCCATGCCCGTGGCGACTCCTGCCAGGAGGGGGTTGGCAAAAGCGCCAACGGCGGCCATCCAAAAACCACCAGAGATTGAAGTCCACAACAAGTTGCTCGGAACTTGAGGATCGGTAGACGGGAAGACAGTAGCAACGATGTCTCCGATCGTATCAGCAGCGAGTGTGTGGCCATTCCAAAGAGCCTCTGAGAACTGGTTGAAGAACTGGGAGATGGCGTAGATATTCCAAAGAGTGTAGAATTGTTGCGGCGAGGAGTAAGCGGCATCGACACCAGCAGTCTCAAAAGCTGCACACGTATCACGGGTGAGGGCGTTGCAAGTTCGGCCACCGTAACCATTAAAAGCCAGGAAACACTGGGCGAATCCGAGGTTGTCGCAGTCAGCCTTGGTGCCGTTCTCAGCCAGCCATTTTGTGATATAGTCTGACACGTTCAACTGAGCCCAGCACTCGGGCTTGAGTCCTGTCTCTGACCCGGGAGAGCAGTCAATGGCGCGAATGGCGATGGCGGTTTCCGGAGATGAGGCACGCACAGCGATGCTCAAAAGCCCGACGGAAAGGATCAGCCGAATCGCCATTGTTGATAGCAACTACTTGAAGTTGGAAAAGGACAAAAGAGTGTGTAGCTGAGTCGAGCTCGATGTCTTGAATCACCGAAAGTTTCTGGAACATAGCCGGGAACTCCCTGAACTATGTACTCAATCGCATTGTGCAATCAAGACACTAAATCGCATTAGGTGAGTCCATTACCGTATCTGCAGAGAGATCGGACTTTGCTGATGTTGACTCAGGACCATTATCAAAAATGCGGTAGATCTCCTTACTCAGCGTGTAGTCGAAGACCGATCGGCACTTTCAGCGCGTTTTTTATATGAAGGAGCAGAATTAACTTTATTTAGAGTGCCTTGACCACCCACACCCCGATACAAGTATGGGGCTGAACTAGGTCATTGACTCAAAGTATCACCGCCATCATTCCGGCACCACCGAGAACGACGTCAACTGGTTTATGTTCTGGGTAGAATGCCCGATCGGCTGTTGTCCTCTTTGATAAAGCTAAGTGAATTCTATAATGTGATTCAATGCTATCGTGGATGTGGACATAAGTTTTCGGCATGTGGCCAAGAAGAAGCTGTTTGTTCTCGCTCCGTGTCATTTACTGGCTTACATTCAATATTTGTCACATATAATAGAGAAGCCTGTATGGATACGGTAAGCTCTATGCCGGTCAAATACCTGACCTGATATACATACCAAGCTTGAATACCTTATGTGACGCTGAGTGGCTCATCAGATATATCTCTATCAGCCGATCCTGGCGGATCAAAGACAGCATACGAGGAAGAACACGAGACAATCTACTTGTCAGTTGACTTGTGATAGAATTTACATTGACTTAGCTTGGCCAGCTTACCAATTATCCCTGTCGGAACTGCTTTCAGCCCTCGATGTCCACATGTACGCTCGCAGCACGTCCCGATGTCAGACTGTCAGTTGAGGCCAAGCCTCTGTGAACCTCGGAATCGCAACCATCATATTAGCCCCGGAAAAGTGTAATCCCATTCAAACTCTATGTAGTGGGCTGGTTTTGTCTGAAGGGCAATTCCATAGCAGGTTGAGCTTGATAACCCTCAGTGACGGGATCAGCCCCCGCAGCCTGCCGGGCAAGCACTTCCCTCTCATGCTGAACCAAAGCAGACGAAAGACACCAGTAGGATGCGCAGCAGTCTCTCGCGTCTGTGCCTTTGATACCGTAGCGTTTTCGGATCTCGAATCGCTTCTTCATGACATACCTGCAAGACATTGTTAGTTGCTTGAGGATGGAGAGTCATTACGCTTGTTCCTAGTGACGTACATCCAACCAAACCCAGTTCCATAGGTCACTCCCATCATCACTATGCAATCGCGATTGATATGCCTGTAGCTTTCCATCGAAGGCTCTTTTATACGATGGGAAGTCTGGCCGAGTACTTCCGAAATCTGTCAGCATGAGACTACCCGTCACGGTGGAAGGTTGGCATACGAAGACATGGCGCGAAAGTGCTCAGAATGCAAAGCTCGCAGGACGCACAGCATCCACACAAGCCATGATGCCAGCCATCCTTTTGGATAAGCTCGCCCTCTTCATGCCTGTTAAGATTGTCATGGGTTTTGATCTGCTGGGCGCCGTCGTGTCTTCGAGGCTGGGAATGAGGCATTCGTGCCCGATATTTGAACACTAGGAGCAGAGCTAGAGACGAAAGGCAAAAAGGGAAAGTGGATGAACGTAAGATGAAAGAAGCTTGATCCGGGACTCGGCAATGCAGGTAGTAACTCAATTCAAATCGATGTCCACGCGTCCTCGGCGTTTGCTCTTGGTAGTGCTATCTACCCCTTCAAAAGACTCGGGGCGATGATGTCGGGAGTCAAGGCACTGCCATGTCTCGCCAAGTAAACGGCACGTCGTTTCCGGATATTCTGCCTCAGCAGTCTTGGCCTGCATGCATGGCATTGGCCTCTGTGAAGCGACGTAATGGCCAGTGGAGTTTTTGGCCCGATTGAGCATCCACCATTACATGCCTGAGCGGCGCTCCTCCGAATCCTATTATCGAATCAATGAGACCGAGTTGTGAGTTTATCGCAGCCGAGAGACATTCTGCGTGAAAGCTTAAATCACTACCTTCGTGCTAAGTGAGTAGTCTCGATTAAAGAAAATCACATGTTCCAGGAAATGTTAACTTTCACCAACTAATAATACTACACATCACTGCAAATATAGGAATGCAAATGTAAGGTCCCCGTACGCTCATAAGTGGAAATCGCACTACTCGTGCTAGACACCTGGAAATATAACAACCGGATCAGCGCATTCCGAGATTGACGCGATACTGGCTCTGAGTAAAGCTTTTCTCAAGTTTTAAAACTATGAAGTGTACTATCTTCAGGAAGATTATGTGCTGCTTTGGTGAGATGCTCGTGGCATCGAAACAAGCCATGTCTCGAAAGGGGTGTAATCGTTTGCCTCTTAATTACCACGGCCACCACCAAGGGTTGGACCGCTTCACAACCCAAACACCACGCTCAATAGTGTTGATGACGATGTAGCCACTTTTAAAGTAGGGGTAATGGCTCCAAGTACCGGTGTAGTTGTTAGCTCCACCACCAGGCTCGTTGTCATCTTCCGGGAAAATATCAAAGTAGGCAATCTCCTTGACGTTCTTGGCAGTGGGATCCCATCGGATGGATGAGATGTCCAGGATGCGAAGCCCAGCACCGTAATTGCTCTGGTACGCTAGACCGCGGTGGATGAATTGGTTGTGATCGACACTGCGGACGGTGCCCTTGAAGATACCCGAGTTTTTGGGCTTCTCAAGGGATCTGATATCCCAAAAGTAGGTCACGGGGAAGCCGTCAGCCGCTGGGCCAGTCTTGTTTCGCTCGTCAATCTCGTCGTCCAGCACCAAAAAGTCTTGCCAGTTGGGATCAATGACCCAGCCCTGGTGGGTATAGGTGGCGCCTTCGTATGTGGTGCGAGAAATGATGTTGGTGCTGTTCTTCTGGGTCACGTCGTAGCTTGAAAGCTGGTCAGAGAACAGATTACATCAAAGTTGAAATTCGAGCACTCACATGGTCAAGGTATCTTCGTTGTAGCCGTAGCAGATGTCGCGACCCCAGTACTTGACATCAGGTCCGCGGTACACGATGCACTGCGCGTCGTGGACATAACCGTCACCAGCCGCACATCCCAGGTAAAGGGGGCTGTTGATGTCGGAGAGATCAAGGAACTGCAGGCCAGAGTCACAGGGCAGGTTGCGACGCGGCTGGGCACCGACAGCAACAGCATATCCCTTCTCTTCGTTGACAACGACGTTGTGGCTGCGTCCAAGTGGTAGGGCTTCGGTCCAGTGTGCCGTCAGATCCTTCTCGTTGGAGAAGACGACGGGATTCTTGGGGTCGATGTCGAGGAGCTGAAGTGGTGTTAGTCTGTGACTCACTCAATTGCTTTGGATGAGATGGCCGGCGGGTGTCACACACCTTGCGCAAGTCGAAGAACTGAATTCCATGACCCGGTGCCTCGCTACCAACCACAAGGTAGTTCTTGTAAGCTTTGATCTCACGCCATCTGCTAGGCTCTGAGAAGTAGGGCAATTTGCCGAGGTAGATGAGTTTGCCCTGCTTTGAGATTTCGGCAAAAGCGGTACCGTCGAGCTGTCCGATCGCGGAGAACTCTCGGCCATTGGGTGCCGTCCATCCCCACGAACCAGAACCTCTACCGGTTGAGTTGCCAAAGGCTGCGTGAGGTTGGAAGTCATAGAGGTCGAGCTGTTATTGGTAAGCCAAGAATCAGAGACTGCGAAATGTAGACCGATCTCATTCTCAACTAACTTACATCCTTGCATCGGAATGTCTGAAGGGGGTCGCCCTTGACGAGCTCTACCTTGCCATCCTTGCATGCGAGGTAGTCTTTGACGCGACCCGTCCATTGAGTCGAATCGAACTTTCCTTCTGCCTCGGCTTGCTCCCATTGAGCCTGAGTTTGTCAGACTTCACCATTCTTGAAGTCAAGGGGCCTGACCTACGATCTTGTGCTCCATGCTCTCTTGATGAGCTGCACCGGTGTCATACCAGGCTGACAACTCGGCACTGGGCTCCAGCTCTCTGGCAACAGAAATGCCAGACAAGGTGCCAATGGCCAGAAGTAACGCGTTGGACTTCATCTTGGTGGCCTATTCACTATCAACACGACTGGAGATAAATGTCCTGCCGCAGAGATATGAGTATCAGATGTAGTCGGGGCGAGAACTTTCCTCCGCACGTGGAAGGACTGTCGTCAGCATTTTATGATACTTACAACATGATCCAGCCTTTGGCCTTTCAAGCCAAGCGACGCCATGTTACCCGGATGTCACAAAAGTCCCAGGAAATGAATTTCACCGCTGCGTGGTTGCAGGACATCTGCATTTCGCCCATTCTGTCAGCGGCCAACTTTCTGCACGATCTGCAGAAGCCAAGCCATGGCGAAAATGCCGTTCGAATAAGGCCATCGCTTAGCAGTCAAGGCCTCAGGTACCGGACATGGACCCCTCTCCGGTGTTGGATGTTGTCAGACGGATAATTGATGAGCCTAGTCTTTTGGTATGGAATAGGCAGGTCGGAAAGATGTCGCAAATCCTTGGCACTATTTGTCAACGTCACCAAAGTCTCCCATCGCTGCAATGCTAAAGTTCTTTCATTCCGTTTCGCCTATGCCTCTGCTATCCGACGAGCCATCTCTGGAACTCCGCATTGCCTGATACCCCATAGGCTGGATAGGCTCGCCAAGACGGAGTACTGCAGGTGGCAATGACACCATCCAGAGAGCTATGTAACCGTCTTTGAAGTCTGCCAGGATGGTGTTTTCCGTCCCATCTGCGGTTACAGCACAATTCGCCTATCTGGAGATCGTACTTGAGCGTTCGAGCATTGAAGGCGCCAACGTAGAGAAAAAGCCGAGTCAAGTTCAAAGTGACTATACAGCGGTCAAGTGGATTGGGTCAGCTCTGAGTTATATAATCCCGGTGGGATGCACACATCAGGAGTGCGGTTCGTACCGATGTCGTGCCTAGGATTTTTTGGGCCGATCAAGCCGATCAGCCCGTCACTTTTAAGCTTGGATTTAGTGTTCCGAACTTTCCGCAACTAGTGATCTACTAGCCCATACCACTTGAGGCAGGCGTGGAACTACCAGGTTGTGTATGCCTTAAGGTAGCTTGGGAGACCGTGCATGCACTTATTGATGGTTGATGGAAGAGGGTTTTCTTCATTCTTTTGGGGCTGAAGGCAACGTGGCAAAGCCCACATATATGGAACAATGAGATGTTCCTGTAGCAAGGGCGAAGTGCTCGTAATCGGGGTCCGACTGTCCCTTCCGAAGTCGAGAGGTCGGGGTGGACGTCCATCAAAGCATAACCCCTCACTCACATTTGTGCCTATGTCGAAGTTGTCGCTGTCCAAAGCACATTACAACAAGCCAAGAGCGGGGCCACACATGGCTGAAAGGACCAGACGGGAGAAAGAATGATGGCCCCATAGCGGGAGCTTCTTACACCTTTAAAATTTGTAATCTTGCCTCACAAGCTGTTAGTCACAACCCAAGACCTAGAACCTTCAGATTCAGTCCGATTAAACACATGAGTAGCTAGAGTTCCTTCCTCTTGATGGCGTTTCATATCTGGGCACCCGCTAGTTGTCACCCCACCCCGAGGATTGCCGACTTCTCCGCAACCTCCACCACACCCACCGACGTCCGAGATATAGTTTGCTCTCTGAACGATCCTTGCATCCAACAAGGGCAGAGTGCCAGAGTGGTTAATGGGTATGACTCGAATTAAACTCGCAATCATATGGCTTCGGCCGCATGAGTTCAAATCTCATCTCTGTCGTGAGGATATTCCTTTTGCTTTTGTGGTGGTTGAGCATTGAAGTTGAGGGCAGGACACAGCCCCGCACTTGCCACTTTTTCTCAGTGAGCTCTGAGCAGTGGATCCATCGGCCGGGCGATTATGAAAGACATAAACAAAGTTATGCATTAGTGTTTGTTCCCCTCATGAATCTAAAGTCCAGTCACTGAAGCGGTCATCCAAGCCGCCAACGCGATCCTCAAAGAGGCAAGTAATTGCGCCGCGCCCTTCAGTTACAACAACTGTGCGCAAACTCAAAGAGCAGGAGACACAAAGTCCCCATTCTCCTTTTACAACTGGAAGTCATTGAGGATAGAAAGGAATATATCTATACAGTAATTCGCAAAGCTTACCAACTAGAGGAGGACTCTTCGACCAGCAATTGCCATCCGCACCTTCCTCAGAATGCCCGTCAAACTACGCCCCGCTACTCCCGCAGACGGCCCGGCCCTCGCGTCTATCTACCTCTCCGCCTTCCACGACAACCCGGTGGCCTTAACGAGCTTCCCAGCAACGTCTGAAGTCCGCGAATTCCTTGCCAAATCTTTTGCGGAAGAGATGAGCGAACACCGATTCCAATGGCTCATCATCACTGACCCAGACTATGAGGATCCCGACCTACCCATCGCCTGCGCAAAGTGGGTTCGCCCAGCAGGACCCAACGACACAAACATTGAGCCGCCGCCTCCTGTGGATGTCTGGCCAAAGGAGGGTAATCCAGAATTCGCGAGTCACTTCTTTGGCTCCATTGGTCGGAAGCACGCTGAGATCATGGGCGAGGTCAGACACTGGTACCTGGAGCTTCTCATTTGTCGGACAGAACATCAGGGGAAGGGCGCAGCCAGCCCGCTCCTCAGATGGGGCGTCGAGAAGGCCGATAAGGAAGGAAGGATGGCTTTCTTGGAGTCTATGCCTCTGGCGAAAGGTATTTACGAAAAGTATGGGTTTCAATCATTATGCCGCCTAGAGTTTACAACACCCAGCTCTGGCGAAGTGACACAAGACTTCATGCTTCGAAAAGGCAAGGCAACGGAAGACTATGAGTTGTTGTTGAAGAACTTCAACGCGTCATCATGACGGCTTGGCTCAGCGAATGGACTTAATGAGTCTAGCTATCACATATCGACACAAATCAAGCATTTGGGTAAACGGCCAGCGGACATCATTAGAGGTAGGCTCAGGCTAGACTCCGAAAGACTGAAACTAGCATCGAGCTGATATTCCTCTTCGTATCAAAGGGCTAAAGCACAATGGATTCGCAAGTAAGCTTCTGGAAACCTCATATTATTCGATTGAAGTCCTATTTGCGTGAGTCTGCTAGCATATCTGGAGAACCAGATCAGGGGTGATTTTCGACGTTATAATATACCTAGTTCACAGAGGCACACCAGATGCCAGACCTTCAGCCAGCGCCAGCAGATTCGAGACAGTTCCGACACTGGCCGGCTCCCGCGTGAAGCTCTCGTTATACCCCCACTGCGTGATATACAAGCTATGCACACCCTGCGCAACAATGGCGTTGATGTCCGTCTGGAGAGTCGCCACAGAAGCAGGCTGGTAGGGCTCCCAGTCATCATAGAAGTCGTGAACGATGACAGCAGACTTGGCCCTCTGCGCCGCATCCGTCGGCAGAGAGCTCAACGACGCAGGCGTGAACGGCGTGTACGTGTTTCTCGGGCACCGGTCCTGCGGCGCATTGGAATCAGCCGTGTAGCACGTTTCCAACGACAAGATAGCATCAGCCACGGTGTAGAGCGAGGAGCTGGCGGGGTTGACGGTAACACCCGGGTTCAGAACCACCACGCCCGTAGCGGACTTGGCATAGTTGGTGACATCGGTGTAGTACTGAAGCTGAGCGGGAGCCGTGTTGACCTCATCAAAAAAGATACCGTCCATGTGAATATCGTAAGAGTTACCGTCCCAACCGTTGGTCGTGTCCCAGCCGGCGTAGGTGTCGACCCCCTGCTTGACGAGGGCGATGTCATGAGGCTGGGCTTGCACTGTACCGAGGGTAGAGATGTAGCCCAGGGTCACAGTGTTGGGACGGTCATTGATCTGGCCGATCCACTGAGCCCAATCAATCTTGATACCTGCCTCTGAAGCGAAGGGAGGGCCGCTATTGGGGTTGATGATGACGTTAAAGGTCAAGTCTGGATGGGCGTCGATGGCCGCGATAGCCGCTTGCCAGTCCATGGTGCCATCGTAAGGCTTCTGTACATCGTTGATTGGGTAGATATAAAGCGGCAACAGAATTTCGACCGCGGCCGTTGCTGTACCCAAAAGGCTTGCGATTGATGGAAGAAACTTCATCGTGTTGATAATTCTAGTTGTTAAGATGTAATGGCTGGAGTTGATAGTCAAGGTCAACTAGTTCTGGTGAACGGCGAATTCTAGCCGACTCTTCTTATACTCAAGGTCGATGTTGCCAAGTCGGCAAGGGACAAGGCGAACCAGACTCGTGCATCGGTGAGCTGCCCCAGTCTCTTCATCCCTCGCCTAGTTGTCTAAGACTTTCGACTTGGCATACGCGATGGCGAACCTGTCACAAGAATGCCAGACCGGTCTGGACGAGAAACAAAGGTCAAAATGTCTCTGTTTTCGATTTCTCAATGTCATTGCACTACACAAAAGTGCAAAGAAACGGGTGGGATCTTGACATGATGACGATCCAAAGTCGGAAGACCCCGGTTGTGTGATCTCGGACTCTAGGCAGCAGGCTGACAAAAATCGTTTGAAGGATATGGCTCGATGTAGTAGGATGTGCACCCTTATTCGGCAGGCCCCGCCAGCCTAGGATCAATACCTACAGCACTAACCTGACTGAGTTGTGTAATCCACTTCAGTCTGACATGTTGGCTGACGAGGCGTGATCTTGCTTGCCGTCTTTCCGTAAGGATTCTGTACACCATATTCTTGCGTATGGTAACTGGTACTCGTAGATGGTATTTCTGGGGGTTGGAGTCGCGCTTCCATCTTAAAGTTCCCATTTTTTTCTCAGTTGCTTGCTTTGGGCGATTAGGGCCAGTACCTAAGGTAAATCACACTCCAAGCGCAAGAGTGCGTGGCACATCAACAGTAGGAAGGAAGGCAAGATTTTCCTCAATTTCAGGGCAAGCAAGAGAGAATTGAACAACCGAGATTTTCGGATCGAGTACCTAGGATTCTTTTGAGCTCAATGACATGCCTACTGGGCATGCAGGTGAGTATTCGTCGAATACCTATCCGCTTCATGTTGCCTCCGGTATGCTAATCCTAGGATGCAGAAGACAATAGCTACATCACTAGGTATCGATGTGTAAGTAAAATGCATTTCGGAGCGAAATGCGGTTTTGACCGGCGTGAAACCGCCTTTACTACTGACATGACGTATCTAGTCAGTTGATGTGATGCCGCCGACTCTTGAATCATTGTGAAGTCGTCCCCGTGAGAGGCCCCTGTTGCACGCGCAAGGAAGAGTTCAAGCTTGGTCCGGGTGCCCTCAAACAAAGGTCAGCTTCGTATTCGTACCATGACAGATATCGCCAACTCAATCTACTTTACCCAGCCTATCAGACCCTTCATAGTTTGCTCTTGCACCCGGTAGGTTGGAGCTAAGGACCCCGACATCAGCGGGATGATACGGCAGCACGGTGCTTAGCTCCCCCGTAAAATACGCTTACGATCGGACCGTCGGGGATCGTAAGGCCCGAAATCTGTGGGTGTCCTCTCCGCAGCTTTCGCAAAAAGTTGCCGGCGTTGCTGCGAACTCCGCCATGTCTAACATTACGACCCAAGATTCATGGATGATATGGGGTGCTCAAACTGAGATTGCCAATCGGACTTTGACCACTGCTGTCTTCGATAACCCTTTATCATGACGCAGCATTTGCTGTGTTTCGGAACTTGAACGGGTCTCTAAGTGGGATCTCTGGGGGGTCAAATGGGTTTTGCCCGGCGCATCGAAGGGCCCTGGCTTTGATCATCGTGCATGGTAGCCTACCACTATCCCTCGATTTTGCTCTGCAAGACATGTTTTCCGCGCAAGTACTTACTGGAGTCTCCGAGGTGGACATTCGCCGAGTCCGCCTCTACAGCTGACGCATCGGCGGACTGAATACAGCAAGTTGACGACTTGCTGACGGAGTAGTCCGGTAGCTAGATTCATTCTGCGTTATTTCGATGTCCGGGATGGAACGGGGACGGAAATGCCATTCCGTTCTTTCACTTGTTCCACGCTGCGAACCAGTTCAGTCCTTGTTGACATGGGACGGGAACGGGATCAGAGTTTGGCCCCAAGAGACCTAGTAGGCACTGTCTCGGTGGAGACGGGCCTCTTGCGGTATATATCACCGGCCACGATCCCAGGGCCGTTTCGTTAGTCAATTTCGCAACATCCAAGAACACCTCATTCAGAATGTCAAGCGGTCCATTCAAAGTCATCATCATTGGCGGTGGCCCTAGCGGTATCACCGCCGCACACGCGCTTCACCACGCCGGAATCGACTTCGTCGTCCTCGAACGCAGGACGAATATCGTCGAGGATCTCGGCGCAAGTCTCGTTCTGGGCGCACAGAGCCTGCGCGTCTTCCACCAGTTTGGCATCCTCGAAAACCTTCTGGAAATTGGCGGAAAGCTGCACGAGAATAAGGGCTTTACAGTTGATGGATATAAATTCAAACATGCAGAGACACTGGCCATATTGAAAGCGCAGTAGGTTTCTTCCGTTTGTTCTTTCGTGCCGTCTTCGCGAACCCCTATTCCTCCCCACTTCCCATGTAAGCCAAATCGCGTGCCCGCTAACAAAATCTTCCTCGTCCTCCAGCCACGGCGCAGAACCCATTGCATTTCACAGAGCTCACCTGATTGAGGCCCTCTACGAAGGTCTCCCAGAAGCCGCAAAGGCGAAATATTTGACCGGCAAGAAGCTCGCCGGTATCGTCTCCACAGACACGGGAGTGACCGTCACTTGCGAAGATGGCTCATCCTACAATGGCTCCGTTGTCATTGGCGCCGATGGCGTACACTCAGCGACACGCCGACAGATGCGCAAACTCGCCGTTGCCGAGGACCCCTCGCGCGAAGAGACGTGGGACGCTGTGAAGCCTTTCAAGACGCTCTACCAGTGCATGTGGGCCTCGTTCCCGCGCCCGACAGAGACCGGCCAGAGCTATGAGACGTCAGGGACCGACAGCTCCGTTATGTACATTACCGGCAAGGACAGAGGCTGGATTTTCTTGTACGAGAAGCTTCCCGAGACGACGACGGAGCGCATCTCTTTTACCGACGAGGAATTGGATGCGTTTGCTGGAAGATTCGCAGAGTGGCCTATAACCGACACTCTCAAGGTGAAAGATGTTTACATGGAGCGCTTCAACGCTGGTGGCGCAGGCCTGGAAGAGGGCCTATGTAAACACTGGAGTTGGAACGGGAGGGTCGTGCTTGTAGGTGACGCAGCCCACAAGTTCACGCCTAATGCCGGCTTGGGCTTCAACAACGGCGTGCAGGATGTGGTGGCGCTCTGCAACAGGCTGCAAAAGTTTGTCTCTGCGTCTGCAAACGAAGCCAACAGCAAGACTCCCGACTTCTCGGCGCTGGAGATTCAGTTCGAGGCGTATAGACAGGAGAGGCAAGAGCGGGTAGAGCAGGATCTTGAACAGTCTGCACGCGTGACGAGGATGCACGCATGGGCTTCGACGTGGGATTGGATCATGCAGAGGTATGTCCTGTCGTGGGCTTTTGTTCAGCACCTCTTCATCGCCTATATCGTCTCGCCCAATGCGCAGAAGGCGGGAATCTTGGACTTCATCTCGGCATCGGAACCGTTCGAGGGCACCTACAAATGGCTGCACCCGTTGAAAGGAATCAAGAATGGAGGGTCCGTGTAGGAAAAGCAACAATACTTTCATTTTGCTTCAGCATAGCGTGTTGGCCGACGGTCTATAGATTCGTGTAGCATTTCAGTCAGTTCCCCTCTTCATGACCTTGCTCAGCTAGGCACTGTTTAGAACCCCCAGGCGTTCTAATTCCTGTTTCTGGGGCGTGTACCGAAGTTTCTGCTGTCAACTCAAACTACTCGATGTAGGCGGGGTATTTTGAACAGGCATCTTATTGATGTAATCATGGCCACCTGCAGTACATATACCTAAGCTCCGAATATGGAGTCATTTCATCGTAGAGTCCATAATTGCTTCTGCCTAGATTCATTTATGATTTTCGTCAGATCGTATGATGGACCTCACGAGCGCTGACCGGATGGGCTTGAAGCGCAGTACAGCAACTCTCGAATCATGCACCTTGAGGCTTGCGATGCAATCAGCAGCGCCATCACTATGTCGGGCGTATTCCCAGGCGGACATCGCTCGTAGTTCCCACTTACACAAGTTAATCGCAAGCCCCTGACACTGGAATCGCGTAAGATCGTATGTGACCGTTACTGTTTTATCCGAAGCTTCTTGTCCCATCGCTTCAAGTGACTTGCGAAAGACAGTGTGTTTCAATGTCCAAATCAAGTCACAAACGATCTTGGTGTAGAGCATTACGTTCCCCTTAAAGCTTCTTATTTGGAGTGCAAGCGCGGGGAAGAGAGCTGAGAATCCGGGGGTGAGGACCGGCCGGCTGGTTCGGTCGTGAAGATCAGCACGATGAGCTGTGCCACAACCACAGCGTCGCCAAACCACGGATGAACATGTGCTCGAAAGTTCTAAAGCTGCCAAGGGCCTTCAAAGCCTTTCATCATTGGCTTGCCCAGAGGTCCAGGGTGGCCTTGGTATGCCCCCAAAGTTGGCCATACTGCGTCATCCCACGCGCCGATGGCCCCAATGACTGGCTAGGAACCCAGGGCCATGGGCGCAAACCTGGTTTTGCAGCTTCCGCGTCCAATTAGCCAGCGGAGGCATGATGCTCTCTCCAAGAGTAGACATCAAGATGGGCCCTTATAATTATCAACAGATGCCCATGTGGGAATATTCGAGGAATCCAGTAGTATTTATCCTAGCTCACATAGGCTTCATCGCATCTTACAAGGCTGTTGTGCACCCTGAAGTGGAATCATCAGCACTCAAAACAGCACACCGAGTCTCACTCATTCGAAGCGATGTATCTCACAAAAGCACTCACTCTCGCCCTACTCCACACCTTAGTCTCCGCTCAGACGGTGGTAACAATCACTGAAGCGCCCCCGAGTCCAACGGCAGAGCCACAGTGGACATCAGACAACACCTTCACCTCGGCCGTCCTCAATAGCACAAACTTTTACCGCGGTGAGCACAATGCGTCATCCGTGACATGGAACGAAACGCTTGCCGACTTCGCGGCAGACTACCTCGACGACATGTCAGGCGACAGCTGCGACTTTGAGCACTCGGGCGGTCCCTATGGCGAGAACTTGGCTAAGGGATACCCTAACACGACCGCGAGCGTTGAGGCATGGGGCGAGGAACGCGACGACTACAACTTCAAAAAGGGCGAATTCGACGAGGACACTGGACACTTCACGCAACTGGTGTGGAAAGACACGACGGATGTCGGGTGTGGTCGCAAGCTGTGTGGTGACGGGCAGTGGTATCTCGTGTGCGAGTACTGGCCGAGGGGCAACGTCGTGGGCCAATTTACAGAGGAAGTGCAAAGTCAAGAATCGCTGGGTGTGCGGATGAGCCCCAGTGTCGTTCCGTACCTGTTAGCTGTTGCTGGCAGTGTGACAGCATGGATCTTGTCTTGAGAGGCATTCATCGCCGGCGCTTATTTAGGTGAATGAAAAGCCTTTTTTTAATGGTAATCTGACAATGAGTAAGGGGTCTCATTCTGCCTGGCCCCTCCAATTACATATTCCAGGCTTATTCGAGACGGTTGAAATTTCCTCACCCGAACCACTACCAAACTTCTTACACCCATTTGATGGCCATCTCACACCCGTCATATCGACTTATTCACTTCGACACACGAAGCACATCCGAATGGATTTTTCCTTCACTTATTGAGGCTTACTTCATCTCAATGTCAATCACACAGACTTTCCCCATCCCAGACCCGAAGTTTGATAAGTATCGCGTAGGAAGGGAGAGGATCCGCGTCTCGCGAGATGCCCAAGATCCGACAAGGGATGCATAGATTGCCCGTTGTTATCCGGCCTGCCTTTACCAAGTAAAACTGAGCTGGTCTGATACTTGACTCCGGCTAGAGTCCCTCTCTGCCGGTGCTGTAGCAACTAATCTCCACAAATTCGAGTTAACCTCAAAATGGGTTGGACCTTAAACACCGTCCCTCCTCGTTCTTTGTGACCCTTTAGTCATTATGTCATCCATCCAACCTGTCCAACAAACAACCCCGCGTCAACGACTAGAAACCTTGTCATTAGCAATCGACTTCGTTTCTCGTGCGTAAACGACCCATATACCAACCTCAAGCCCCGAGTGCAATCTTCCTTCACGATCGCCTCATCGGTAGCTGGCACCCGCAGCCCAAAGCATTCAGGATGGGTCTGAATGTGGGGTTGCTTTTCCAAGCACTAGGCGCTCTTGCAGCGTTCTACGTTGCCAAATTTATCTTGCGACTGGTTCAAGTAAGATCGAGAGTGCGCGCCGTCTCGAAAGACCATGGAGTGGTAGGTAATCATGTTAGAAAGTTGAGCCCCGCCCAAGACTCGTGCGCTTCGAGGATTTGCATTGATGAACCTAGTCACTGATGATACGCCACAGGACATTCTTCCGCACTCGTTCATCTTTGGCCATCTTTTGCTGGTGGGTAAATTGATGGCAAAGCAGCCTCCGGGACTGAATGGCCAAGTTCTGCCTCTGCTACTATTGAGGAAGTACCCGGAACTCTGCACGAAAGGATTAGTCTATGTAGACACATGGCCAATAGGCCCGCCCATGGTCGCCGTCTTCCACCCAAAGATAGCAGATCAGTTCACCCAGGAGCGATCGCTGCCGAAACATTCAATGATGAAGGAGGAGTTTCACCCCCTAACGGCATGCGATGATCTTGTCAATATGGAAGGCCAGACATGGAAGACTTGGCGAGCTGTGTTTAACCCTGGATTCTCAGCTCGCAATATTCTCTCCCTGGTGCCTGCAATGGTCGAGGAAGCGCTAGTCCTCAAGAAGTCTTTCGAGACTCTAGCTGACTCCGGAACCACTGTTGCTCTGGAAGATGGTGTGATGAAGGCTACGGTGGACGTTATCGGCAGAGCGGTTCTGTGAGTCACCCCTTTCGCTTTCAATACCATTTTCGAGGCTCGATACAGGAAATTCGCTAGTATTGCAAGCTTGAACGACTGAGTCGGACCTCAGCTGACCGAAATAACTAAGGGGTACGCGACTAAATGCACAAACAACAGACTCACCTGTATTCACGGCTCTGCAGAAGCAGATTGGCCTGTTGATACCTGACAATTCGCCCCCCAATTTTCTCAAGTCTATCAATCCATTGAGGCCGTTTCAGATGCTTTACTACAACTACATTATGAAGCGCGAGATTGTGCCGCACATCGAGCGACAGCTCAATGAAAACATCTCTGAAAAAAGTAATAGTAACGGCCCAAAAACCGTCAACAGTCTGGCAATAACTTCATACATCAAAGAGATCTCCGCGTCTGGCTCGAAACCCGAAGCGAAGCTCGACTCACAGTTCATCGACATCGCCGTTTCTCAGCTCAAGATCTTTCTGCTCGCAGGCCATGATACCACGGCTAGCGCTCTGTGTTTCGCTTGGTATCTCATGAGCAAGTACCCCGCTATCCTTGAGAAGGTAAGATCCGAGCATGATGAAATCTTTGGAATCGATGCAAGCGCTGCGGCATCCCGCATCATCGAGAATCCTTCTTTGCTTAATCAACTCCCTTACACAAACGCCGTGCTGAAAAAAACCCTCCGCCTCTATCCGCCCGTTGGAACCGTACGACAAGGGGCTCCTGATGTTTTTATTACCGCACCGGAAACAGGCGAGCGTTTCCCTACTGACGGGTTCATGATGTTCGTTGCTTCGCAGGCGATGCACCGATGGGAAGCGCTTTGGCCAGAACCCGATAAAGTCATTCCTGAGAGATGGCTAGTCAAAGAGGGCGACCCTCTTCACCCGGTGAAGAGCGCATTTCGACCTTTCGAACTGGGTCCGAGAAACTGCATTGGTCAAGAGTTAGCCTTCGTCGAGATGCGACTCATACTGGCTTTGACGGTGAGAGAGCTCGAAGTTGTGCCACAATTTGCCGAGGACGCGCCAGAGGTCTTCGGGGAGAAAGGTTTCCAGTGGATGACAGGGACACAGATCACTGCTCATCCCAAAGAGGGAATGCCAGCTAAGATTGTAAGAAGGTAATATGGTTCTTGGTTCTGTTTGGGAACAGCTAGGAGGAGTGGACGATGCTAATCTTTCAATGCTTTCATAAGTATGTCTGTCTCTATCTGTAGGGAAAGGGCTGCGTTTAGTACTAAGCGTAACTTACATGTACTCACAGTCAATTCAAGACACAATCCATTTATTAGAAAGTCTTCATACCATATGATAAAGTATCCAAGACGTGAGATTAAGCTTTGGCGGCAGAGAAGTTCTTTGGAAATTTCCCTATTGGGAAGAAACATCGCTAGTGCTGACGCTCGGCAACGATGTCTCTGTTCCGACAACTGCACTGGCGTGACTGGATAGACGAGGCATCGTCCCTCTTCGAACCAATGACGAATTAAATCTTATCTTAGTTTTAACAAGCATTCTGCCTCCGAAAAAAAGAAGGGGTTGAATGGACAAATACGGGTAGCTTTTGTCATTTCCTGTCGTATGCTTTGGTGCGATCAACTCATTGGGCAGCGTTTACTCTTGAGCCGTTTGGTAGGGTCTTGTTCACGAACGCGCTCAGTTCTGTCTACCCATGAATCACTGTGGCTAGGAGATAAGACGACACTCTTTTCATCAAACCATTTGCATGCCATGCCATCGGAATCCACGAGAGACAACTCCTTGCAGCCCCTAGGCCCAGCTCGTGGAAGTGCTTCATGTGCCAAGTCGGCACAGTGCCTTTGCTTATCACAATTCTGCATGGGTCACTGGAATCTTTCGAGAATTGCTCTCTCTCTCTCGATAAAAGATCGTTGTCGACTCCGAGACCCTGCTACCAAGGTCTTGGCTTTCTTAGGTCAGAAGATGACAATGCAACCCCAACAGCTTGGTCTGAAAAGGTCTCATAGCTAAGCCGACAGACAAGAGATGGCTGACAGAACTCTTCCTCCGCTCTAATACGACCTCAACCCACAGACCAAGCCGGAAGGATCACGCACGATATCAGCCTCCAGTCAAACTCCACTCAACTTCCAACTCAATTCCTTTTGTCCGCTTAGGAACTCAATCAAAGTAGCAGCTGACTCTGGAACTCTGAGCTCACCGGCCGCATCGGACCTGAACTCCCTTCGGGGATAGCTCCATTAGCCTTCGGGGATCCCACTCGGTTCCATCTGCCGGTAAAATCCCCCGCCTTGTTATGCAGGTTTACCTGTCAGCGCTAATATAGATCCACTCTGTCATTCGTCAAATGGAGGGCCATTTCTTATGTGAGCCTGTCAGGTCCCAGGGCCTTCCCACGCCACCCCGGGAACCGCTCCTTACCCGCTGTGGGCTGGGCGGGTGAAGATAACCTTCTTTGCCCTTCCCGTCATTCAAATCCGACGGCCCCTCGTTGTCTACTGTAAAGTGATAATATGGGACAGATCCATCAGGAGACTCAGAATATTTGGTCCGCTTCCTTGGCCTTTTGCTTACTCTATGCCGCGTCCGGCCGGTAATGCTCGAGAGGTATCTGGAGGCTTTACTTCATCTACATTTTGACAGTAAATGCGTATTCAATCAGCTTTGTGGCCCATGAATGGAAACGAGGATGCCTTGTTGGTAGGTTTGGATCTCTGGGGCCGGCATGCGTATCGCCCTTCACCATCAGACGAACTGGGCACGACTTTGGCAGTAGGGTATAATAGAAACGGCGTAAGTCTCATTTAGTTCCTAGCGGGGGCGAGCTGAGCGATGCAACCTAAAATGATAGATTGAGTCGTATTCTCCAAGGTAGTCTGCATCTTGGCCGACAGGATCCTAAGGTATGGGAACTGGGCCTGGACTCCAAGACTGGGCAAGAGACGAAGCGGGCGATGAGTACCGTATCAGAAGGGAAGTAAGGCGGGGTTCCAAGAGCTGACACTGGATCCTCCATGATTTCTGACAGTTTATATATGAGCTCTTTCAACCGTTCAGTTTCTTATCAACGGGCCGCTACTCAAGGCCTCTCGAACTCTCTAGGCTCTAGTTGTCACCATGGTTCAACTGTTGACTGCCCTTCTGAGCGTAGCGGGGGTCGCCCATAGCGTCTTTGCTGCTGACCTTGTACCCCGGACATGGCAAGGCAAGCAGTATGGCTGCAAGTGCTACTTCGGCGACGAATGCTGGCCAAAGTCTAATGACTGGGAGAAGCTGAACACAACTGTTGAAGGCAACCTTCATGTTCACATCCCTCCGGAAGCTGTTTGCCACAACACCTTCAACGGTACCCTCGGCACAATCCCAACATACGATGCGGCGAAGTGCGCTGAACTCAGCGCTATCTACACGGATGAGCAATGGTCGTAAGTCAACCCTCTTGATTGCCTTTCCTATCCTGCAGAAAGCAGAGCTCAACAAAGCTGATTCTCGCCGAAGAACTGATCAATTGGGTCTTAATCTGTGGAAGTATTTCACCAACTCCACATGTCAGCCTACCGAGAACCCTGGAGAGTCTTGCACCCTGGGCAACTATGGCGTCTATGTAATTCAGGCGACCACGAAGCAACATATCAAGGCTGGTATTGACTACGCGAGAGACAACAACCTGCGCCTGATCATCCGCAACACCGGCCACGACTTCATCGGACGCAGCACGGGTTGGGGTGCTCTCATAATCAACACTCACAGCTTCCAGGATATCACGTTTGCGCAGCAATGGACTGGCCCTGGTGATTACTCCGGCGGCGCCGTCACCCTTGGTGCTGGAGTCCAGGGTCGCGCCCTGCTGAGGGCAGCAAACGCCCAAAACCCTCCCGTCGTTGTGGTCACTGGTGAATGTCCCACCGTGGGCGTTGCTGGAGGTCTCGTCGCTGGCGGAGGTCATGGCCCACTGACCACGCTGCACGGCATGACCGCCGACAATGCACTCGAGTTCGAGGCCATCACCGCTGAGGGCGAGTACGTCAAGGCGAACGCGGACGAGAATCCAGATCTATTTTTCGGTCTTAAGGGCGGCGGACCGTCTTCGTACGCCATCGTGACATCAGTGACTTTCCGGACGTATCCCGAAGAGAAGGCAGCCGGCGGTGTCTTGTACATCAATGGAACCAGCGGAGCCAACGAGACGACGTTCTGGGAGGGAGTACGTGTATTCCACAAGTGGTCTAATCATTTCGTCGACAGCGGGTTGTACGTTTACTTTGAGCTCGGTTCGATGATGCTCACCGTGCAACCGTTTGTGGCGATTGGCAAGACGCAGGGGGAACTCGACGCGATTATCAAGCCAATGCTTGATGAACTTAAGGCCAACAGTATTCCCTTTGAGTCGTCCACCAAAGGCTTCGGCACGTTCTTCGCCCTCTACACCGACCTTTTCCAAGACGAGCAGGCTGGTACCCAGGCCTTGACCGGCGGGTGGATGTTTAGCCACACTGATGTGGAGAAGCGGAACGACCAGATCGTTGATGCTTTCAAGACCGTTGCCACCCCCCGAGAAGGACTGGCTGGTTTCATGGTGGGGCATCTGTGAGTAACTTCGTCTTTCGTCTCTGGAATAAGTCTGACATCAAGCAGATGGAATGCTGGCCATGGATGGCCGGTGGCAAACAGTGCGACTCACCCAGCCTTCAGAAACGCGACCGACTTCATCATCAGTGTCATACCGGTTCCTTATGGCGCCAGCTTGGAAGAGAAAGCGGACCTGCAGAACGTTTTGACCAATATTCAGGATGAGGCTTTGAGACAGGCTGGCCCTGATGGGTGCACCTACGTCAACGAGGTTAGTTCCTTTGGAAGAGCCATGATCACACTGAGGCGAGGCTTGACTAACTATCTCACCAGGCGGATCCATTCCAATCCAACTGGCAAGATGCTTTCTGGGGCCCGGTCTACCCGACGCTGCTTGAGTTGCGGAAGAAGTGGGACCCTAACGGCATCTTCTACGCCGTTGCGACTCCTGGTACGGAAGACTGGGAAGAGATCGAGTATAACACGAGACTGTGCAAGAGACTTTAGATCAAAGTACATATTTCTAGTCGTTTCTGCTTACTGGAGTTCCCCCGACAGCTCGGGCGTTGTGGTGTGAGAGCTCCAATCTTGAGGGCCTTGCCTTTCTCGGTCGGCAAATTTGACTTCTATTTCGATATACGATCTCTATGATATCAGTCTAGCATTCATGTGAATCCGACCTCCTCTCGGCCCAGCTTGCCAACGGTTCGTCATGAGTATGATCCATCATCTAGCTTCTTCGTTCCGGACTAGTCGGTACCGGAAGATGCCGCCGCATCCTAGTGACAATCTCCAGATACTCGTCATTATTCTCGGACGTCATGATGTTGTGGCGAATGAAGAAGTCGAGCATGACCAGAACGCAGTTGGGCTTGAACTGCTCTCCCAGCATGGCATCCTTGACCTGGTCACTCGTCATCAATTCGAACCCAGAAACCTCATCATCGCCCGGTTTAGGGACAATCGACTCTGGCAGCTCAAGATCGTAGACGTAGAGAACAGTCGGGAAGAACGTTCCTTTTTGCTTGTTCAAGCTGCAGTACGTCACTGCTCCAACAGCCCGCGCATTCTCCTTGACAAAGGCTGCCGGCAGCGACGCCTCCTCCGTCGCCTCGGCGATGATGCAGTCAAAGGGTGAATCCTCGGCCTTGACACCGCCCGCAACAGTGGTGTCGAGCAGGTTCGGGAGGGTGAAGAGGTGCGCGCTCCGCCTGGGCACCCAGATCTTCATCCCTTCGCTCGTTTGGACGTAGGCCGTCATGTGTGCCCCGCGCGACGAGATTCCGAACAGAGGTGCCGGAAATCGCTCAATTGAGACAAAGTGGTTCGCGCCGATGATCCTGAAGTGCTCGCTGTGGAGTTTGTTCAGTGAGGGGAAAGAATCAGACGCGATAGCGGCGTCGACGACGCGCTGGAAGGCAGCTGTGTACGCCTTGCCGGGATTCTCGTCATCTTTGATTGCGGAGCTGAGCAGCTGTACTGTGCGCTTCTCACGGTCGATGTGGAAGTCTGGGGTCCACGGAAGACACTCTACCGTGCTTGCAATCATGAATCCATGCGGTCTGACATCATTCGGGAGAAAGAGCTTGTAGAGAGTGTTGAAATCAAAGTCCAGAGGGACACTGGTTGGTGGTCAGCAGTTCATTGCGCTCAAGGAGTGAGATCAAACTTAATTGATCGAGTCACTCAACTTGTCGACCTTGTTAATCAAAGGCAGATAACCTTGATGACTTTGTGGCTCTTTCGCTTGCGCAGCCATACCTTATGATTTTCGAATGTGTTAAAATAAAGTGTAAAAGCTGCGGCGCTGAGGTCTTAGATGAGGTGATGCGTGTGATGATACGACTATGATGAGAGTCAGAGAATAATTTCAAGTGTGAACCCGTGAGAGTTCATGGTTATACCACCCCTCATCATACCTAACTTGCTCGGTTAGCGCTCGGTTCAGGCGGGGCTCAGCCTCACATCGGTTAGCTTGGTCCCGATTTTGTGCATCTCGAATCATCTAACTCAACGTCTTCATGCCTCATCAATCACCTCCAAGACTTTCCATGAGCATGAGGAGGAACTACATAAACGACGACTTTGAAATGCAAGTCTGAATCCTTTTTATTATTGTTGTCAGCATATGAGTTAAAGATCGCTTAATTTATGATATCAGCAAAATTTGCAATGAATGGACATTGCACGTGCCATCCCCGTGTGTAGGGCGTTTCTGGCTTGCTATTTGCAGGCTCCGCCTCGAAACGCGACCAGCCATCTATCTCAGCTACAAGATAATTGACGCCAGCTCAGTAGAGGCAAATAAGTCAACAATATACCAAATCTACATCACATGCAATGGTGCAATGAGATGCAGAAACCTGTTCTAGGTTTGGGTTCCCTGCCGGTTTCAGGGCATTCACACCTCTGCGAGAGCGCCACCCGTGGAGGCAAGGCTAATGGCGAGGTTCGTCTCGTCAGGCGGTGTATCGGAGTCATTGGTAGCTACACTAGTCACGCCCTGAGCTATAGAAGCTCCTGTACCACCACCCCCAGCGCCGTTGGGGCCTTGATGAAAGATGGCCTTGAAAAGCAGCGACATGAGGAAGGCGCTGGCTGTCAGGACGATCGGACCATACAGGGTGAGGGCGTTGTGTAAGGGGGGCGACCCTGAAGCCTGAGATACGCCGATATATTGCAAGGCCAGCATGATGACGCAGACCACGTATCTGTGATCGAGTTAATTGCCATAGAATACTATCAAGGCGGCGGCACTTAGAGCTGTCTCCGATGGTTGACCCCGCGTGGGATGCGCCGTATCTGTAACCAAAGGTACGCCAAAGAGGCCATGGCCCAGACGCCGTACGTCCTGGAAAGACTTGTCAGCAAATTAAATTTTGACCAGAGCAGAGAGCAGAGACTCACAGGATCCATGACCAGACTGGAAAACTCTCCGTGGTGCGAATTGGGATCGCGGCGACACCTGAAATGGCGGACGCGATTCCTGAAGCGATGCGCAGGATTCGAGCGACCCTCAAAGCCGCGGCCGCTAACGGTATGCCATAGCCTGCAAGAAAGAGTCCCACTGTGAGCTTTCGGGTGATTGAGAGCCGGTTCCGACGACTCCTGACTAAACTCAGACTCATCGGGTTTGAGCCACTACGAAGCCTACGCAGTGTGGGCGTAAAAGCGGGATCGTGCTGGACGAGATCGGTTGGTATCAGCAGCGTATAAGATTTGAGGACTGCTGCGTCCGAGGAGCAGCAGTCAGACTTGTTGATATTGGAGACAAGACTGGGGTCTAAAGTAGTACTAGTACAGAGGCGGTCGCCCAAATGATTGGTATATCTGTGCTTGTTGGGCCGGACGACTTTGAAATCGTAGTCTGCAGCAGCCGTGAGTAAGACGAGCGCCTCGAGCATGAGCAGCGGTGTCTCCGTCGTCGGCGGCGGCCGATTCTCCTCGAACGCCCTCTTGCGGCAATCAAAATCGCTGAGATCGGCGCAGCCTCGGCCTGGCTTGCTTGTTTTTCCTTCGTTGACTTCAGAGTCCCGATTGGAAGACCTTCGAGAGTTAACCGCTTCATCGTCATGACCGCCGGGGAGGTCAATTCGCACTCCCTTTGAGATGCCCGGGATGCCTGCGAGGGTATAGCAAGCCGCATAGCATGCCGCGGAACTTTTGCAGTTGAGTACCTTGTTGAGCAGGCATCGTGTGAAGGCGGGTGGGTTGTTTTCGGCCTCAATTAGCTGCGGCAGTGTCAACGCACCCTGACTTTCTTCCTAATGACTTGTTGCCAGTCAACAACTTGAGGTCCCAGGGTTATTCTCTCCGTATGCGAGGAGTGCAAGAACGAAGGCTTGCACCTGAAGCACCGACGCTTGAATCTGCGACCGTCCTGCGTGCCCATTTGCTGCGCTCCTGCCCGCTGCTTCCGCCCATGGAATTGTGTCTTGTTCTGGGCCTTCCCCGAGGTTAGCTGTGACTCTATCGCGGTACCTAAAGTGACATCAATCTCGCCTCGTTTTTCCTCATTGCAGAAGGAGGTTCCTATTCTCTACTATCCGTACTGACCGGTTGTCATCCCTCCGCCCCCGTCCCAGAAGGCTATAAATGTCTTCCAATTCTCCCGACATCCTGAATTACCTTTTTTTCTCTTCATGTTGATCCGCTTCCCTTTGGAAGCGTGGTCGCGTGCCGCACGCTGTTCACGAGAGCGTGGGCATAACGGACTTGGCGGTTCTTGAGCTAACCCCGCCAGGCTTCGAAGGTATGGCGGTCATAACTTTTGTTTTTTAATTCGACCTGGTCAGGCGGGACGTTGTTTCCTTTCCTGCCTTTTATTGCTTATACATCATGATCATCGTTACGAGGCACTGCAGTGGTTCGATCAGGAGATCCCGACTCTTGGCTGCATTCCTTTTTTTCCAAAACAATCCGCCACCTGGAGACTACAAAACACTTCATTCTACGTCCAATACTACTTGGGGATCAACACGTCAGTCTAAGCGTGATTTTATTTGGCATCTACAAACCTCAGATTCTGCCGGATTTGGTCAGCTTGACATGGATGTTCTTTTGTCTCACAAACCACGCGTTCACAGTGTCCCATTCTTTGTCTGGATAGCTCAAGTTGATCTAAAGGTGTGGTATTGTTAGTTCGAATTCTTCTAGTATAGGTAGTATTTCTTACATCGTAGGTATAGAGAAGAGTCGGAATCGCTTTGTAAATCTCAAGCAAGCTGATGTTCTTGCCGATACAGGTACGTGGACCGGCGCCAAACGTAAAGGTTGCTCCCTGCATCTCCGCCTTTCGAATTTCATAATGCCCTTGGGACTCGTGTTCGCCTTGAAGCCATCGCTCCGGTACGTAGGCGTCTAGGTCAGTGCCGAATGCAGGATGACGATGCATTACCCAGGGGTTGATGCCTACCACGGTGCCTTCTGGCAGGAATGGGCCATCAGGCAGTTGAATGCCAGCTTTGGGAACAATTCTTTCCAGAAGCAGTCCGACTGCAGGATGAAGCCTGAGCGCTTCTTTGATGGTCGCGTCCAGGTACGGCAGCTCTTGGCTCTCTTTCCATGTCACCGGTATCGACATCTTGCCGCTTTCTCTGGCACTGACGATTTCTTTCATGACCTTGTCCAAAGTTGAGGGATTCTTGAGAAGGTAGTAGAGTACTGCGCGTAATGAGATTGCTGTCGTGTCAGACCCAGCATTGACATTGCTGAGTGTCCAAGAGAAGACCTGACCATCATCGACAACTTGAGGATGCGTCTTCTTGGTTTCCAGGAAGCGAGTGAGAAAGTCGCGATGTGAAGGGTTTTCTATCTTTCCCTCGGGACGATGAAGACGCTCTTCGAGGCATCGGCGCGCAAATCGAGCCACAGCTCCTGTCGAACCGCCGCCGAACTTGCGTTTGATCGGATTCTTGATGAAAAGATGATCCAACCAAGGGATTTGACCAATCTGAGGGCATAGACTGTCAGCGACTGGCTGGTCATTTTGCTTTCCATCAAAACTCACCATTCCTGCATAGTCAACCATCTTTTCCAGTGACACCATCACATTTCCGACATCTTTGCCCTGGTCGAGAAAACCGAGCGGTTTGCCAAAGGTCAATTCTCCAATCACATCGAAAGCATCTGAATGGGAAAACGCCGATATTAGCCACGTCCGTCGAGCTTCCCAGGCAGTCACTTTACAATACTGGAGCCAAGTCGCCAGATCGCACTCTCGTCCAGCTTCGGCGAACTCATCCAACTTCTCAAGCAACTTTTCTATCGTGCTATCGACGAAGCACTCAAACTCGGTCAGGGTACTCATGGAATACAAGTTCGAGATGGGTCTCTTAATCTTGGCATGGAAGTCCTCGTCGAGCGTGGTAAAAAGTGTCTGTGTCGGTTTGCCATTCGCGAGCTGCTGCTGCACCGCATAAAACTCTGTCTAGATGAACCATCCTCATTATTACCCGCCACGAATGTCACGAGACGGGTCTAACTCACCTTACGATATCCCTTGTTCACACCATAAATCGTTTTCAAGGCTTCGAGATTTTGGACGCTGACTAGATTTGGTCCAAGCCGTACGTACTGCCCGTACTGTGCATGGAGCTTGATGTGTGTCTCATGAGCCCGTCCGCGCGCTACGTCAACGAACCTCCAGATATTGGAGATTTTGGCTAAGAATGGGCCTGGTATGTTGGAAACACCTTTGGTTGTGAAGTTCCGGACCAGGTGAATTGCCAAGACAGCAATAATCAGAATTGGGAGATTAGCCGAAACAAGTGCTAGGACTTCCGAAATAATGGCCATTTTCGCTGCGAGGATATGCTATAGTCGTCAGACGTCGCGAAAGCCCTGAGATCTGGTTCGATGGATGCACGACTAAAGTATTTTGATGGCGGAGGACGATGGACACGGACGATAAACGGGAATCAAGTAATATTTCGATTTCCTTGTAGCCAAATACTGTTTACCCGGTCTCTCCGCATTAGCTAAGAATACAATGCCCCCAATCCCATTACTTCCGGTTCCGAGGATCACTCCCACATGGGCCGGCTTCACGGTCTAAGTGCATCACAGAAGCAAGTGCCGATCACCCCGCATCTTGTCATCGGAAGTTCGGAAAAGAACTTGCATAAAGTCTATTCCGTGGCACAATGGATTCAAAGTTTCAGCACACTCCTTTCGGGATACCACAAAGTATTCTCTGACGAGAAAAGCGTAGATACTGACCTGCTAGTGCTCCTGAGTCGACATAGTAACAAGTGGACTGGAATTCTGGACGTCTATGATACACATGTCCTCTCGTATTTCTCTGTTATCGGCAAACGATTTCTACTGTGAGTCCGACGATAAAGGTCCTATCCATTAGAATAAGATATCAGTACGTTGATCAACATGACACCAATTTATGTGGCAATCGATGCTAGATGCACGTTCATGCACAAGACTACACGTACATCTTACGAGGAGCACGTCAATAACTGTCTTGTATCAAAAAATCATGGTGTGGCAAGAATAGAGCTCGCCAAAATTTCTCAAGTGGAACATGTGATGAGACTTGGATGGAGTCGCCGAAGTGGAATCTCGCCAGCATTTCAAAGCCCGGTCAACATGGCTCATGACCGATTGAAACTTTTTCACCTTCTATTTGAATGGAAGCATTATGTCCACTCACTGTTATTCATCGCAATGTTGGAATTGCATTACCATGCTTGCATCTTGACTAGAGCCTCAAGCTTGAAAATTGTCTTCACACACAATTAATGGTACACACTTAATCCGAATCCCTAAGTGCACTCGATATTGTCAGCAGTTACTTGATATGTCTGCCGAGACTAAAGTCGATATCGAGTCGATCAGACCACCTGCAAGCCCCAAAGAGCGTCTTGCTAACTCGGTAGGTTCCTCATGCTGTTTCCTTCTGTCCACTCCGAGCTGCACCCTTCAAAATTTCTCGACCCCCCGGCTGACAACGTTATTTCACAGAGCCCCTTTGGCTATGGCGCTTTTGCAACTACATTGATGACCTTATCACTGTCCAATCTAGGCATCCGAAACGTCGAGAACCAGGCCGTATTCATTGCCAACCTCTGCTTCCTCGCTGGTCTAGGCTTGCTGATCTCAGCTCAGTGGGAGATGGTCAGGGGTAATACGTTTGCCTATACGACACTCATTGCTTTTGGTTAGTTTGGCACTTCTTTATCCCGGATCATGCTGCGGAGTACTAATAATCTCAGCATTCTACTATGGGGGTTATGGCTTCCTCTTGATACCTTCAGTCGGCATTGTCGACAGCTATGGCGGGAAGACAGAGCAGTACTACAATGCATTTGGGTTCTATCTTGCTGGTGTGTTTAGCGTTTTCTCTATGCTCTTGGATCTCGATCTTTACACCTTGCGACTGACTTTAAATGCTGTAACTATCTAGTCTGGTCGCTTTTCAACCTTTTTTTCTTCATTGCTGCTTTTGCGACGTAAGTGTTATACCCATCTGTTCTTGTGCATCCAGCTCACAACATTCAACGTCAGGAACGTCGCCAACGTCATCGTCTACGGAGGACTTGAGATTTCCTACATCTTGAACTGTTCAGCGAACTTTTTGTTTGCGAGTGGACACACCTCGGCTGGTGGGCTTCTGACCAAGGTCGCCGGTGGCTTTGGGTTTGTTGCTGCATTGGCCGGTTTCTACGTCATGGCCGGTGAGTTCTGTGGTGAAGTGTTGCCGTTTTCTGTGCCGTTGGGCGATATGTCGCGATTCTTTCAAAAGAAGAAAAATCATCGGTACCGTAGATGAGCTGCAAATTTAAGTCCCAGGTGCTATCAAAGTCTGCTCTAGTAATGATATCATATGAATAAGTGCCAAACTCTTTTGACAGCGATAGTCGCGTCCTACCTGAGTACGATGTAGATGTGAGTAGAACGTGATCACCCGACCTTTCTGACCGCCTCCGTCATCGTTCGAAGAAGCTACTAGGTGATTGAGCCATGGTAACTCTTTGAAGAAGAGGAAGACCGTTAGTCATAGCCGAGTGGGTCAAACGCCGTCTGCTGCTGGCCCGACTCCCGAGGACGAGGCCCCAAACTTTGAAGTTGCCTGGCTTCGAAGCAGGCTACAATTCAGAAGCGTCTGCACGTAATCACAACGATGAGTTTCTTGAATGTATTGAGTTCGAATACCTGTGATGGATCACTTTTCCAAATATGAAGTGTAGTTCTCGTTCCGGGACCAGCCGCATACACGGTGCTTAGATCCACTCTTTCTCGGCCTCTGCTGAAATGCCGGATTTGCGCCGGGATTTGGGGCCGGCACCCAACACGGGGAATTCCCGGAAGGCTGGGGCCCGCAGTGGCATGAGAGAAAGACTTGCGGTGTCTTTTGACCTTAAGCGCGCTGCAAATCAGCTAGTCTTCGCTTGGCATGAGACTATTTGCGTCCTGGAGTTATCAGAGCAATAACTCGTGTTGATACGGCCTGCAGGCAGGCATGGAGGTATCCATTAGACCCCACAATAGGCTCAAGCGGACAAACATTTCATCATAGCTCAAGTGAAGAGTATGTTTGAAATGTCTATATGGAGCTTCTATTTCTTCGGGACTCTAAGTGAAAGCGGCTATGCGTCTAAGAGCTTTTCGAAAAGCTCGCCGGAGTTGTATTCTCCACCACCTGCCCGTTGTGAATGAGCATATTACCGTCATCATAATCCGAGACGATGTCTTCAATGTAAGCATAGTCGAGACCTCGCAGCTCGTCCTCTTCGGTAGCACGTAGGTGCATGCCCGGAATCTTGTTGATGAGGAACAATAGGATGCAGGAAACGAAGAACGACCATGCAGCACAAGTCGTCGCACCAGCCAACTGGAGTCCGAGTTGCCTAAAGTTTCCATTCCACCAACCACCCTCGTAGGTGTCGCCGCTAACTCCGTCGAGAGCTGGTACCATTTTGTGGGCAAAGAGACCGGTCAGAATGTCGCCGACGTAGCCACCGACACCGTGGATAGCAAAGATGTCGAGGCCGTCATCGACGCGGAGAAGGTGCTGGTATCGAACAGTGTAGAAGCAGCAAATCGCTGTGATGATTCCGACAAGAGGCGAGACGTATACGAGAACTATTTGAAATTGTCGTTAGCGCAAACGCGGAACTGCCACCAGACCAGTTTTCTTACCAAAACCAGCTGCCGGGGTGATACCGACGAGACCAGAGATGATACCCGAGCAGAAGCCGACCAAGCTGAACTTCTTCATGTACATGTAGTCCAAGAGAGCCCACGTAACACCACCGCCACATGCAGCAAAGTTGGTGTTCACAACCACATAGATGGACCGTAAGCTGAGGTTGGCCGTACTAGCTCCGTTGAAGGCAAACCATCCGAACCAGATGAGGACGGTACCAAGAGTCATCAATAAGGGGTTGTGGCCCCTGAACTGGGGAATGTGTCTTTTCTTCGTGGATGTGCTGTCGTCAATACGGGGGCCCAGCATCATTGACCAGGCGAGGGCTCCAAAACCACTGGCGATGTGGACAGGACCGGAACCTGCAAAGTCGTAGAGGCCGAGATTGTAGAGCCAGCCGCTGGGGTTCCACTCCCAATATGCCAAGCTGAAGGGCAGGTCAGACTACCAGCAAAGGTGATTTCGTGGGAGAGACAGGCTAGGACTTACACATAGTATACGAATGTGTTCCAGCAGAGAAGGAAAAGCATGCTAGGCCAGAGGCGACCGCGCTCGAGCATAGCACCAGCCAAAATCATTGCCGTAGCAGTCACGAAAGTGAAGCCAAATGCAGCATCTGTCCCATGGAATAATGTCAGCATCCCTCTCCCCGTCATCCTCAATATTTCCAGGAGTGGATTTTCCATACACAAGATATCCGGGATATCACTGTTCGCAAATGACGGAGAAGCCAAGAGGTTGTGGAATGCCGCATGGGATAGGTCTCCGAGGATGGGATTTGTTGTGCGTGACTGGTACAGCGAGGCACCGTAGATCCAGTATTGTAGGCCACAAGCGCATGCACAGAAGAGTGACTGCAATACCATTGTCATGGCCGATTTCCTACGGTGCATTCCGGCGTAGAGGAAGCCGATGGCCGGGGTAATCTGCCAGCATAGAATCGTGCATACTAGCACCCAGCAGAGGTCACCCTACGGATTATTGACATGGGTTAGCGGGCTTTGGATCCCAATGGAAATCTATTCAAACACATGAGAAGGTATTGTGTCAAGTTGTCACCTTACCTTATCATAGGGTGCGTTGAGGTCATGAGTGATTGGGTTGCCGCCCGTTGGGTCGGTGGCATAGTCTGGGAACTCGGTCACAGGGATGACTTCCGCCATGTTGTATCACGATAATACGTCCAAGAGTGACGATATTACGGTGCGATGATTGAGAAGGCGAACAGGAGAGCTCAGTGTTTCTTTTTCCTCGTTAAAGAACCAAAACCTCGGAGCTTCCTCCTACGAGTTTGAGGGGACATTAGGGAGCCACTTAAAGCTTTCGTCAATCTTCAGATGTTGGCCAAGCTGTCATGCTGTCGGTATTGCTATCACTTGGCACCAGTCCGAACCCCAGATAAGGTTGGCTCTGTAACAAAATTAAGCATGTTCACAATTGTCTTGGGCACCCGATGCCAGATAACACCAACCTCCCTGATTGGCCTATCCCTGATAGACGAGCTTCACCGGGAACACGAAAAGACCTATCTTTCTACTCAATCCAGGAAATTCTCCAGGTGGTTTCTGGGCACCAAAAGTCTGGGCATTGCTAGGGGTGACTGGAAAGGGATGAGGATCAGTGGGTTCAACTGTCTTGCCCTGTAGGTTGTGAATAACGACCGGTCTAAACTGCTGGAAACGGATGCGGGAGCCTATCCAATTAGAGTAAAGTTGAGCAGGAGGGAGACGGTTTGAAGGTCAGCCGTTCGGATTCAACACGTGAAGTAGGGGAGGACGCACGGCGTCATACGCCATGTATACTAATCCTGCCGTGAAGCTAACCATTGGTTTCTGGCAGCACCGAAATAGGTGAGTGTTATTTGATAGGAGCTTACATGCAAGGAAGCCCTGGCAGCATTAGAGATGCACGGGCACTGCGGGCTCCGCAGCCTCCAGCCGCGTGAGGGACGGCCACAGCCAGGGCAGAGTGGGAGACATGAGAGACATCCAAGACAGGCAAGACAGGGTCGTCACCAAGCGGGGTCATCCCGCATCCCATGTTCCTGACCTTATCGCTGCATCGTCAGTGGGTGAGAGAGCGTGCCGGGTAGATTGAACAAATTGGGCTAGACTCTGTGACGCGAAATGGATCAAGCTCCCGTCCGTATAATCTTTCCGGTTCCAGTGAGGGTGTGAAGGACGACGTCCTACCCTCCAGACTGTAACGCGCCGCATCATGCGGATGATCAAGCTGTAGCATACGAGCGACTGCTGGCTAATTCTACCAGATGCATCTATTCCACCCTGTGACTTGTGGTTTTGAACATCTTGATAGACCATAGTTGTGCTGGAGAGTCTTGGATACTTATCTCCTAGCTTTCAGCGATGAGAATAAACGTATCGGTGCCTAGTCATTTCGTATTACAGACTAGAAGCTCTGACCTTTCGCCATGTCCTTCGCTGTCGAAATCGCTGACCATCACACCATCACCACAGTGCTTGGCATCGCCGCATTCACCGGTGCCCTACTCTATCTCATAAGCACTCTCATCGACAGCCGGAAGGTTTTTTCGAGTTTTAACCGCGCCCCGTCCTTCAGTCTGCCGACCGAGAAGCCCTCCGTGACTACGGCCGAGAAGCCGAGCTACGTTAACGCGTTCCCTCCGTCCCAGAGGGCCACAATTGCGGAGCTTGGGCCACAATTCGCGGGTATCAAGGAGGTCGACCTCGCCGTGACGCCGAAGCCTCTGTTGCGGGTGGATGCCGACTACCGGTCCGCCGACCCCTCCCTCTTTAACTTCAGTGGCTTTAGCATCGATGATATTCAAAAGCTTGGCAACTTTCCCAATTATGCAACTATTTCAGGTGTTCCGTTGCCGTCGCCGGTGGAAAATTTCGACATCGACAAGGCCGTCCCGCGGCCCTACCGGCCGTTCAGATGGGCTTACCACCAGACTATGTGTAAGTTCCGTCATTATTCTAGGATTCGTGCACTCAAACTCACTCAAAGACTCCCAGCCTTGACCAAGATGGATACGGATTTCTGGATTGAGCTCGAAAACACATACAAGCAGCGCATTGCCGAGCGTAAAGATCTGTACGCAAAGAACGGCCGTGATGTTCTTGATAGTTTGCCCGGATGCGAACTTGCGTGCAAAGAACTCATGGAAATGGTCATCCAATTCATCTGCGCAAGGTATCCTAAGCAGTTCAAGCTTGATGGCACCATCTTGGTCAACAACATTCTAGGCACGACAACGGATCTATCTGTCACCGAGCCACTGATCGTGCTCTTGGACAATGTCCCTGAAGATTTTGGCATCATGCTTCGGGATCACGAGACGGGCAAGTACGTTCTACGAGGCGGAATTATCTGCTCCTCCGTTGGCTGGAAGCTCAGTGAAAAGGCAGGCTTGGGGCTGCCAGGAATTCACAAGGTGGTTCCAGACTACAAAGAGAAGATGGAGTTTAGCATGGATCGGTGAGCTCACTACTTGGTTCCAGGTAGTTACTTCCATCATTAACATGTTTCTAGATTTTTCACCAAAATGCCAACCAACAAACCTATTCAACGTGGTTCATGGGGTCTAGAAAAGGGCCAACCACTCTATCTTCCCTCAGAGCACCCCGATTTCTCTCACCGCGAACATCAGAACCCTAGCTTGGAACCCGGAGATGTTCACTTACGTGTCGATTGGCAGACCCTGCGCCGCCTACCACTATCTGGTGGCGTTGTTTTCAACTTCAAGGCACTGTTCACACCGTTGACAGAGTTCAAGGATGAGCCGTACATCCCTTCTCTAGTTCTCAAAGTTCTAAATGAGGGCAAGGAGAGCCTTCTGAAATACAAGGGGACATGGCATGTAGAGCACGTGGTAAAGCCGACGTTGAAGGAGTATGAGAAGTATCAGATTGAGAATGGTTTGATTGGAAAGGATTGGGAGCCGCACACTTTGGCTGAAGCCCCTTTCTTCAAGGGATGGGAGAAGAAGTGGACTGTTGGATGATAGGTTGTAGTTTCACCATAATGCATAGGTTGGCGATGCCTTCATGAGAAATAATGAAAGTTGAGGGGTCCCCGGATCATGCGCCCACAATGCTTTCATAACGTGACTCATTGGTCCGATCACAAAAGGAGACGGGGAGCAGTCCAGCTTTCACGCAGCTTGGAGCTGCTGTCAAACTCCGTCGTGATATTTAAGCCAGTTTCGGCTTCCAGATCCTCCACGTGAACGAGAATAGCACTATTGCCACGCCTTACGAACCAAGAGCCATCGGTCTCTAACCCATGAGCGCGAGGTGACGTGGAGGTACATTGAGGAGAGTGGAATCAGTTACTAATGGAAACGACAGCAGATCAGCGGGAGCGAAGCGCGCTCGACGGATCAGGAATAGCAGAATGCGGGGTACATGAGCGCCGAAGTGAGGTTGAAACTCCCATACCCATCTCTCCTCGAAGACATGCACTTGAGAGATGAAGACAATACGCATTCTTCTCGCACGTTAATGAGAGCTGGCCAGTCTAACTGGTATCGTGAGTTTCGGTCAGGGAACAGCCATGCCGGCCGAGGTCGGAGGATCTGAAAGCCGCTTATGCAGCCACCCTATCACTAAAGTTCAAGCCACACTGATAGAACGTTGAATATGAATCTCGAAGAGAACAATGGTAGGAGTCTCCGAAAGTGCGAGGGCAACATGGGAAACATGAAGAGGCGCTGGCTAGGTAGGCTTATCTTGGGCCAGGTGGTCCTTCCGCGGCGTCTATCCCGGTACCGGGATAGATAAAGGACAATAGAGTCTTCATGATTGGGCTGTGGGCTCGCATAATGCGGGGTATACCGGGGACGATCGCCGCGTATCTTGGGCATCTTGGTCTGGAACCCCTTGAATCCCTGGAATTCTTCTGCCACCCTTGGCCTTTCTTATCGCCGCAACGCCGAAAAGGAGGGAGTCTGCGGGAATTCGGGATCACCATGGTCTCTTTTTTCCTTCTTCTTTGGGGCAGTCTTAGTCTTCAGGCTGGAGAGCCAGTGGCCATATACCTTGCGATATATCTTGACTTATGCGAGTTGCCTGACTCACGGCTCTCGTGTCTTGAGCTGAGCCCTCAGCGGACTGCCTGAGACTTGGTCCATGTCACCGGGACCCTCGGAGCGTGGACAGGCAGTGTACATCTCAGGCGAACTCTTCATAAGTTTGATGAGCACTAGACTAGGTATCCAGTTCAAAGTCACGAACTCCACAGAACCTTTTCATCACTACAATGGCTGGGCACAATATTCTCCGGGCGTGACCTGTCGGAAACAAATACGGCGAAGCTCTATGGCCAGTGACAAGCAACCACGATGTTAAAGCGAAACGAACATCCACGAGCGTCGAGCGGCATCGCTCTCGCACCTGTGCCGCTCTCCCGCTGCAAGGATGACCAGCGGGCTGCTCCAGCCAGTCTCATCCATCAAACATGCCCCTACCACCAATCATGAACGCCGCTGGCTTATCATGCGCCAGCCAAGATACCTTAAACTACAAATAGCGTCATAAGATGGCATCCCCCGCGTTTATGGCACTGCCGCGAATGGACCTGGACTACCAAGATGAACACTCATCCGATCACGATGAGGACCGACGACCGGTGACTTTCGGAACAAAAAAGTCCTTGTGGCCTGCTCCCAGCTTTCCCTTGCTCTCGAAGTCGAAGTCGAACTCGCCTCAGACCGATTTTGAGCTGGTATCCTATCAACTACAGCCTTCAGCAACATTCACCCGTTCTTAGAACCCCCTCACTTATTGGAATAAAGTTCAATGGTACCCCCCAAGAGTTCAAAGTCGGTATCCAAAACTAGAACTGGTCTCAACCCTCGGTCGAGATCGGGCTGTGTCACTTGCAAAGCCAAGCATGTACGTCGCCGCTCATCCGCCGTGTGCCTGATTCCATGATGGATGAGGATCTCACGGCAACGACCCCACACACGGTCGCTGACAAAATCACTGCGACAGTTAAAATGTGACGAGACGCGACCGGCCTGTCAACAGTGCACACGGAAGGGTATCAAGTGTGGAGGATTCGCGCAGGGCTTGAGATGGTCGTTCAAACACCAGCCCGCCCTTCAAGTTTTGACACTCGACGACTTCAATCCCCCGACTCAAACATCACCGAAACGACCAGCCGCCGACGCGCCCGAGGGCCAGACGCGCGCCAAAAAAGCAAACTCCGTTTCAGTGAGCAGCGGTAGTTCACCCAGAAGTCGGCGCTCAATCTCATCATCTTCTTCCAAGAGCTCTGCTCAGCGAGATGGGCACGGAGAAGGGGATGAGGATGCCACCAGGGCTTATCAGATGAGCGATGGAGGGATGGATGAAATATCCCAACTTTTCGCGGAGGAACCCGTGTCACCTCGTCAACCATCGCTGGGCGTGATCATTCAACAACCGGGCTCCTCCAAATCCGCAGAGCAGACACAGCTGGCTCCGTACTCACTGTCGCCCAGTCTCGCCGACACCTCATCGGCGTTCATCATCAACTGGTTCGAGCAGGTATGCCCAGCGTGGTCCGGCTTTGACTCGAACGCGAATCTCAATCGAAAGATCGCCATAGACTTGTGGAGAACGTCCGCCACGGTGTGCAGCTCTCTCGAGAGCATGTCCGCCGCGTTCCTAGCGTCTCGTCTCCCGAGCATGAGGCAATCCGCACTCCGACTCATGCAACGAGCGACAGATTTCATCCAAGCTGAGCTTCAAGTCGTAAAGGCGCAAGGCGAGTTCCGCACTGTTCCGACGGGTCTCATATTCTCTCTCTTTTGCCTAGGAACGACGGTCTGCTGGGTCGATTCACGCTTGTACGGGCTGCCCTTTTTGAGAGAAGTGAGATCCCTCATCCACCGACTGAATGCGCAGTCGGCTTCCTTCTCGAGCGCGAACCAGGACATGCTCTCATTCTTCAACAAGAGCTTGGCGTACTGTGAAATGCTTCTCTCCGTGGTGCGCGATGATGAGCCGCTCGATCAAGGAGATGCAGACTTGGTGCTTCAGATTATCGAGGAGCGTTCACCACACCCGTGGACCGGCGTATCTACCCTCACCACACGCCTTTTCGCTGAGTCGATCCGGCTGTGTCGCAGTGCACGACATCGACTGAGGCAAGGCATGGATCCGCAAAAGTACTTCTCAAACGCTCTTCAAGACTTGATAGGAGCTCAGCGTCTGGAAGAGCAACTGTTGGAGCTTGAGTTCCCATCGGAGACCCCGGATGTCGACACTGGTGACAGCTCGACGCCGGTTTCTCACTTAGCCAGGGTTGCTGAAGCTTATCGACTCTCTTCGCTTCTACACTTGTACCAGACTTTCCCTGATCTGGTCTCCCTACGACTCCCGGCCGAATCACCAATGACCGAGAGTGGCTCCGTGCCGTGGGACGAGTGGATCATTCCCCTGGCCCTTAGACTCGTCAAAGTCCTCGAACACATCCCAGCAACCTCGGGTACCCGCGTCATTCAACCGCTCCTGTACATCTCGGCGAGTACGGGACTTCGCCACGACGCGCCAGCCACGTCAGATATGATGGGTGCATTCGGGTCCCTGCAGCAAGACCTGATGGGAGGCACGGGGTCAAACATGTTCAGCCCTCCACCGCTGTTCGATTCCCACAACTTGTCTCAGTACATCAGCCAGATGGCAGAGGCTCCGACACGAGAGGGCTCAATGTCCAACATGACGCTTGACGTTGGAAGTGCTCGCCACTTCGTCATGAGGCGTCTGAGTATCCTGGAGAGTAGTTTGCCTCCGACCCCGGTCGTAGTAGCAAAGGATCTCGTTCAGACCATCTGGAGGGCGTACGACAACGATATCGGCTCACCTACGGTTCACTGGATTGATGTTATGGAAGATAATGACTTACGTTCAATGTTTGGGTGATAAGATTCATGTGATGGAAATTGGTTCGAACTTCGTCTCGAAGGCATCACTTTTTTGGTCTGCTTCATCTTTCTGGAATGATTAGAAATGGGTAGGGCACAGGTCCGGTCTTTTGGCGTTGGGGCGCTCACGACACGACTGAACACATTGTAGGCTCCGGGATGAACGGCCGTTTGGAAATCATGTAGATTCGCAATGAAATTGCAAATTCATAAATGGTCATATCCTATGTCATCTTGCCACAATCCAGGTCAACTCGCTGTTGTTGCCCTTTCTTTCCTGCCCAGGTGATACACCAACTTCTCCTCAGAAGTCGCTCTTCTTGCGCTGACCAACATAGAACGCCAGGCCGTAGTCGCTGGTGGTGAAGGTAATTGTTGAGCCCTTGGGGAAGTGGAAGACATCGCCGGGCTTTGCCTCGACCTTCTGACCCGTCTCATCGGAGATAGTGTAGTCGCCCTCAAGGATGATCTTCATCTCGTCATACTTGTAGGTGTACGTGAGGGGCTCACCCTTCTTCAGACGGAAGAGACCGGATGAGATGGGCTTCTCAGGGTTCGACTCGTCACTTGAGAAGACATCTCCGAGGTAAGCGTTGTCACCCGCGAGAAGGGGGATTTGGAAGGTTGATTGGGCCTTGGCGTAGTGTTGGAAGGCGGCCATTGTGATGATAGAAATGATGTTATTTGGTGGTAAAAATGTGGCGAGTAGGTATGATGATGTCAAGGTCTTGTTGACTGTGTGATGCTACTACATCTCCAACATAGCCGAATCACCCGATATATATACAGCTCAATCCATCAGTGTAAGAATGCTTCTTTAGGCAATACCCCAAGTTTCCAAGTGAGCCTCTTCATTCTGGGCATTGGAGACATCCGGGAACAAGGTTCGGTTTCACTCCCGCGAGTTTGTTAAAGAAGGGCCCCCAAGCATCGACGTGAAAGATAGGACGATAGGGTATAATTTCCCGTTCCGGTAAAGCGCACCCCCGTCCATCTCGGAACGGTCAAGTGGAGAATCGGTTCGTTGAGGGAGTCGATCTTGCGGGGACGAGTCTGGTGAAGAGATACGGGCGTGGGACGGGGCTCCGACCGGATAGCGGGACCAAAGTCTTTACTGGAAGGGATTTCCTAATGCGTAGCTGACTCGAAAACTTGGCTGAAGTGATAATGCTCTGGAGTTTCCTTGAGTTCGCTAGTGAACATCTCAGCCTCTATAACACTTCCTTCACAAATGCACACGTTTAGACCCTGGTTATCTTCAGCACAGATAGGCCTTACCCAAACCTCGAGCGCCTCTCGTTTCCCCCGACGTGTTAGATCATCCACTTCCAAGTCACATAGAACATTATCCTGATATGGCGCTGTTAGCGTTATCGGCGCTCACCTCGGATAGTTGGAAACTCCTCCTCGGACTCTTCGCACTCTTCTTCGCAGCCATACTCTCACGATCGCTCGGCGCACTGCGACCGCGAAAAGGAGCCCTCTTCAGCAAAACATCATCCACACCCCGAAATGAAAAGTCCAAGGAAGCCTCCAAGACATGGCAAATGCCGGTTCCCAGTCCTTACCCGGACTGGTCGATAGAAACGACGAAGCCACTTCCCTATCGTGCATTTCGCTATGGCCCGAAATACAATGTCACAATGGGACTTCGTTCAGTCCAGCCCGAAGACTGGATTGAGCTTGACAATCACTACCCTCGATATCATGCCGATAAGACTGCTCGAATCGCTGAACGAGGTGAGAAGTGCTTCGGAACAAACCCGGAGGCCTACCCTGCAGCGATGGAGCTTCTTGAAGAACTGTGCCAATACCTCCCCGCTCGCTACCCTACGATGTTCAAGCGAACCCCCGTCGGCATCGACAATCTCTGGTCAGGAGAATCATTCAACATAGTCGAAACACCTCTCAAAGAAGATCCTGCTGCCATCGCCGCCAAGCTAGTGCAAGACGACCTCGCCATCATGATCGAACGGCCCGACGGCAAGTACTACTTGCTCAGCGGTTCCATTCTGCTAGCCGGCTTTTGGAAATTGAGCGACAAGTTTGGCATGTCTCTCGAGGAGATCCACACGTCCGGCGAGGTCCCCCACTACAAGGAGAAGCTCCACAACGGCATGGCCAGCTTCTTCAAGCGTCTGCGCTGCGACCAGATCTACTCCCGCAATAACTACTTCATCCAGGTCGATGACTCTCTGCCCTGGAGCTGGAGTATTGGTGAAGAAGACAGTCCCGTCGCCAGCTGGAGTACGGCTGAGAAAGATAGAGCGGTTGAGCATCACTATTTCCGTTCGGAGAGGCAGTCGCTGCGCCGTCTTCCCAAGACCAAGGCCATTGTGTTCACAATTAGGACGTACTTTCATCCGGTTACCGAACTGGCTGCGGAAGACTACGTGCCTGGAAGACTTGCCAGTGCTGTTCGAAGCTGGGATGAGACTGTGGCAAACTACAAGGGGCGGGAGATGTATGAGAAGGTATTACTAGAGTACCTTGACAATGAGCATCAAAAGCAGCTAGATCGAGGTTTGGACTTGAGCGAAGAAGATGAAGTTCGGAAGTATCCCTGGTAAGCAACTGCCACTATGTCTACTTGCCGTGGGTTGAGAGCCGTCTCACCATGAATACATCGTGATAATCGCCTTGGGCGGAAAATTCTATGTCTTTTTTCGCTCTATGCCTTATCTTCCAGAATAAATACATACATACACAGTGAACGTATCGTGCGTGAACATATAAACCTTCATCATCATGCTGAATGCCTGTATTTTGCTTGCCTAGTTTTAGTCGCTCTTTTCAGGGACCTCGACTCGTCTTGGATGGGGAAACAGTGAGGGCGTCAATAGAAGTGCTATGTCTAGGCACATAGAGGCCTGGAGCTAGGACTGTGCGAGCGCTGGAGCTGGACACTCGGCCCTGGAGCCGCTGAAGCCGGCCCACTGACGACCTTGCTTAACGATTGTTGATCCAGAACGACTTAGAATTTGACATGACGTTTGTGTCAATAGGCACTGATTCTAACAGAACGATTGCAACATTCCAACGCCAACTATTCCCTGCCTACACTGTTGAGTAGCTCTACAGTTCAATCTTCAGGGCAGCGAATATTGAAGTGATCACAGTTGACTTGCAGTGATGCACCAACCCTATTACATTGCAGAGACCCCACAGAAGTGCGATTACAGTCACTACCAGAGAAGAAATTGACGGTGCAATTGCAGCCTCCTCCAACAGTTCGATCCGTAACTAAGCCACAGGCACCGTTGATTGCTTCAAAACACTCGCTAACCCCAGGTCGAGTCGAGTTCCCATAACTCAGATTTTGTCCGGTGCAGCTACCAGGTCGCCCTGCTCCAAGATATGCGGATGCGGCGCAGAATGTGGCCAGGGACGCTTGAGTGAGTACCACGGCGACGATGATGGCGGCGCTTTTCATTTTTAGATTCGCGATCGTTGTTAGATATCTATCTGAATATTAGAGACAGTCAACTCGATATATGTGTCTTCCTGTTATAAGAAACTTCAAAGATCGAGGCTTACTTGGTTTCTCACGTATGTGCTTCTCACAAGTATGGCAGATTCCGAGGAGATTTATCCGAGGCCAGACTCGTCGAAGACTATCCTGGGCATCATTTCGGGAAATGGAGTCATTTATACATGGAGTGTGTGGAATATGCCATCCTGTCCCAAGCAACGTCTCACGAGAACGGCAGGCTTGAGCAAACATTGTTGTAATCAGACAAACTCTGCGACTCGCCTGTACGTTTTTGTTTGGTCAAACTACTATCCGACCTTGGATGTCGATAGTCGCACAATAAGAGCAGCAGACTGAGAGGTATCTATTCATTCATCCAAAAGTAGGGGGCAAGTCATCGTTTCTGCCATCCACTCAAGCTTGCTCTCGCCGGCGTGGCCGAGTGACATGTATGACGGACCGGGGCTGCTACAGTCCTTTAGAAGACTTGTACTTTTTGAAGGCGCACGTAGATAACCTGAGCTCAGGTGCTTCAAGATCAGATTCTTTCGATCCAAACCTATGTCACGAAGCTTCACTTCTTAGGAAGCTCCTCATTTCCTCGCAAGACGAGATCCCGTCGCTATCAAATTACCTTGGTATTGCAGCTGTTGAGCATTGTCTAAGCTGGAAAACTACTAATCTTTAGGTGCAGGCGCAGCCTCTGGATCATCAGCTAACAGGGCCTCAACCTCTGCACCCCTCCTCAACCGCTCCTCTAATGAGATCTCCTGCTCCGGCGATGTGGACCAACCAAGGCCCAGCTCCGGATATTGGAGAGGGACATCGCCATCGGACGGCAGGCTATCAAGATAGATTGGCCACGCTGAACCCATCCAAGCGTTTCTCGTTTCATGATCTCGACGTTGGCTCGATGTCAATGGATGAACAAGGACACTAAGGTTTGAGTAAGCATCAAGACAAGCAATACTAGGTCTGGTCCTACCTCAAGTTGCCTCGGTTGGCCGCCAAGTAGAAGAATACATCCGAAAATGAGGAGTCGGGGACCCAAACTGCACACAAATCATTGCTTAGTCAAACCCATTACCTTAAATATGTGAATTTGCTGGCAGCTTTGGCATTACTCACTCTCATAAGATCCTGCTGGGTGTGGTCCGATAGGGAACTCGTTGACCCTGAACAGTGGAACGGCAACGAACGCCCCTAGACGTGGGAATCAGCAAAGAATTCAGCCAATCCCATTCCTGAGAGACATTGCTTCCAAACCTACCATCACGTCGCAGTCTCAATACAGCATCACGAAGGGCAAGGGCGGCAGCAGTCTCAGTCGGTGATTGTAGCAGGAAGTAGATGTGGAAATGCCATTCCCGAGTCCGAGCTTCGACAACCGTCTTCAGATCGGTCTGCGGGGTCGGAGGCGTGGAATGGGTTACCATGGTCATGGTAAGATGCTGCGAGATGATATCCTGCTGATGGCTAATGTTGTATTTTAGAAGTTTGACAAGTTCATGATTCAAGTCTGGCCGACGGGATAGCTCGTGGTCAGAGTGCGGAGCAATGGCCGCTTAATCACGCAATCAAATTGATTCTCACGTGCGCCAACACAGTGAGAGAAAGCGGTTAGAATCGGATGTAAACAAAGCCCGGGTAGACCACAGCAAATTCTGCTGCAAGCAGGTTATCATCAAAACATTTCTTGGTGTTTTCGTATTTACTCCGTATCAAAAGACCTTGTGCGAGATTTTCCAATTTTATTTCGCCGCCCAGAATCATCACGATGCTGGGCCTGGCTTAGGCATGACAGGCCATCCAGGCGGAGGCGACTTCATCTCTTGAAAGACATTCGGATCCATTGAGTTGCTATTGACCCAACTCAATAACGCGTCAAAGTCACGGCATACTTTATGGTTCATGAAATCCGGAAATGGCTGCTCCCAGTTCTCAACCCAGTTGAAAGTAATCATGTCCACTGACCCGGTGCACTTGATTGCCTGGGCAAGAATGTCGAAGCAATGGCCGATGTGGGCTTGATGTTGGGCTCCTCCTGGCCTTGGTCCCTCCTTTGACTCGTAATCTGGGCTCAGGTATCAGAATACAAACTGACCTCGTGCCTTGAAACTTACAATGCTCATATGACACTTCCCTGCGCAGCATGTCCAAGCAGTGGAGGTGATGGAAAACTTCTGTTTGCGCGATATATGCATCTGAACCGTAGCCATGATCTTCTGGAATCTTGACAGCAATACGGGGATCTTTTCCAAGCTGCCTTACATCGGCTTCTCCAATAACCAAAGGCCAGACATGGTCGCCAATGCGATGCCACTCCTTATCAGCCTCTTTACCAACTCGCTGGCGAAGAACTGACGGCGGATTCGTGTCATATAAAGTGCCGTTCGTCACTCTGCTGATTCTTGGTACATCGAAACGCTCAAGAATAGGGGCTTAAACGCTTTCTTAGCGAATTCGTAACAAAATTCTAAACCTTTGGAACACTCACAGTAGAAGGACGTGTGCTTCCAATAGTCTTGGACACTTGAAGAATGCCTTACTGGTCCCTGCCAAAGCCACATGGTACATGAGGCAATGAAAAGTCCAAGATTGAGAAAGGTCACAAGATATGACTTTTGGCTGTATAACTTCAGCCATGGAGTCTTCTCTTCGACATTTCGAAGCCCCGGCTCCGTGTCTTTATGAGGCAATAGAGCTTTTTCGATATCCCCATTCTCTTCCACAGTTTCCGAGAAAGTGTCTTCATCGTGTGAAGCTTCTGATGAGTCAGTCGATTGTCGTTGTAATCTATTCATCATGATTATGTGCTCCAACAGCTCAAGCTCGAGAATATAGAAAGTCTAGCATGCAGGCCGTGAAATTGAAGTCTGCTGTTGAACGAGCAAGAGATTTCATCGCTATGAGAGTAGGGCTTCGTTCTAGTCAGCACAGGCAAGTGCCTGAGCAAATTCAGCCTGCCCAATCATTTATGAGTTCACACGAAGCAAACCCCCGCTATCTCGCTTGAAAGCCTAAATATCTACCTGCCTGAAAGATAAAAGGAGGCGGGCAGAATTGCGACACTCAATTCCTACAGCTCCACCGCATGACGCAGGTGGATTCCTTCGAATCCGTCGTCTGCCTTGGCACGTCGGTGAAGCCCCTAGATGTTCAGAATGTCGTCAAATTCATTGCCCATCTTGAAGCATCTGATGCAACCTTCCTCGTTTGTAACAGTCTTAATCCGGTTCTTGATATCTGTGTGATCTTTTGGCTGCAGCCGTAAGATAGCATTGTTCCGTGTGTGTAAGTGGTGATCAAGTCACCGGACTGACGCGATCCCGTCTCGTCCAACTCCTACGTGCTTCCAGGCAAGTTTTCGTCACCGGCGGCTAAGCCTTTTACAAGGAGGGCATGACTTTGGCTCATTACAGATGATTTGACAGTTATTTGAGAGCCTGTTGGACCGAAGACGGCTTCTCTTCAAATATCAAATACAAGTAACGGCCTCCCAGGATTTCTCTTGAATCAACCATCTCAAAGTCTTATTATTACTTCTATCGTAGACCACATCCAACTCAAATTTAGCAACAATGCGTGCTCAGTACCTTATTCTTGCCGCCATTGGCCTCGTAGCTGCCGCCCCTCTCGGTATGTGATCCTGAGTAGACGGCACTAAGTGCATCAACAAGAAGAAGATGACTGATTTGAGATACCCCTTCCAGACGTCAGAGGAGCAGATGCAGAAGCTGAAGCTATCCCCTTCTACCCAAAGAGGGGAGCTGATGTTGAGGAGGAGGCAATTCCCTTCTACCCTAAGCGCGGAGCCAACGCCGAAGCTGAGGCCATCCCTTTTTACCCTAAGCGAGGAGCAGAGGCGGAGGCTGGAGCCATCCCCTTTTATCCCAAGAGAGGCGCTGATGCGGAAGCCGAGGCCATTCCTTTCTATCCCAAACGTGGTGCTGATGCTGAAGCTGAAGCCATTCCTTTCTATCCTAAGAGAGGCGCGGATGCCGAGGCCGAGGCTATTCCGTTCTATCCCAAGCGCTCTGCCGATGCAGAGGCTGAAGCAATCCCCTTCTATCCTAAGAGAGGCGCGGATGCCGAGGCCGAGGCTATTCCGTTCTATCCCAAGCGCTCTGCCGATGCAGAGGCTGAAGCAATCCCCTTCTACCCTTAAGTAGGAGGTCCATGTGGCGTACTCTCAGTGCAATGCACGAAGTGCCGAGCTGAGACACGGAACGCGCGTTGGAGGTCTTGGCTCAGGTGCTTTCGTTTATCATAGCTTGGACCTGAAGAGGCGTGATGGACCTGTAGAGTAGAATCCTAGAGCTGGGAGGATTAGGATTACTAGGATACGCTCATTACCTTATTACATGCCGCAATTGAAACACTCAATTAACAACCGCGTTCCCCGAGGTGATGTATCTTAACTATTTTCCTTCTTGCCATTTTCGATTGATACTTCAGAGAATGAATGTACGTGGCACTAGTCGAGTTGATTCTACTGCTACGATGCCATGCTGACGGCTGGTTTATCTTCGTAAGGTACTTACGGTGGTCATTCGCGGCCAAGCAAAGCTTGAATGCTATGGCTTTCGAACAACAGTCTTGGCCCAGGTCCTATAATTAAACATCCAGTCATCTACATCCGGAATACGAGACTTCCGATCCAGTTCTATAGTTCGATCGGATGAGTCCTGAAGGAAGCTTGGCAACATGTTCAATTGTAGGCGAGGCATAGGCTATGTGACATCTGAGTCGCAATGTTCCTGGCGATTGCGTAGGCCATACGCGGACAACAAAAGTGCCGCATATTTAGTGCAGCGTCAGCCTGCATCTTGCCCACAAACGGCCCGCCACCGGGCCGTAACATAGTAGATCGGATCAATTGAGCTTCTTTCTTTGGCTTAGGTTGCGGGCGGGGTTTAAGACAGGTCAGGCACATCAAACGGCGATTTCGTGGGGTTGATAAGCTCTTCCACTCCTTCAAATCCTTCGGACTTCCTCTCCGTGCGTCGAGTCACCTTCCCTAGCGTCAACTGTGAATTGCGCCAGACCTGCAACAGCTTCTAAATATGTGCATGACGTGCGGATATCTGATCTAGGCGCGATACTGCAGTCTTTGCTGTCTACCTATGACTACGAGGAACTGCAGGCATCGTCCATGCCAGTACTCGCGAGCTTCCCGCCTTTTTTTGGTTTTCGCGATTTGCGAGTAACACACATGAGTTTCAAGGACACGATATATGCCTACATTTAGCCGTGTTGAAAAGCCACTTAGACTGAGAAACAGAGCCATTCCAAGAATGTCTAAATTGTAAGTGCATCATAATATTGGAAGCTACAGCACCTTGCTGACAGTATTCAACCTCTAGGCTTGAAGTACTCACCGTCCCATGGGCACATAAGGACAAGAGAGAGTATGCTCGGCTTCCGAGAGACGAAAATAACAAGTCTACTCTTGAACATGGTACCCAAGTCTCGTCAAGAAGCAAGACTCTTGCCTTCGTGCAAGTTTTGTCATTCGCGGGCCATCTCTTGATCGTGTTATTGGCGGCTTATGGTCTTTACTCCCTTCTTACATCAAACTCTCCATCCACCTTGCGACCACAGGACAGGTCCTGCAATTGTGGTGAAACAATTGCAGAAGCACGCGCAAACGGCTGCGTGTACGATTCACTTGCTGCCGCCTGGCTTCCACCACACTGCCGGTCTCCTGAATTGACCGCAGAGTTTGAGTCTCTGGGCCCCAATGAGCCCGACACCACTGGCAGCACCTGGGGCTACTGGCACGACAAGAACCAAACACACCCCATGACTCTGGAAGAAGTGAGTCAACTACCAGAGGCGGCCCGGCATGGCCAGCATGCTCGCTTCTTTACCACGCATCAATGGCATCTTGTACATTGCGTGTTCTACTGGCGCAAGATGTGGGAGGCAGCGCGCTGTTCCCGGGGAGTCTCCGGCGCATCTTGCGGCAAGGACGGCGTCCTCGTCATTGAGAAGCGATACGATACTCTCATGCACATCAATCATTGCATGACCATGTTTTTGATGAGGGACCCTCTCGATCACATTGCCGCCGAGGCTGGTGTCGCGCTTCACTCAGACGAGCTTCACGTTGCAAAGCCTCATAAACACCAGGATCAGGGCATGCCGGATGAGAAGACAAGCGCGAATCACAAAAGTGCGAGCTCAAGTACTTCCAAAGACCCTTACGATGAGACAAAGGAGAAACATAGGCTTTGGAAGGGCGATCCATACGATGGATAAGAAAATGGGTTTGGTGGATGGAGAAACGCAAAGGCTCTCTTAAACAGACAGCAATCTCACAATAACATGGAAAAGACTTCAATTTTCGTCCATCACCGGATTTTAAACTAGCCTTTATGTCTTACTCAACCGAGGCTGACCATGAAGACAAGATGGGCAAGAATATCTTAGTGTCTTGGCGTGCATACTTTGGATACCAAACTCACACATGGGTGTCGTTTCTTTTTCTTCCACCAAAAAGCTCCCGCTAGACAAAGGAAAAGACCAGTCTCGCCAGCGACCTCGTCAGCCTTGAGCCCCACCTGCGGTCATCAATGGATTACGAGGCATCTTACCATTGGGCAGCTGCCTAATTACTTGCTACCATTTCCCTAGGTAGTTGCTGACTCCTGAGATGTAACGATGATCTTCCTAGAAAAGACTAGTTCGTACGTGAGTAAGATTTGGGACTGAAATTTTGTCTTCCTTCACGATTCTTGGTCTCCTCAAAATTTCACATTGCTCCAGATTCATTGCCCCAGTCTGGTGCTCCCATCGCCATGAAGCTTCTGAACTGCTCCAGCCTACAGATTGAGGAGTTCTACGGACCGTTCATACCGGAATCTTATGCCATCCTTTCCCACCGATGGGAGGCCGATCATGAGGAGGCTACTTACCAAGATTTTGGTAAAACTGATGTGATAGCGCGAAAGAAAGGATGGAGAAAGATTCAGTATTTCTGTCGCCTTGCGCTGCAGCGGGGTTATAAATATGCCTGGGTGGATACTTGTTGCATCAACAAACAGGACTTCACAGAGCTGACGGAAGCTATCAATTCCATGTTCAAATGGTACGCGCGATCTTCAGCCTGCTATGCGTACCTGTCGGATGTGGGCGTCGACGGGGTGTCACTTCAACAGTCTCAGTGGTTCACTCGCGGGTGGACTTTACAGGAGCTGATCGCCCCCTCACGCGTTGATTTCTTTGACAAGGACTGGAACTACATTGGAAGTCGAGCCGATCTCTGCGATATCATTCATGAACGCACGAATATCGACAAAAGCATACTCGTGGCAGGAAGCGGGAGAGTCGAAGGCCTTTTGACGACAATACCGGTTGCGAGAAGAATGTCTTGGGCATCTGGGCGCGCGACCAAGAGAGAAGAGGATTTGGCGTACTGTCTCTTGGGTGTTTTTGGGGTTAAGATGCCACTTCTTTACGGCGAGGGTAACAGAGCGTTCATCCGACTTCAGGAAGAGATTATTAAGGAGACCAATGACTTGTCAATCTTTGCTTGGTCTGCTCCGACTGACTCTCCATTGGGCTATTCCGGGATTTTGGCCATGTCGCCATCGGCTTTTGAAACCGCAACTGATATCGTACTAAGTAGCGAGATCAAGTATAACCCCGAGGTATGTTTGAGACCATGCCTCCAACTTTTATCTGAATCAAGTGAGCTGTATCATGGTCCAAAAACTGACACCAACTTCAAAAGTACGCAATCACGAACAAAGGCTTGAAAATCACAGCTGAGACGAGTCTGATGCCCGACGGCGCGCACTTCTTAAGCCTCCGCTGCCATAGATCCAATGACCCAGGCCGTCGTCACCTCGGGATTCTTCTCAGAGACCAGGGCGGCAATGTCTTCCTCCGCTGGAAAACCGGTCGCCTCTGGAGTTTAGAGCACAGCGCGCCGGGCATCGAGCACGTGATGTTCATCAGCAAATTCCTCGAGCCAGACGTAGCGGAGACGCTCGCTGGGAACATGAACTCCATCTACCGCAACGCTTTCTGCTTCCCGCCCACGCCGCCAAAGGTGGAGTTCGTCAAAGCCCGGCCCGACGGCATGTGGAGCTCGTCCCGGCGTATGTTTATCACGCAGGGGCTTGACACATTTGACGGATACGTTCAGTACCGGACCTCGGGTACGGCTGACCAGAACTTTATCGTCGCATGTGGCTTTACCGGCGGTGGTGCCAGTCCGTGGGTGTGTCTTGCGGCTGCTAGTGACGAGACGAGGGACATCTTCAATACTGCAATGAGCGGTAACTTTGTGAAGTTGCGCCAGCTTGGTAGTGAGCGCGGTGTGATGAAGACGAGAATCGCGTTTGGTATGGATAGGCGGGTTGAGGATAGGCCGGTGGTGTTGAGCCTTGGAATGGAGACGAGGATGTTGGAGGGACAGCCTGTGTTTTCCATCTTTGTGGATCAAAGAACCGATTGGGGTGATTTATGCTCGGTAATGTAAGGCAAGTAAAATTGAACATCAATCTCACAAGCCATGAACTAGATGTCGGTGATAAGCCCAGGGATGAAGGAATCCAGTCCTATTAGGCCTTTACAAGAGAGTACAATGCCTTCATCTTTCCATATCAGTTTTCTCTTTGCCTGCAGTGCTAGGACTCATATTTGAGAAGACGTTTTTCGACTTGTTATTCGGCTTTGGCCTTTCGCTTTCAAGCGAAATATCTGACTCGCGGCTTCTAGGCTTCATTTTCAACAATACATCCGGTCTGGCAGTCTTTGCAAGGATAATAAGCCTGGAGATATGCTGCTTACATGGAACTTACACGGAAGAGCAGGGCAACTATCTTGGGCTAAATCACACTTACAACAATTCCGGCCACGTTGCACAGGATTCTAGTACCTTGTGACAAAGACTAACTTGGTCTGTAGAGGGTCCCAGAAGTGAGCAGAGGGGAGCTCCGGATACTCCACCGCTGTTGAAGACTCTGCCCAGCAAGGATAGAAGGAGCGGGTCTAGCCCTCGCCCGAATAGACGAGGCCCACGGCAACTACCCACTTGAGCTCACGATAATAGCTTATAACTTCATCGGCCCTCTGGCGCAACGGTAGCGCGTTCGACTCCAGATCGAGATCCCTCAGGTTCTCGAGTTGCCATCGAAAGGTTATCTGTTCAAATCAGGTGGGGGTCAGTTATGTTGTCATGTCACCGCTTAGGTCTCTGTCTCTGGAGGTTCCCTAAATGGAATACTCATCTTTTGATTTTTGTCTCTGCATGTGCGGATATTTCACGGCTTACGTTTCGCTGCGTTTTACTAAAAATTGACTTCCGCTCCTGAGTGCATACTTCTCACAATGATACTCTTGCATCAAGCATATTGTCGATCTATCCATCCTCACAATTTCGGTAATGAAGCTCGGCTCAGACATCAAATGTCAAGAATAAAGGAGAAAGCCAATTAGAGCAAGCGACACGCAATTGCTGAAGATTGCGAACAACGTGAAACCAATAGACCACAAGATCCTCTTACAACAAGTCCGTTGACGCTGCTTCAGTTGGAGGGGCTCCTGAGAATACAACTACAACCTAATTCCACCCAAGCCGAGCGCACCTCGACCCCATCATGCAGGAAGACAACCGCCCGCGCTTCCGCCCCGAGAGCAGCCCTGCGGACAGGGCGCACCCGCATTAAACTGCCAACTGAAGAAGGGGTCCGTCTCGTTCGTTAAGACCGGACCAAGCAACCTTGTTCGGCGGGGTAAGCCCGAGGACTGCCGGAAGACGTCCCTGGACGTGATTTGGATCTGGCCCCATCCCTCCTCCGTGAGGGTCTCGATGCTTGTGCCAAAAATGTATTCCCTGAAGCCAGCCCAGCGCACCGCCGATGCGCACATGGGGCAGCTCTCGGCGTTGGTGTAGATGGTCAGGTTGGCAAAGGCGGCCAGGGCCTGGGCCGGCGTCATCCGGTATGGACCCTGGGGATCTACAAAGATTGCCGAGCAGTTGTCAATGGCCGCCATCTCCCCTGCTTCATGATCAGCAAAACACCTTGAACAATGGGGGGGGGAAAGCTTTGTTGGGTTGTGTGAGATTCTCGTACCATGCAGAGTCGGGTTCCCTGTGCCAGCATTATTGTTGGCGCCGGTGCAAACCAGCTCCCCCAAGCCGCCGGTAGTGTGGTTCACAATCACTGAGCCAAAGGCCGCGAACGGGCACGGGTTGGGCAGAGCCAGGTTGGCCTGACGCATACAGTACGCTCGAGTTGTGAAGTTGATACCATTGACAATCTTCAGCGGCGGACATGTTTCCAAGGTCATGTACCGTTGAAGATCACCATCGCCATGTCCCACTGCTGAGGCGACCAGTAACAGGGCTACAAGACCGAGCGGTGCCTTGAGCAGGCTCAAAGAGAGTGAGAATGCGTGCATCGTTTCTCGTTTTGCGCAAAGAGCTGTGAGGCGAAGCTGCGACGCGGGCTTCTGTCCAGATTGGGATAGTTGAAGCTTCGGAGAGCTCCTGATTTGGATTAGTGAGCTAGAGGTGCACACTATTGCGGAAGGTGGCGAAACTCGGTCAATGCGTGTGCATTGTTTGTGTGTCGACGTCAAAGCAGATGAACGTTGTCGACTTTCCCACGAGATGTCTGTAGTAGACTCATGTGGTACTCGGATCGTGCGTTGTCTGCGGCATTAGTTGGGCTTTAAGAGAAAGGGAACCGGGGTAGTGAGGTCTTCGGCAAGCAGATAGGAACTGTGGCGGTAAGCCATGGGCCCTATCTACTGAGGTTGCAATCGTCAATATTTACGTGATAAGAAGATTACGATGGATGCGGTCCGTATCTCTGAGTCTTGTGGCTTTCTCGTGCTGCACGCAAATAATGTGGCTGGTCAGCTGAAAATGACACTGACAAACCCGGTCCGTTCCGGGCCGCTCCGGAAGCACGTCCGGTTGAAATGTGGGTCTTTCCGGAACCATCTCCGAATAAGACGGCGAGTAACGTCTTGAAGTAATAAAGCAGCGATTATCATGTCTAAACAAATGGATATCTATTAACGAACAGCAAAGAGTTTTGTTACATGTGACTACAGCTTTCCCTTCCGCAGAGAGAGCAAAGCTCCTTCTGTTCCACTACCACGTCCCTGCCTTTCCTTTCCAGCATCTCAATATCGAGGTTATAATTCGTCTTTCCAATGCCTGATTCAAGATCATCTTTGGGGATCCCATAAGGGTTCATCGACCTCCATGAGAGGTCGTACGGCTGAGGCGGCGGCGAAGAGGGCTCGAGCACCTTGGGCTTAGATCCACCATAGGCGTACATGTCTCGGTATTTACGCGACGGCGTCTGGTCATCTTTGGGCGGGACAGGAGGGCCCTTGGGGCTCGTGATGTAGTCGCGGACGTAGTTATCGCTAAATTGAGGTGGGCTGTTACTCCGCCCAAACCTTTGATATCTCCCAGCAGCCTTTGTTGGCTTGTCCACGCTGCCGTCTGAGGAGGGGCTGCTGCCTTTTGATGGCTTCGGGGTGGTCCATCTGGCAAACAGCGCGAAGCCAGGGAATTTCTTCTCGACCAGATTACGAATCATGGGCGCGCAAGCACACACGACAACGACGCCTAGTTCGATAGTCGTCCACCACACAACGGGCGCGTAGTCCCACGTCGGGTCGATGGAGTTCCCAAACACTGCCAGAACCTGAAGACGAATAATGGTTGAAATGAAGCCGACGGATCCCAGGAGGAAGACCATGGCGACCGAGATTTTCTTGTTGCGGTTCATTTGCAAGCCTGGAAGCATCGCTATCGGAAGGGCGAGGATGAGCAAGTCCTGGATGATAGCCAAGGCAGAGTTCGCGTAGGCCAGTTGGTTGACGTCGAGGCAGGCACCGGTGTGGATATCTTTGTTCCAGAATAGTTCGATCGGGTGGCAGGAGAAGATGGTCAGAAAGCCGATGACTACCTGGCCAACGACGAGAAATCCGATCAAGGTGTAGGCAGCGATGCGGAACTTCGGTACCGTGAAAATTCGCAAGTAGAAGACGACGAGTGATAATTTCGCGAATAAGAGTACGAAGACGTAGACAATCTCGGCGGCGTATACTACAAGACGTCAGCTGGGATTACTTCGACGTGAGTGGCATTGACTCACAAAGACGCAGGATCTGAAGCAAACCACCCGACTTGAGATCGTAGAGATGCTTGCCAAACCCTAAAGTTGACACTATTGACAGTTAGTCGCTTATCTGAGCATTTGGCTCCGTCAAACTCACTCAAAAAGATTGCAGACACGGGGGCAATCGCAATGACAATGGCCGCGATGATCAACGCGTCATCTAGACTCCAAGTCTTTGCAATATTCTTCGCAATAAGTCGCAAGACAATCGCAATGACAGCCGTGACATAGACAGTGATGAGAATGGCGAGGACTTTCCCAGTGTCAGACTCGTGAGGTAGGTTGCACTGCGTCTGTTGTAGCTTCGCGACATCTGGAACGACTGGTCAGTATTCTACTCCCTTTCCTCAGGCCCAGCACACTAGGGTATCATCACGACTCTCATGACTTTACTCACCTAAAGAGTCTTGCATGGTGCAGTTCGCAATCAAGCATGGGCCGACGAGCTGACCCAGGCCAGTGCTCGCACACGAGCACGTCGTGTTCGTGAGGTCGCATCCGACCCCTGCGATACCCTGGACAAGGCAGTTCAACTACGTGCAGAGTGTTAGCCAAAGTGGGTTCATTTCGGAAGTGCAACCGCGCAAAAAGAGCCTCCAACATCTATAAAGAACTTACGCCGCATGTCGATATGTTGCTAAGATCAGGTAGTTGCTGCCTTGCAATCAAATGAACGTGTTCTCCCGCAAAGTACTCCTCCCCAGTTGTTCCTACAGCGGAGACGATTGACACAGCAAATATGAGCCATAGCAGGCCGAGAGAGGCCGCTGACGATGTTGATAACCGCATATCGAAAATCCGAGACGAAGTATCAGCCGCCTTCTTTTTTCTGCCCTCGGCTTCTCACGGCTCCATATAGCTCTAGCCGTATAACGCGAGTTGTATGTGTCCGGATCGACGTATTTGCTCGGTACTGGCAAGGGCCAAGGTCGCCAAGTCGCCGCACCGGGCGCGCATGTAACTCAAGATCTTCCGAGAACGAGTGTCGAAATAGCCAACCCCTTGTCTAGTTGGAGGTTCGAGTTCGGTGGCAGTGGGGACGACGTTGGAGATGCATCACAAGCCCAGGTTGACGAGGTGGGAGGAAATACCGTTATCAACCTTCCCCCTTCCTCCCAAGGGGACCCGTTCGTTGCGTTTGCCCCATGGATCTTGACACATCAAGGATAACTGGTCTTTGCTTCAGATGCAAAGAATGACCACATCCCGGAAAAAATACGTCAAAGGGGGGCTCCGGGGCGGACAAAGCTCCCTCCCTCGTCTCTCTCCCCTCACTTCTTGCTGCTGCAATGCTGCAAGAGCACCTCCCGTCCAAGTGTTGCGAGGTTTTGTGGATGGGACGGAAAGGTCGAGGAAGTGGTGTGCAAGTGTGCGCGCCATGTTCTGTGCGCTTGCGAGCTGATTGGCCGTGTGTCTGTCGATGCCCTCCCTCCCTCACTTCCGAGCTTCCTCTCCCTTAGCGCCTTAGGCTATACGGGTGTGTACGGACACCAAGCTCAGTGAGCAGAGATCTATCCAGACAGTAGATAGCACGGGCATGGGAAGCTCCCCTGTCACTTAATTACCGGCATAAGAATATGTACGGACTTAACTTGGCAAACGTCCCCCCACCCCAACAGCTCTCGGCCTTTGAACCCGCGCCGCTGCATCACCAGTGGAAAATCTTAGAGTTCTAGCGGCAGATTCAAGCAACCATGGTGTCGGTTGTCATGTTTCACGGGACCAGGTCCATCGCGCCATCTCCCAACTATTGAGCCGATCAGGAGAAAGTCCATCAAAGCGATCAGTGCGGCTTTCCCCTTTCTGTCTTCGCGTTCACCCTGTCGTCCACCTTTCTCTCTTGTTCTCCCTTCTCGCTCCGTCATATGCCCTTGACAGCCTGCGTTCTGCAGGGCCACAGAGTCCGTGTTTGGGCGGGAAACAAAAAGGACCGTTCAGGTTCTAGTCCATGCTGTGCAGCTAGTGCGAAGCACTCCGTGGCTCGGCCCATGGTTCCCCGCCCCTCGCGACCCTTGTCCCTAACCGGCTGGTCCTCCGGGATGTACGCTGTGATGTTTCACACAGCTCGAGTGTTTCGAAGCCGCCTTCGAGAAGGGCTGGCAAACATAGACAGCGCCCTCTCATTCGCCTAGTTCAGCCACATTTGTTGCAGGAAAGCTGCTGTGTGAGGGGGGAAGCAAAGTGTTTGGTCTGTGGTTGTCTCTTCTGAGTCTAAGCAGCCAAACTCTATTTAGACTCCGCCCATTCTCTTTCTCTCTCACCAACGCCCTTCTCTGCAGTGTGCTCCTCACGTCTGTTCTCGAACTCTACTGATCTTTCCACCCTCTCAAGTTCCGTTTCTGACGAGCATGTTGGGCCTAAGGTGATCCCAACGGTGCTTCAAAGTTGGCATACTGTTCTGTCTGCCTGCCCTACTCGAAATTTGATTGACAACAGCCGAGCAGCCTCCGCACTCTCCCCCACCACGGCAGATACTGGTCAGGTGCCAGACTGAATCATTCGTATCTCTTCCATTGGATCCTGCCTACTAAGAATCTAGTCAGATTTCATCTGGAAGGGTGGCTCAGTCGACTCAATTGTGGCAATCGAGTGAACAGAACATACCACCAGCAAAAGCTTCTCAGCGTACTCGGCCCTCCATCTCGTATTCTTTGTTTCTTCTAGAATCGAAATCTTACACACCATCTATAGAGCCGTTTCTGGTCAATCTGATCTGATCCTCTCAACAGATACATGCCGCCCTCTCGAGTCTCCCGCCGGTAAGTGGGAGACAATCTGTATCCAAGCACTCTGTTGAGCCGAAGATTTGAATCTTCAGCTCGGAGGGACTCCCAAACAGTTTATATCTCCGTTCGGGCGAGATGGGTTCCGCTGCGGGTTATGCGACGAATTTCGAGCGTGGATGAGGTGAAATCTCACACCTGAAATCTCAGCGGTTGTCAAAAAGCATGGTGTGATTTTCTGTGTCGAAACCACGATCGAATGTAGCATTGACAGTTGTTTGACGTGAGATGCAATCTGTAGCGATATCTTTGACTTAAATGCACGTAATTTTCTGCCCTGCTGCGTTCCTCGGCCCTTGGAATCACTGCATCCTTCACGCAACTTGCTTGGGCAGTGTACAGCAAACCTGAAGGTGTATGATCATTCCAAAGCTACCTTAGTAGTAAAGCCGGAGAAGAGCCATCATCACATGAGCACCCTGTCCACTCTTTTGCCTGCCGGAAGGTAAGTTGTTGTCCTGCAATGGAACTCATCAAAGCAAAGGGCAGCTGGGGAGCCCAGCCGTCGGTCCAGACTTGCAAGAGAGATCGAACTTCATCCCGCCCGGGTTGTTCCCTCGATTGCAGGCAACCATCTCGATGACGGAGATCTGTGCGGGCAGGTTCAAAGTACAGTGGCCAACAAGGATATCCCGTTTGCTCTTATTCCTCGGACTTTTGGAGCAAAGAGGGAGAATTTGGGCGCCATCCAATCAGAATGTGAATCCTCCATACCCATGAGAAGATACTGTCAGTCTCCACTGCTTCTTGGGGGTCAAATACTGCCACTCATGTGGGTTAATCGCCAGTGTACGAACAGACTTCAGGGGTTGTACAGCCTCATCTCGTAAACTTTAACCTTTTCCCCCCAATGTCTATCCGTTCTAGGGGCATGGGTTGCATTGACAACTCAAAGTGAGGTGATATTCAAAAGTAACTTGTAACGCTAATATCATGGGATTGGTTAAACTTCCCGAAGAAGCTTGATGACTAACAGCTGTTCACGCAGCTACCATCAAAGCCGACTAGCCTCCGGTCAAGCTTGCGCAGCCTTCATAGCAGCGATACGGTGCTTGGTCCGCTCCACCACGTTCTTCTCATCGTAGATACCGTTGACACTGGGCGTGCTGTTGACAACCTGAGCCCACTTGTAGAAGCTAGGGGCCTTCTCCTCCAGCGAAGTCAGAATGCTCTTCGGGATGAGCTCGTAGTTTGCAAACGAGAAGAGCCTCAGCGTGAATGACCCGGTGAGGACCTCGGCTAAAGTAACCTTGTCACTCCCACCAAAGTACGGCTTCGCATCCTTCAACAGCGGCTCAACCTCCTTGGCGATAACGTCAATGAACCCAGCCGCGATCTCATTCACCTCGGCTTCCGACTTGGCCAGCTGCAGCTTGTACAGTGACGAATTGGCCTTGCTAAAGTACGTGTCGACGAAGAAGTTGATGCGCGCGCGGGTGAGCGCGGCGTCCTTGGTGCCCGGGGCGGGGACGAGGTGGGAAGGGTGCGCGTCGGCGAGGAACTGGCTTACGATGGCGGACTCGGTGATGATTTCGCCGTCGTAGGAGATGGAGGGGACGAGACCGCGCGGGTTGATGGCCAGGTACTCTTTTGTGCGGGGCACCGAGAGGTCGATGATTTCTTCCTCAAAGGGGAGGTTGAGTTCGGCGAGGGCGATGTGTGCACGGTGAGCCCCTGAGATTCGGGGTTAGCTATGAATCCTTCTCCCCGTTATTTGCTCTCATTGAATCTTATTAATCCGAGAGTGCTGCGCTGGTTTGAGTCGTGAGACTTCATGAGGGGTGTACTTCATGAGGGGTGTACTTCATGAGGGGTGTTCTTCATGCTTAATCCTGCACGTGGCTCTCTGGGGTAGGTGGTTACGCGGAGAGAGAGTGAGGGGTTGAAAGCGAAAAGACGAAAAGGAAGCGAGGACTAGGCTGGAGATGAATGTCACGTACATGGGCAGCCGTGGTTGGTGTACAACTTGATCTTGGGGGCGGCGGAGGACATTGTCAGGATTCGGTTTCTGATACAGGTCTGTGTTGATGGAATGGAAAGCTGCTAAATGTGGTTGTCGGGGAGTTAAGACTTGGCTTCTTGGCTTTCTGCTTGGAGATATGGGGACGTATTAGCCGGCGATGGTGAGGTTGGTGCGTATTTGAAGGAATCGAGTGTTGATAATTGATTACCAATGCAACAATGATACATAGTGAGGTCGGAGAGTTGCACCATTGAAAGACCGATGTCGTGATGCAACTTGTTCCCCCCAGCCTTGAGAGAGGGGGGAATAACCCCGCTCACTCGTATGCTTGGCTCATCACTGTGTGTCTTTCTGAACACCCTGCGGAGTTTACGGGGAAAGCAGCCAAACATGGTTCACCCAGCTTAGAAATCAAGGGTCGGTGCTCGGCACGGATTTCACATCCGTAGATGTATTCTCCCCGCTTCCCCACTGGGAGCCTCTCTCTTGCATTCATGCCGTGCTTAGTGTACATGTAGATTAGAACAGTATCCGACTGTCGGATACTGATAAGAGTGATCCTGTTGCAGATGCTGGCTCTATCTTAGATCATGATATCATTTGCCGTGCCGCAGCATTGAAACTCCACGAGTCCCGATGCAATGCAGGCCAACCTCGTCTTCCCTTCGCCAGCGTTCCCTATTTAGGCCCATTTGGAGGCATCCGTGCGGGCGGATGTTGATCTGAGGACCCTGAGGAATCAATAGGGCTGGTTAAACATGAGATTGTAGCTCCCTTAGGAATCGAGATACGACTTGGATCTATACAATCCAGCATGACATTGCAAAGCCCGAGGCATTGAGTTCCTTGGCAAGAAAGAGCGATCAATCGCAGTCTGCAATGGCGCCAGGGGAGAAGGTTCTAGTGGTCGAGATGCGGTCTGAAGAGCTCGGCAATCTTTCCAAAAAGCTGATGCCTGCCGTTTTGTTCAGTACCTCTTCCTTGCCCTGCTGGATCGTCCAGTGACGGGAACCTGGATCGTGGTCCCGGGAGTGTGTTCCGGAGCAGCCGGGAAAAGACGACAGGGAACGGATTGTGAACGAGGCGTCCCTGTGACACTCGATCGTCGCCAAGATATATCATTTGCATTTCGTGCAGCCAACATGAGTTTGTTAGACGCACCATGATCCCTCCAATTGAGCAATAACTGGGAAAAGTAAACTTTTGTTGGTTCCTTCTGCGAGACAGTAACCCGCAGACTTGGCAACAACGGCCGTCTGACATTTCTACCACTATTAAACCGATTGCAAAACTCTAACTGATACTGTCCTGGATGACATTCTTCATAAGCTCGTGGTTGTGGGAGTAGTCAATCTCAACGTCGACGATGCAGACTCCCTGGTAGCTCAACGCCTCCTTCATGACGGCCCCCAGTTCCGATGAACGACTGACGCGCAATCCCTTGGCGCCAAACGCCTCGGCATACTTGACGAAGTCAACCCCGCCCAGATCGACACCCGAACTGCGACCGTACTTGTCGACCTCCTGAAACTCCACCATGTTATACTTTCCATCGTTCCAGATGAAATGCGCGATGTTGCACCCTTGCTTGACGGCCGTTACTAGCTCTTGCCCGCTGTAGAGGAACCCGCCGTCGCCGCTGATGCTTACGACCTTCTTGGAGCACGGCGGCTCCTGGGCTAGCGAGGCTCCAATGGCCCATGGGAGAGCCACTCCAAGAGTCTGCTGGACATTGGAGACGAGGAAGGACTTGGGGCTGTATGCGAAGTAGAAGCGTGAGAGCCAGATGTACATGCTGCCGACGTCTGATGCCAGAGTTGTCGACGGGGGGAGCAGGCCCTGCATGAGCTTGATGAAGTAGAGAGGATGCACGGGGCCATCACCAGTCTGGCCGAGAGCCTGGGGACTCTGCTCCCAGGCGTGGAACTCTGTGAAGATGGTTTTAGCTACCTCGGATTCCTGCGGACGAGAGACATTGGCCAAGATATCGCTCAGCGCCTTGACATTGGCGGCGATGGCGCCTACGAGTTCGAGCTTCGGGTTGTAGAAGGCGCCATAGTCAGCGGGGATCCAATCCAGATGCAAGATCTCGAGGCTCTGGCTCTTGTGCCAAGCGTCAGCATCATACTCGGACTGATCGTACCCCGCGACGATGACGAGATCAGCCTGGGAGAGGAGCTTATCACCAGGTTGGTTGCGGAAAAGGCCGATGCGGCCGTAGAAGAGATGGGCGAGCTCCTGGCTGATTGATCCGGCGGCCTGGAAGGTTTCGACGACGGGAATGGGGTGCTTGCGGAGGAATCCGTGGACGGCTTCGACGGCGTCTGGTGTCGCTGCCCTTGATCCGAGGAACAGGACTGGGAATTTTGCGTTTTGGATCATGGCGGCCGCCCTGCTCAGTGATGCCGACGGTGATGTGCCATACTGCGGTGGTGTGAAAGCGCTTGGGGGCAGCGCGGGGATGGACGTCTTGGTTCCGACCGTCATGATATCGATTGGTAGGCTGATAGCAGTTGCACCCTGCGGGTACGCCGTAGCGGTTCTGAAGGCATCGAGCATGATCTCTGAGATTTGATCCGGATGCACGGCACCGGTTGTCTTTTTGGTGACGGGCTCGAGCAGCTGGACACCCCTCAGGCTCTGATGTGTCTTCTTGGCAGCTTGCACTCGCTTGACATCGCCGACAATGGCAACGACGGGTGAACCCTCGTCGTTGGCGGTGACAAGGCCGGTGACAAGGTTGCTGGTTCCCGGCCCGGAGGTGGCTATACATACGCCGGGTCGGCCTGTGATCCTACCGATCGCTCCGGCAATGAAGGCGGCATTTTGCTCGTGACGGCAGACGACCAGCTGGATCTCGGGGCGGTCGATCAGGGCATTGAAGACGCTGTCGATCTTGGCGCCCGGAACACCAAAGATGTGCTTTACGCCAGCAGCGACAAGAGAGTCGATCACGACATCTACCGTTTCTGCAGACATTCTGTGGTGTATTTGTGTATGATGTCAAACCAATAGAGATATTCAGGTTCTGTTTAATTCAATAGGATGAAAAGATGTGAAGCATTAGATGCCTTCGATCCGGTCTGGCCTGGTTGGGTCAGGAATGCTGAAGGTATATGGAACAATGTTAGCGTCAATTTCAGAGGCCCTTCGAGAATGCGAAAAAGATCAAGTGGTCATGAGCAGAAGTAAGAAATTCAGCTTTACACCTCGCGATCACGATACCGGCGAGAGACGGAGACAGAGAAGTCAAGGGTGGAGATTGAAATGCCGCAAAGTTTCCTAGCGCTTGGCCCTCAATCGGTGAGATGAGGAGCCAAAACCACCAAAGTTCAAAGACCGAAGGAGCGAGGCGGCGATGTGGCCGGTGATGCCGTGCGACTGACGTCAGCGCCCTCCCCGGGCAGTGGGGACCCAAAGCGGCGCCTTCCATTTGTATCTCAGTGTGATCACCTTGATGACTCAACCTTTAACACCAGGAAAGAGCCACAAGATAGCAGCTTCCCGTGCGACGCTGAAAAGCTCGCTGAGCCCGGAGGCGCCTTCCGTGGCCTTCCGATGCCTCCGATCCGGCGGACGGGGGGGAAGGTGCGCGGGCACGCAGGCAGGCGCGCCTTCTGCAGTCAGCAGTCAGCAATTGCGGGCCGCTTTCATGGCCAAATTCAGTGGAACCCCAAACCCTCACTCACCACCTCACTCTCCGTGAACATCTTCTCTCATCTCACCTTACTACTGTGGCTTCGTCTTCTATTCTATCCTAGTATCGATATACTGAAACTTAAATCTCACTTTAACCACGAAGAAAACGAACGACCTGACCGGGGTATCATCAGACATCATGGCGGTCAATGAAATATTCCAGTACTCCATCATCTCAGCCCTCATGGACGGCGTCGCCTCCAAGGGCCTGCCCGTCTCAGACCTCATCTCCCACGGAAACCAAGGCCTGGGAACTTTCCGGTACATGGTCGGCGAGATGATCATCCTCGACGGAAAGCTCTACCAAATGAAGTCAGACAACACCGTGACCCCAATCGACACAAGCCCCGCCTCCGACGCTGTCGCTCCGTTCGCCATGATCACCCGCTTCCAGCCCACGGCAACCATTAAGGCCGCATTTAGTAACAAAAAGGAGCTTTTTGAGCACCTCTCACAAGACTTCCCCGACTCGAAAAACTTTTTTCTAGCCATCAGGATCGAGGGCGTGTTCAAGGGTATCACGGTGCGGACGGCCGGGGGTCAGAGTAAGCCTGGTGAGGGCTTGGTCGAGGTCGGCAAGCACCAGGCGTCGCATACCTTTGAGGAGCCAGTGCGCGGCACCGTTGTCGGCTTCAGGTCGCCAGAGTATACCATGGGTATCAGCGTTGCCGGCGATCACCTGCACTTCATCACCGAGGACCGGACTCAGGGTGGTCATATTCTGTCGTTTGGTACGGACGGCGAGGTCGAGATTGGTGCGGCGCAGATTTCAAAATGGCACGTTGAGCTGCCGACGAACGATCCCGAGTTCAACAAGGCCGCATTGGAAGGCGATAAGGAGGGCATCGCTGCCGTGGAGGGTTAGGAGAGGGGCGTGGAGCAATGTAGAAACATACGATAATCCTAATAACTGATAATTTTCTACCACGGACATTTTCAACGTCGTTGCAATGTGAGAGGAGAAAAGAGAGAAGAGAAATGAAACGATTACTCCGATTGGATTGATTGGATTGGCGGTTGGGATAAGGTCCACTTGTGAGAATCCTCCCAAGTAGGATGAGCAATCCAACTTGGCAAATCTCACTGGCATATCCGTAATCAAGTGCGGGCTGCTTGTGGATGCGGATACAAGAGTAACAACTCCCCAATCATCGTGGTCATACCCCTCTAGTGGACGGTGAGAATTTTTTTTGACTTCAAGGATTGTGCTACAAAGTCACGAGATGGTACAGGCAAGGTAAAGTTGTGAAGTTGGAAAATGACATATTAATTCATGTTCAAAGAAGGCAAATCCTTCTACAGCACAATATCTGTACAGGTGCTATCAGCGGAGTGACCGCGATGGCAATGCTATGCCACAAATGCAAATCTTCGCCATTCTATGGATATACCCGGGTAGTCCCAATGCCTTTATACCGATGCCAATTTGATGAGAGAAATGTGTAAAAGAGGAAGAGATCAAACAAGCCAAGCAACCGCTTAAGAGGTGTAGCTGCAGCTGTTGGGGTCGGTGATCTGAACGGCGCGGACGGCAATGCCGAGGCAGTCAGAGTTACCGGCAGGGTTGGCGACACCGGAAGAAACCCAGACGGACCAGCTGTCCTCGATGCTGTTGGGGCAAGCCAAGAAGCTGGCGCCGTCGAGGGTGAGGTCGCCGTACTGGTCAACCTTCCAGCCGGAGCGCTCGCCGTTGCGGGGCGCGGGCTGGGCGCCAGTGGTGTAGCCGAGCTTGCCCTGGCCCATGCCGGAGCGGTCGGCGTAGAGCTGCTGAGGAGTGGCGGAGGCGGCGTAGAGGTAGAGGCCGCCGTCGTCCTGGTTCAGGTAGAAGGTGGCAGAGTCGTCATCCTCGGTGCTGTCGCAGGTGGCGTTCTGGTTGGGGAGCTGGAGGAAGATTGAGCTCTTGGCGGCCTGGAAGGTAGAGAAGTGCACCTCGCTGGCGGAGCGGAGGGCCATGAGCTGGAACTTGGCGTCGGCGGGGAGGCCGGGGGCGGTGCCGTTGGTTGTGCCGTTGTTCTGGCGGGTGATGAGCTGGGGGACCGCGGCGCCGGAGACCGCAGCGATGAGGGAAGTAGCAACGGCGAGGGTGTTGGTGAACTGCATTTTGATGGTTGTTTGAAGTGACTGTGGGTGTAAAGACTGATGTGGTCGGATGATTACTTTGAGATTAAGACTGTTGGTTGTTGAGTGTGATGAGGTAGTGGTTTCTGAGAGGTGATGGAGGGGATCTGTCGGTCGTCTTATATATCAGATTGACAATCTCAAATGCTGGTTGCTGCGGTGCCACTAGAAGGCTCTAGGAGTCCAGGGGACCCCGTTTCGATGATCATCTCGTAATCACGGGGTGCAGAAAGCGAGTTCGCGTTGGTTGCGCCTGCTGGTCCCAGTCCAACCAGTGCCCAAAGTTGAGTGTGTGCACTGCCGGCGCGAAGATCTTCTCGTAATGCCGGCCAGGGATACCTGCGGAGCCCGATTGACATCATGAGCCCTGCCTCCTGTGGTTTGCAGTGGAGTCACGGACAAATACGAGAGGAGCCGCCTCGCAAGGGGAGGCGAAGGCGAGCCGCGAAAGGGTGAGTGACATGGCATGGCACCCCTCCGGAGAGACTTGGCGATGCGGCATCCCGCCTCCTAGCGTTGCCGTCTGCGCCGTCCGCGAAACCCGTTGCTTTTGCCCCGAGACTCTGGTTGACCTCGCAACTCGGTCTCTGCACCTTGACTCAGAGACTAGAGTGTGTGAATGGGGAACTTGAAAGCGCCACAGCCGGCGGCCTCGGGAGGACGGAGCCGGCCAAGGACAAGGTGAGGTTGCCGATTGGTTCGGTTCTCTATTTAGCACAGCCATTGTCATGGATGATGGATGAACCGGTGGTCCCTATTCAGCACAGCGACACAAAAATGGGGGAAAAGAAGAGAGAAGAAAAGAGGCAGAGAGAGAGAGAGAGGCTGGCGGTGGCTGGCAAGCTTGTCCTGCTGAATCGAACACAGCTCTACCACAAAAGCTGCGCCCCCAGCCACCCAACCAATATCTGTCGTGTTATGCGGTGACCAGCACATGCCACCCGGTGCCTTAACGTAGGGCAGAAGTGGGCAGTGATGTCACAAACAAACGACCGGCTGCCCCACGTCCCCTATTTTCAGACATTTTAGGCCTTTTAGGCATTTTAGACAGGAGTCGCCTCCTTGGGAAGTGTCTTGGCTATCCTCAAGGTGACATAACCGAAGAGTTGCAAAGACTCTAACTCACCGGGAGGCAAACGGCTATACGGTATGGGCCAAGGGCCGTAACGTAGCATGTCACTCTTGCTCAAGGCAGAGCCTCCGGAGCTAGGGAAGCGAGAGGTAACCCGTTCCCCGACCGGTGAACATTTTACATAAACGAAACAGGCAACAAGACGACTAACCAAAGAAGAGAGAGGCGACAAAAAGTCAAGAGTCAAGGACGCTAAAAAGTCGTTCACTGCTCCCAGTCAAGGGTCCATTAAAGTGAAACTGACGCCAGCCCAGCCTGCCAGCGTCGCTCTCGATAACGCCGATGAACCTTAACCTATTAATAGCCGAGTCAAGCAAGCAGGGAGATCCGCTAAAATTTCTTTGGTGCTAGGAGCGCTTTTCCGGAGAATATTCCATAGCCGTCCTGCTGTTGTTGGTTAGTACGAAGTAGCTGCGTCAAGCGCTCGGCTGACGCTGAGCTCGGGGGCGAATTAACAGTGACTCGTGCGCTTGCTAGAGGAAAACACGCGCCATCGTCATTGGGATTCTCTGCAGAGCGTTGGGCGAGACATTGACAGAAACAATGGCGAGCTTGTCTGTAAGTAAGACATTCTCGGCGCAACTCAACCCTGACTGCGGATGGAGAGGCAAGAGACACAGAGAAGCACGAGAGGCCGCCCTCCAGTCCGATTTGTGGGACACTGCGTGACTGCAATGGCCTGATGGGAAATCCATCGAAATGGCTCAAGGGCCGTGTTCGGACGATCTGCTGCCCCAGAAGCTTTCAAGTTGGGACGAGACGTGGAGACGTTGTTCCCACCTTTATCCCGCATTTACCCAGTACTACAACCTTGATGCGTATTTTTATTTCTTTTGCACCCCCTGAGCTGCCATGGTGACCCCGGAAACTTACAAGCGAGCCAAGTTGTGAATATTCTAGAACAGCATAGCATGACCAAAGCCTGTGTTCATCGAATCTCGACGGCGTTGCATTCGTCCGATGGTTGCTTTTCTCCACGCTGCCAGCTGGTGATCTGATCGACAATTCCCTCAAGAACACGGTCATGGTCGGTGTACTAGATGATTCACGGCAGCACCAACACCGTCTCCAAAAATAACCAAGCTTAACAGCACAGTGTGTTGATCACCAACCAATTTACCAGCTCGGAGAGTCCAACAGTTTGTTTAAATTCGCGCATGGCCATGGCGATCATTTCTCACGAAGGTAATGCTCCGCCGAAAGAAGTTTCAGAGGGCAGCTGTCCATTTATAAGATAGGGATAGACACGGCCCAGGTAGAAGACAAGATTGGTTATTGGTTAGTGCACCCTGACTCCCGGTGATGGCAAATAAAGCCAACAGTTTCCCAATGTGGAGGGCATAACTTGACTCAATCATCGGGCACAATCGATTTTGAATCGTTTATTAATGTTGCGATCATCCCGTCTCGTCTATCATGATTGTGTTATCTGATTTCGTGGTGAAGTTCACCTAAAGGTCTTTTGACCACGGGCATGGGCGTGGGTGTTCTTCATTCAATGTTGCAATCTGACTTTTATAGAGATTGTGATATACAGTCTACCGAAATGAAAATGAGAACATGATTGGGAAAACACAGGTTCCTCTGGAAATGTCAGAAACGATGTGATTCTGTTTTGAAATATGCTTGGTTCCGGAAGAGTTTCTCTCTGGTGTTTGCTTGCCGAATTGTGGGAAGTGAAGTCAAAAAAAGAAATTCAAAGGCATTGGACTTGAGACCCATGCAATGTGATTTATTTCTTCATGCCTTCCGCCAGAAAACGGACGTTATCCTCGTAAACATGATGGGCGCCGTACCCTCTCTCAGATCCCTACCCGCAGTGCCGCATACCGGCATCGGAAAAAGCGCCCGAAGCCCCGGAGCATCCAATGCAGCTCTCCTTCGCTTGATGAAACTAACCCACCCCCATATTGCGCTACAAATAGCCCTTGTGAAGAGAGTCGGGGCCACCGATATCCTAGTCGCTTACAAGTTCTCAGTGCTCGCAGCGGGTTTGTTGTCTGAATCTCATCTGACCTGTGACCTGTCAGCTTCAAGGTCCCGCGAGATATGCGCCGGATTTCCTCCAGGAAACGCGAGAGGAACCAGATAACTTGACCACAGACACGATGGCGGCACTGATCCGTGGCAGAAACACAGTCATTCTTTCGTGTTCGGGAGAACACGTCGATGAAGGCTCGAAGCCCGATCGTCCCCCGATCGTCTGGACTACACGTGCGGATACAACGGCCCTTCGCTTTTAGCTTAGTTCCGTTATTATCTCCTACGAAACCATGTCTTTACAATTACTGATTTCGTGCTGTCAGACTCCCTCTCCGAGCCACCTCACTTGGAAGGAATGGTTGAAAGATTGTTTAACGATTAGCCATGCTACAATGGTCCCACTTTCCTTATCAATTTAGTAGGCATTGTCGATGTCTTCAATTGCATCCCTCTTCGAAAATAACATCGCGCTATAAGAAGGCAGATAGCAGCTCAGACGTTGTGGGAGTTATGACGGACTCTCACTCATGCTGCTTACATTTACTCAGTCAACCTGAGAGTTCCCAATTCGTTTGGGGAATGGTCCGATGGTTCGTATTGGGATATTTGCCATGGAAAGATATTTCTTTATCGTTTATTCGAGTGATATATTGCTATGACCCGGTCTTTGTCCCCGACTTAATTCATTCCCTAGTCAAGAGTCAAGACTCCCAGCCTGGCGACATCAATTACGGCGTCGGTAAGTTAACTTCCTTCATTCTGACTCTCCCTGCTTTGAACATGCAATAGCTCACTCTGACATGCTACCTCTCTTCAACCAAATTCATATATATGACTAAAACTTACCCGTCGTGTTCACGCAGTTGCCTGAGCTCAAGTTCGTATTACAGACTTTTCATGAGACCAGAGGACCCCTTTGCCTCGTTACAAGAGGAAAATATTCGACAAATTACAGCAAGCACCGTAGCACGATCTCTATCTCATTTTCGTTCTCGAGGCAAAACACCACATACACAACTTGGCTCACAGGTGTATTTATAGCTCTGATCAACGTTCCATCATCATCACTTTGCGAGTTCAATCATCGTACCCGCAGATCAGGAGACTTTCCCCGCCAATTACATGTACTTACGCAACAGCTGGACACGTGGGTGACGGGCCAAAATAGCAACGAGCCTTTCACGCCAGTTGAACAAGGTATTTTCGCTTCCTCGAGATTCAACGACGTCAAGTTTCTCACTTGAAAATTATTAGATGAGCCGAGCCCAGATATCCAATCTTCTACAGGATTCAGATCGGTAATACTGGCTCCAACACACAACACAGCTAGTAGTTTGAGATAGCTTTTCGGTCAACGTTGGGAGGTTTCGGCTTATGGAGTCAATGTTATTTCAACTCCTAATACAGAGAGATTGACGTAGTCAGCTGGACGATGCCGAGGCTAATACTGGCAGGAAACCCGGGCGTGCTGGGTAAGCCGGCAAGCATTGAGCCAATAGCTCCGCGACCTAGGCCTCGGTTTGCCTTGCGGGGAACTGTGCGGCTTGGTGGGGTTTGGTGGTGCTTGAGGAGCTAAGCTTTTGGAGAACCCTGACGTCTCAAGGGGGCCGGCCCAAACCAGCGTCGGGAGCGACGTGGATTCGTCGTGTCGATTTCTCAACTATCTTGATGTTTGATCGGCTGTCGTTCTTTGACCGTTGTACCTCTCATAGATCTCATCATATTTTCTGTGTCTCTCTAGACACAAGTGTCTGACCCGGCAAAGTAGTAGTAAAGCTGGGAATAGTTTGCCGAGACAGGCAAGTCATCTGTACATGCACAATTACCTACAGTGCAGGACCCACAAATCTCGCTATGACATAGCTTTCGACCTAGATGAGGGGAAACCAAGGAGTGTTGAGGAGAGAAGCTTGATCAAGTCTCAGTGCATGTGGATATGAGGGGTCAAGCCTACCCGTATAATTCATCCTTCCCTCACCTCCGTAACCCTTACCACTGGCCCCCAAAGCGCCCTCAACATGACTCAAGCCCCAGATCAGAAAGCTTCAACCGTCAAGCTTGCGGAGTATCTCTTTACTCGTTTACAACAGCTCGGCATAGGTGCCATTCACGGTGTTCCGGGAGACTTCAACCTCTCACTACTCGACTATGTCGAGCCCGCAGGGCTGCTCTGGGTCGGCAACGCAAATGAGCTCAACGCAGGATACGCTGCCGACGGATATGCTCGTATCAAGGGCGTAGGAGCTCTCATCACGACGTCCGGTGTTGGCGAGCTCTCGGCCATCAATGCTATTGCAGGGGCGTACGCTGAACGGGCAGCCGTGGTTCACATCGTCGGCACGCCTTCTAGGGTCCTACAGGATAGCCGAACGATGATGCATCACGGCTTCAATGATGGGAACTACAGACGTTTCGCGGAGATGCATTCTCACGTCACCGTCGCGCAGGCGAATCTCAGACACGCAGAGTCGGCACCGCGTCAAATTGACGAAGTTTTGAGGCAGTGTCTAGCCCAGAGCCGCCCGGTCTACATTGAGATTCCTCAGGACTTGGTCACTGTTTTTGTGTCGGCCGATGGGCTAAGAACACCCATCCAGCTTCCTGGATCAGTCCCAACAACAGCCGACGAGGCTGCTCTGGCAGCAATCGTGGACAAGATCAAGGCTGCAAAACACCCGATGATTCTCGTTGATGGTGAGACGAGGGCATTAGGTATTGTCGAGCAGACCGAGGAACTGGTGAAAGCCACGGGCTGGCCCACCTGGACTACTGCTTTCAGTAAGTCACTGGTCAACGAGAGTCTGCCAAACTACCACGGTATCTACTCGGGTAGGTTTGCCGGTCCCGCCGTCAAGACCTTTGTCGAGAAAGCCGACTTGATCTTGTGCTTCGGCCCTCACTTCAGCTCGACGAACACATATGCATTCTCAAGCATACCCAAGCCAGCTGTGACAATTCTCTTTAGCGACAACATCAAGGTGGCGGACCAAACATTCCGCGATATCACCATCAGAACGGTGGTCAGGTCACTTCTCGAAAGACTCGAAAAGTCAGAGATTCATCAATATGCTCCTTACCCAGAACTCCCTAAAGACCACGGCATAGAGTTCTCGGAGGTGTCAAGCGAAGAGAAGATAACTCAGTCCAAGTTTTGGCACCTCACGTCCAGTTTTGTACGCCCAGGTGACATCATCTTTGGAGAGACGGGAACCGCCGGCCATGGATCTCGAGTCTTTGCGCTACCATCCCATACCAGAATGTTCCTCCCGACAACCTGGCTTTCCATCGGATACATGCTTCCCGCTGCGCAGGGCGCAGCCTTGGCGCAGCGAGAACTCATCCAGTCATCCAGTTATCATGACATCAAGGAAGCACGTACGATTCTCTTCATCGGCGACGGCAGTTTTCAGATGACTGTTCAGGAAATTTCTACCATCATACGCCACAACCTCAACGTTATCATAGTTCTCCTCAACAATGACGGTTACACCATCGAACGATGCATACATGGACTAGATCAGTCCTATAATGACGTTGCCCGTTGGCGCTACTTACAAGCGCCCGGTTTCTTCGGGGGCAACCCAGAGACGTATACAGGCTCTGCAAAGACCTGGGGTGAGCTCGAGAAAGTGTTGGATAATGATGAGTTGAAGAATGGGAAGGGCCTGAGAATGGTGGAGGTTTTCATGGACCCTGATGATGCGCCGGAGGGTGCGCTGCTCGACTTGCTCGAGAAAGAGAAGAAGAGAATTTCAGATGGTCAATCATAAGAATAAGTACATGTACTAGATGCTAATGGCTAAAGTATGTACTACTACATACAGGACTTTACCGGTTGACCTTTACCTGTCTACGTTCTAGCCCTCTGTTCGGAGGAGTTTGGACTGTCGACATGAGGCATCTTGACCTCAGGTTAGCCTTGTACTAAAGACGTTTAATCTGCTGTGCTGTGATACTTCTTTCTGCCTTGTGGTTTTCAAAGTTACGCCGGCACCTGAAAGTGTGCCGTCGAGGAGACCCGGAGACACGATACTTTTGTGTAGAACGGCGCGGCCTTTTTATCTAGGTAGTTATGTCTGGTAGAACGGTAGTATTCATTAACCCCGTTTATTGCCTTGGAGTCGTAAGGACAGTAAATTTTTAATTAAGGACAAGTAGAGTAATCTCCAACGCCATACACCACCCCTCCGGCCGTCATCCATCATATTCTCATTGAGTCCGAAGCCCAAAGGCCAACATCAGCAAACAAGCCTACTCAGTACCCGCCGTTACGACGCCTCTCATCCTCTCTACGTTGCTGCTCATAATCCTTAATTTGGTCGCCGTACCTGTCCTTGTTGTTCTGAGAGTTCCGGATCTGCTCATCATACCTGGCGCGGCGATCCTCCTCAGCCCTAATCAGTTGATCCTGCTTGTTCTTGTCGTACTGAGACTCGCGAATCTTCTGGTCCTCCCGCTGACGTCTAGCTTCCTCGGCACGGATCTCCTGGTCGTAATGGTTCTTATTGTTGTTATTTCCGTACCTGTCCTTGGCTCGCTCGGCATCCTGGATGCGCTCGCCGCTGCGTTGCTTCTCATACTGAGCCTTGCGAATACGCTCATCCTCCTTGTCCTTGTTGTATTCTCCGTTCTTGATCTTGTCGCCGCTCTTGTCCTTCTTGTACTCGGCCTTATTGATCCGAGAATCCTCACGAGCACGGTCTCTCTCCAGTTGACGGATTCTCTCATTGTCATTCTTACGCTGGTTCGAGTTATCCTTGTTGCGCTGGTTCGAGTAATAGTTGCTGTCCTTGGTTTGGTAATTGGGGTTCTTGTAATCGTTGTAAGTTCCTGACTTGCCACCATAGGAACTGGGGTTGAAGTTCCTCGACGAGTCAGGCGTCTCGACGAATCGGCCATTTCGGCCGTTTTTGGCGTCCTGCAATTCCTTCTTCTCCTTCTCCTTCTGGGCTTGGAGGCGGGCCTTGTCTCGGGAGTTCTGGCCCTTGACTCTGTCGAGTGACGCTTGCTCTTCAAGCTTCTTTCGCCTAGCAGCTTCCTTGTCTCGGGAGTTTGTGGCGCCCTTCTGCTTCGCGCGGGCCTCGGCAATCTCTTGTCGCTCCTTGTCTTCCTTCAACCTAGCGCTGGCATGTTGCTTCTTCTGGTCAGCTTGAATGTCCTTGATTTCATTCTTCTCTGTCTGAACTCTGGTCTTGTCGACCTTCCCGTTATTGTTGTTGTTGCTAGTCCGGGATGACGAAGTCCGAGAGGGGGAAGTACGACTCGAAGAAGACTTTTTCTTATCCCGAGCCTCGAGGTGGCCATACTGGTCATCCTCCGCGTCCAAGTCACGAGACTGGAAGGTCGAGTAGACCTCACTGACTTCCTTCAAGTCCCGTGCCTCAAGATCACCGGACTTCTCAGCGTCCTCTAGACCTCGAGCGGAGATGCCAGCGGCGGAGGTGGCCTCCACATACTCATACTCCTCCTCATCGCGTGTCTCGAGATCTGCGTAGTCCTCACTGACTTCTATCTCGCGAGTCTCTAGAGAAGTCCGAGGGTTCTCATCGAAGACACTTGCGGCGGATTCTTTATTATCGAAACGGGTGATGAGAGGAGCCGCAAGAGTGCTCGAAACGAGCGCGGAAACAAGCAATGCTTTGACGGAAGGCATGTTGTGAGGCAGGTAGGTGACGAAAACTAGCAATGGACACAGGAGACTAAGTTGCTAAAGGAAGCTGGGTTTGTAAACTGCGAAGTCTGCAACCTGTCTTACAAAAGTGCTCAAGTTGGAAAACCGGGAGCCTTATCATCTTTAATACGTTTCTCAACACTGCCAGATTTTCTGTTTGATCCTTGAGACTCCATGTTTTGTTTGCCGTACTAGTGAATAAGTCTAAAATTCTCCGTTAAGGTTAAGTTGGTGGTCTGAGACAACCGATATCTTAGCCTTGATCTTGACCCGCTGTCGGTAATGACCTGATAACGACTTCAAGGGTGTGATGAAAACGAGGCTGTCCCTCACTGTTGCGGAAGCCCAACTCGTCGTTGCGGGCGCGGCGCTCGCGGTATTCAGGCTTAGCTTTGGTCCGTCAGGTAGAGACTGTGAGGGTGAGTAGGATGCCTTCAACGTGTGTTCCGGAAAACATGGGATGGAAAAGCTTGGTCTTCATGCGCAAAAAAGTAGGGCGACGCGCTGTATGCCCGCACGCGGACCCGAGACCGACAAAGTCCGTCCGCACGTCGTTCAACATTGACAGCGTTTATTCTTTCCACGGAGCTCCAGGAGGCAGGGCGGAATCGCCCATGATTCAGGGACCCTGTCGACCGTGTCTGGATTTGAGTCGACCACCGCGGGGTAGGGCAACTTTTGACTCAAGGTTGAGCGCGACTAGCTTAATATGGTAGCTGAGCGCGGGCCTGATCTTCGCGGGCCACGTACATCTCCCGCTGCGGGGTATTGGGAAGAGGCCAATCGGTTCACGAAGCCGAGCAAGTCGTCGTAACGGCTACAAAATTCTGGGATGCCAAGAGCCTCTGGACCGTTACCCCTCGAAGCTTGAGTCTCCTTTCACTTGTTTCAAGGTTTATCAAAGAGAGATCGGAAGCGAGAGCTCGCTTCCAGTTGACGATCGCGCGCTCATGAACTCTCGTTCACGTGGAAAAGGGTCTACGAACGTCTGTGAATCCCCTCATTTGCCGATGTCCAAGAAAGTCAAGCACCTCGTCTCCTGTACCCAGTCCCCTGGGACGCGCAACGCATGACCTTCGGCAATCTGCGAAGCTTTAGCCGCGTACTACACCGGTCAAATTCTCGGCAACGTTGGCCCCAATGTCGCATCGTCTGGATTTTCGTCCCGCAAGGCCGGAGCCGACTCGATGGAGCGGAGAGGCGGCTAACTGCAGCGAGCGGCCGGCGATGTAAGCTTCATTGGCGTAAAGTGTATCGCGTAGCACTGGGCTTTCTTGTGGAGCTTGGTATGATCTTGCGCTGTCTGACTCTTGGAACATTTCAAATCATCTGCAAGGCACCAAAACTCAATAAGAGCCTGGACTACATCTCCGGAAATCCAGCTTGCCAGGCTACACCCAGGAGTTCTTCAGACTCGACTCACCGGCTAACGGCTTGTCTAGGTCCCCCTCACAGAAATATGTAAGTAAATTGTTTCGTTTCGCTTTTGCGCTTTCTCTGCCCGCCGCTAGAGTAGTCTGCAATATATTCGATCGTTTTGTAAAGCCTGGCTTCTGGATCCCGGGCATACTTGGACGAACACTATTTCCAAACTTCCTTAGTAAACTCAGTGACACCAAGTCCTCTCCATATAATGACTCTTCCAACACCATACGGATGTTTATAGAGAGCTCAACTTATCGGGCTGACGTTTACGTAGACATATCAAACAACTTCTGGCATGTCCTATAGGTCTGCGTTGCTTAAGCATAGACTCAATCTATTGTTCCGCTCAGTCAGGTAGAGGATTACCTAGTTCAGTAATTGAGTCGACGGTCAAGGTATCAAAGTCCATCTGCTCATCATCGGTCATTGCACTATTGGCAACGGTATACTCTCGCAACAGACCTGTCTTCTAGCTTCCTGTATGCATTAGTGCTCCCCAGGTTTCCCTTCAGAGTGTACTGCTTGCCTTCAAAGCTCAAGGTTTGACTTCGAAGGCTATCATAAGTAAGGTTGCTTGATGCACCTTTATGTGGGATAAGGTGTGGGTAACTAACGGGACTGCATAGGGGCCGAAGGCTCGTGGAGCTTTCCGTTTTTCGCCGCGGAGTTTCCGATGGAACCGGTTCGAAACTGATGTGATTCTCAACGTTCTGTATGACTGATTTTGAATCAGACATGAGCATCTCAGGGGCTTGGGCTTAATCTGGTTGATCACCTACGCATTTCGATGAAAGGTGCGTGCTGTGTGGCTCTGCGTACAAGGTTTAACGGGCATCTAAGAAGAGTAAGAATGTCAACCTGTGACTTTGGGGGCATGATCTATTGCTTACCTAGGTAGGGAAGTACTCTTCATTTTAGGAATTCCCACGAACTTTTGTTTCGAACTGTGCCCTAGAGCCTGTTTAGCCAATGAGACTTGCGTGAAGCTTCTCGTATTACAGTATCAAGGAGTCGAACGGGGAGGATCGGTCAGGAAGTCAAAGGGCCCCACCAACATCGAGAATGATAGCCTTGGTCTGCGCATCCAAAGTCTTCGCAGTCCGTCCGTGGACCCATTGTTTAATGAACATAGCAGACTGTCACTTTGGAGACTCGGATTAGGAGGATGAGTCAGAAACCTTTCTGGCTTGCCTCTGCTTTGGCAAATCAAAACTCCAACGGCCTTTAGATGCTAGACATGGCTTCAACATAACCTAAGTGTTTGCCTCATACGTGCCCCACATACACAAGGTACCCATGGTGTCCTGCGAAGTGCATCTTACTTATAGACTGCAGCCCTGTCAAGTGAGACTGTGAATTGCAAGTGTCTGAGGATGATTTGCCCATGGACTTGGCGGTGTCCTTCATCTGTCCTCAGGTATTACTGCCCGGTCATTTGTGGCCTGCAATGTCACCTAGGGCCCGGTTCCGATCGGCCGAGGGCCCATATAAAAGCCCCGGAGTTGCCGCTAGTCTCTCGGCACTTTCTTCGAGACGAAACGGCCGGGGATGTCCCGCCCAACGCCCCACATCATTTCCGAAAAGGTGCAGAGGCAGTCCTCCCTCCGCACCCCAATCGGTATTACACCGCCTCGGCGCCATTGGAACACGGGGAATTGCTCAGGCGACCAGCCGATCGCCTCCGGAATGGGTACGAAGTGTTCGTACCGTTCGTTAACTCTACAATTCCGTAACAATCCAATTGAAGTGCCGTTGGGTTCTCATTGGTTGTGGTCTGTGTTGCTTTCTTACCTGGAAAGCCGACACTCTATCGATGACATGATCAAGTCATTTCCAAAATAAGTATAAAGACTCGTGGGGGGGATCGGTTGTCTGTTCATTCCTCCGTCTCATCTTCTCATCCAACCGTATCAAGAGAACGACGGCCCATCATGAAGCTTTCCCTTGTGTCGATCTTGGCCAGTTTGGCCAACATTCAAGCTCTGGCCGTTCCAGAGCCTAGGCAGGCTTCGACCTTCCCTTCGGCAAGTGGAACAAAGTTCACCATTGACGGCCAGACAAAGTACTTTGCCGGTAGTAACTCATACTGGATCTCATTTCTGACGAATAATGACGACGTCGATCTCGTCATGGACAACGTCGCGAAAGCCGGACTCAAAATTTTTCGCGTATGGGGCTTCAATGATGTGAACGCTGTCCCCAGCGGCAACCAAGTCTGGTACCAATATCTCTCGGCCTCAGGATCACAAGTCAACACTGGCGCCAACGGGCTTCAGCGACTCGATGCAGTCGTCGCTGCCGCGGAGAAGAAGGGAGTGAAGCTAATTATCCCCTTCGTGAACCACTGGGATGACTACGGCGGCATGAACGCCTACGTGAAAGCCTTTGGTGGCTCCAAGGAAACTTGGTACAACAACAGCCAAGCCCAAACCCAATATCAGGCGTATGTTCGGGCCGTGGTGAGCCGTTACAAGAACTCTCCCGCCATCTTTGCCTGGGAGCTGGCCAACGAACCCCGCTGCAAGGGCTGCAGCACTGATGTGATCTTCCAATGGGCGCAAGCGACTTCCCAGTTTGTGAAGTCGTTAGATGCGAGCCACATGGTAACCCTCGGCGATGAGGGTATGGGACTTTCCGGCGACGGAAGCTACCCCTACCAGTACGGCGAGGGCACAGATTTCGTCAAGAACCTCGGCATCAAGACGCTCGACTTTGGCACTTTCCACATGTACCCCGATCACTGTAAGCCACCTGCAAAAGATAAACTTTCTCATCCGAGCTCCGTTCCCTGGACGGTGATTGGAGAAAATCAATTAACACGAGAGACAGGGAGCGTCGATCTGAAAGCCTGGTCTCCGGGCTGGATCAAATCACACGGCGATGCTTGCGCCAAGGCCGGCAAGCCCTGCCTCTTTGAAGAATGTGAGTTTGTTTCCTCGTGTCTGATGTTTAAACTCAATAAGCTCACACCCAAGCAGACGGCTCTCTAAGTGATCAATGCGGTATCGAGGGGCCCTGGCAGCAGGTCTCGCGGACCGCGCCAGGACTTGGCGCCGATCTGTTCTGGCAGTGGGGAGATCAGTTGAGTTCAGGGCAGACTCACGACGATGGGTTCACGATTTACAAGGGCAGCAGCGATTATCAGTGTCTGGTCATCGACCATGTGAAGGCAATAAATGGGTGAAGATGTGACGCGCCCTAGCTAGCTTGAGTTTGTGGTTGCATGGAAGGCCAGACCATTGCAGCCAATCACACATGACCTGGTCCTCATGAATCTTGCATCATTCCCAATATCAGCGATGATCGCTCAAATCATCCGAAATATTAAAAATGAGGCTCAAATACCTCATTCAACGAGGACCGGGAGCCATTCTTCCGACGACGTTATGTCCTAAAGAGGGATAGCCGTGGTTACAGCTTGGCACCAACACCCATGTGTACACCATAGAAGGGTTTCAATGCTGGAAGCATGAAGAATTCTCATTTTGGTCCTGCCGCTGACGAAAGAGTAGATAATTGTAATAATTTTGTTGTGCCAACTCATTGCGGGAGGATGTGAATCCTGTAGGATTCAAGCGAAGACGCAGTCAACTATATTGGAATCAAGAATAAGTAGAGAGCTGCGTGCGCTCCAAACTCATCATCTACACCAGGGGAAAGGTGACCTTGATACCATTTCTCGACCGATGGGTAGCCTCATTGTCTGCCTTTTACCGACTCATGATGTTTCTCAGCCGATCCGTCTTGATGCTAGTCTGTTTCTTCTCAATATGGACGGCCTCAGCTGAAGACAAGGTTAAGATCATGCCTCTTGGAGACTCGATCACCGGCAGCCCCGTAAGTAAGAACTTTACCCTTTGATTCTATATGACCCTAGCCCCACTTGCGTGTTTCCTTGAAAAGTAAAATGTTGACGAATTCTCTTGAGCTAGGGTTGCTGGCGGGCTCAATTGTGGAAGAAGCTTCGGGACAATAACATCAAGAATACCGATTTTGTCGGAACTTTGCCACCGCAGGGATGTGGTTTCGACTACGATGGAGATAATGAGGGCCACGGTGGCCTTCTTGCGACAGATCCTGCTCAAGACGGTAGACTCGAGCGTTGGCTGATGGACACGAAGCCTGATATTGTCATGCTGCACCTCGGCTCAAACGACGTATGGAGTACGAAGAAGCCAGAAGAGATTCTTGGCGCGCTTGACAAGTTGGTTGACCAAATGCGGGCTAGCAAAGAAAGTATGAAGATACTGGTACGTGTGCCCTCATGAGCCTCTTCAGGCAGCATAAGTAAAGTACGTGACTCTAATGTCTCAAAATCTTGTATAGGTTGCTCAAGTAATACCTCTGGACCCAGCCGGCTGTCCGACTTGCATGCGAGGCGTTGAGGATTTCAACAAAGCCATACCAGAGTGGACGACCAAGAAATCAAATGAGAAGAGTCGTATTACTGTAGTTGACTGCCACAAGGACTTTGATGTCAAGGGGATGACGCGAGATGGTGTACATCCTAATGGCAAGGGTGACGAAAAGCTGGCCAACAGTTGGTATGAGCCCCTGTTAAAGGTCATCAAAGAGGGCTAAGATACTTACCAGTTCTGAGCTTGCCATCCTGCTCAGGAGTCTTTCAAGATGAGAAAAGGATATCAGGTAGTTCGAGTCAACTCCCACTGAGATACTCGGCAAGAATGCATCTGACGTAGATCAATTCATGTGTCACAACTTTGGAGACTAACTTCAATAGTTGATGCCTGCCTCTTATCTTCTGTGAGATCATTTCTGAGGTGAGCAAGCATGATTGACTAGAAATTACTTGTAGCATCCATCCCTTCTGGATATTCGAGAAATCATTTCAACTTCAGGCGAGACTGGGATAGCGTCAACCACTCATCGGCTTGTTCCTTTGTCTCCGTTCTGAATGTTCCAAGTCGCTGGTAAATCGGAAGTGAGTCAGCACTCTCCCTTTGTTCTGGACTGCTTGTCACCAAAAGCCCAGTTGGGAATGATGGTGATGAAAAGTTCCTCTCGCCCGACTTCTCATCAAGACTAAGGGTGATGCAGCGTAGGGCGAGGACTACCGCGGATATGTCGGAGATGTCAGCAGCTTGGCTAAAGTCAGCTAGCCTGAAGGTGTCGTCTTTCCTCAACCCCGAGGGTGCGACAGCATCCAAAGATCCATGTGCCATGACCTTCCCTCTTTCATGGAAAAGAACCTCCGCAAGATGCGTGTCCTGGTCACTTTCGGCCTGTTGCACCGGCCTCAGAATCACCGGGACGCAGACAGCGCAGAGGACTATCCAGGCGCTCTGAAGTCTTCCAAAAGAATCTGAGCCCGTGGCTTCAATCTGGATATCCTCGATGCTGCACTGATGAATGAGAGGCAGTGAGAACCTCAGGTCCCATCCGATTTCTGCGTCACTGGATGCCCAGCTCCAGGATGGCGCTCTCCACCCTTTCGTTGTCGACGGCTGCATAACGGTCTGCCACAGCATTCCTCGTACCAAATCACTCTTCCAAAGTCCGGCCACGTATTCGTCTCCGAGCGCCAAGCTGAAAGTGCGAGCTAAACCAGACAAAGCCGAAAACTTGTCGTTAGAAACGGTAAGCTTGCGTCTAGTGTACTCGATAATCAGATCTTTCCATCTCTCATAAAGACTTTCCCTTCGCTCTTTTGCCTCAGGAGAGGTGATGTCTTTCGATGCTGGAGAGAGCAGATGATGCCAGCTTTGAACGTTGTCGTAAACTTTGGTGCTATGTTCGAGACGTCTTTCCGACTGACAACGAAAGTAAGATGTATGATTGTCAAAATATAACACTCGAGTAGACATTAGATCTTCTTGATAAGTCCAAGCCCGCGTGGCCCATGCACGATTGTGCATATGGCTTGGATAATCGGCATCCCAGGTCCGGTGTTCATTGAGGCCTGATAGGACGTACGAACCCGACGCCCTAGCCTCTTTCTTGTTAGACTGGAATGGGACCAGAACCGACGGTCCAGCTCTACTCCTCTGGAGAAATCCCGAGTGAGAAGTATCACCTGCGGCTGCTACTACGGTGAGCGTAGCATGCCGATATACGGCAAACATGAGTGCGGCCTCTTTGGCCCAGTCTTCAGCATCGTCTTGGATGATGCAAAGTGCATCGATCCAAATGTACTCGATTCCCATATGACGCGCAAACACTACTGAATCTCTGATTGTATCTGGCATTTCTCGGAGTGGGATCTTTGTCTGGCGGTCTGCAAGAGTGGCAGCAGTCGTGATGAGCTGTGGCTTGCTGACGGATGGCAGGCCCCAGCAATAGCTCAAAGCAATGTACGATGTTGTCGAAGGAAGACCATCACTAACGACTAAGCGTGCCATATCATTGTCTATCTTTCCCACCTTGATAAGTCGACTGGGAAGACTCCTTGGCTCTGAAGAGTAATAACATCCTGAGTGATTGCTTGCACAGCCCCAAACCCAGTCTTTGAGTCGTTTGATACAGGACGAATCAAGAGCATCCAAAATAGGGAGTTTGAGCTCAATACCGAGATTATTTGCAATATCTTTTGTCAAATTTTATAATGTTAGCAAAATGTCTTTCCGCGTTGCAAGAGGTCGCTGAGGCGGCAAAGAGACACCTACCATCATCTCCTTGATACGCGATAGCCCGCACTTTCCACCCATCAGACCATGGCCCATCACGCCATGCATCAGACTCGAACCTGAAGTCGAGCCAGTAGATCCCGTCTTGTTCAATGCCATAATCGTCGGGCATCCAATCGCGCGTGACGTCGATGATGTCGGATCGCATCACATAAGCAGGCGAGGAGAGCTTCGCTACAACATCTTTCGCTGCAGAAGTTTGCAACGCGATGCGAAGGGGCTTTGGGAGCTTCTCTTCGAGCACGAAACAGAGATACTCGCAGAAGGTACAACCCGCTGCAGCCGACTGGCGGAATATTGGTAGATCTGGATACTTGTCTTTCCGCTCCCAGTGACCAGCATCGCGGGCATCCCCCTGGGCATCATCAAAGACGATACCCGAGCACTTGATACACAGTGTCGTGGATTTTGACGACAGTAATATACCGCTTGATGCCATGCTAGTATCGGAAACTGAACACTGAGCAGAGTTTCGGGAAACCAAGATGACTTCCGGTGGTGGATGAGGGGCTTGAAAACTGCCTTCATCCCAATAGTTGATTGGATGACATCGATCCAATTGCACGCGGAGAAATGAGCGTGACGACACCCACCGAATGACCTACTTCCTCCATTCCAACCGTCAACTAGAATGCTTCCAAACAAGTGACGATCAACTCGTTCGACGACGGAGCAAAAATGCCAAAAGAACATCGAGGGCTCAATCGGGATTCGAACCCGAGACCTCGCCCATTCACGCTTTGCGCAAGGGTTGGTAAAGAACCCGAAGGGCGAATCATACCACTAGACCATTGAGCCGAAGCGACCTCCGTTAATCGGAGGCCAATGATTGGAAAATCCGGAAATTTGGTAGCCTATGATGTCTAGTCAAACGCCCTGCTTTCTCAATTTCGCAGCACCCTTAGACTGTGATATGATTGTGAAGACCGAGTTAAAGTTGGTTGTTCCCAAACTTGATTAATGCTTAGAAAGACTTATGCAACCCGGAGCGCGGGGTCGAACTCAGTCTCGTGCGGAGCTCCGTCGACAAGCTGGTTGCACTTTGCATGCTTCGAAAGGGGTTGTTAGGACTCAGCACTGGCCAAGAACGAACCTGGCAGGGCAAAGTCACACCCAAGCTATCCATTACGAGACATATTCCTCCGATCGCCTGCAACTTGAAGCCGAAAAGTTGGAAACCCGAAATGATTTCGCTACCAAACTGGCAAACAATGGGCCTTCAGACCGACCACGCGCATCTTTGCTCCATGTCCTTCCCCAGCGTTTCCACATAGACGAGATAGACTATGGACCAAGCTTGTTACGTACCAAATTACTGGATGGGCGTATGGGTCTGTCGTAAAAAGACCAAAGTTTAACAGTCTGGTATTGTTATGTACGAAACACTTCATTGACGCTTACTTATGCGCGTTGTTGTGTTGAGGTCAGTCAAACTCCCAGTCTGAAGAGACTGTTTTGCACGAAGCATCTGAACATTATAGAAAGGTGGGCTGGTACGGATATGCTTCGATCTTGTCCCTTGAACGCTGTCCTTGATCCGTTTTGCCCGATGAATTCAGCGATATGTTTGGCAGGCCGCAGCACAACTCCTCAAGCCATGACCACGTGCTCAACTGCCAACGCTCGGACAATGCGATTGATGATTTCTTCCCATTGCAAACGTAATCTCGTCATGGTTATTCGCTGTTAGTATCGTCTGCGCTTCCATGGAACGATCCGGGGCCCGAGGAGGAGAAGCACCCTGAATCCTTGCTAGCACAACGGTCCAGGCGCTTGCCGTCCAAAGTTGGCAGTGGCAAATTGGCAACTCGCGCCTAATAAAGTCCAAATTGTTCGACTTCCCTCTTCCAGTCTTTTGGCCCGGTGGGTATCTCTTCTCGACAGTTGACGCTGACGGGCGCGAGGATCAGGACGAGGTCTGTTCCGGAGCACGGAATGCGGAACAACAACCTCCCACATGCCATGAAGCAAGGGGATCCCGAATGCGAAGCAAAGCGTATCCCTGTATCACTCTCAGTTGACGGGCCATGTCTCCTTCTCTTTCTGCATCTGCGCAGGTTTCGCTTACGATACGCGGTCTCTTGGAGTTTTCCTGCCGAATATAAACCCATAAACAACAGAATCTCGTCCCGGAGAGTTATAGCCCTATGAACATTCATATCCCGGGGCTGAACCAGCTTGACTCAACATAAGTGAGACGCTATTCATATATCTTTCCTGCTGGCAGCCACGCTGATCGCGCGGCATTTGCGAGGGCAGCTGGCGCAGATCCTGTCAGGGTTGTCCAGGTCTGCGGTTCGGGGAGAGCGATTCGCTGGAGGCGCCGGATCGCGGGAATGAGCTATCGCTGGGAGACCACTACGACGGCTCCCACGCCTTGCCAGGCACGTCAGGCACGCTTCATGGCTTGTTCCAACGCTTGAAAATACGACCCTAATCTTACCATGGAGCCCGTGCGCCAAGAAATCCAGAGTGCAGGTGTCGTGGAGGCTTCGAACATGGTTCATGACTAGTGTACCCCTTCAACAGCGAGAATCGGCCACGCAACTGCGTTTCAGTCGTCTGAACATCTTTGGTCGAGATAAGATCTTTATTTGTGGTAAGTGGTCATGGCTTTTGGTTGTTTAGACTTGCTGTTGCAAACACGCCCATGAAGCAGTAAAGTGCAAGTTTGGTCATAGTCACGACATCAAAATAGTGTCTACGGAGTGCATTCCGAAGCACCTCGCAACCGCCCCAACGCGGGCTGAAGCGGGGATAGAGTTGGCAAAAGTGGACTATCATGAGCCCCTTCTAATAACCAGGGACTTCACGGGTGGGTTTCGTCTTCCGCTTCCGGCTAGGTAACCTAGCACGCCTCCAGGGTGTCAACTATCTCGATATTGCAACGTGCCCGGGGTGATGGCAGGTGGGCAGACAAGAGCTTTCAAAAGGGGGCTCGTCCTGCCCGTCAAAACCACACTGCGGTCCATCGTTGAACCCCCTTCCTGAACCGAGCTCACCCATCTGCCCGTCATGCTTCCATTCAGCAGCATCCTATATCGCGAACTTTCGTGATGTTGACCTCGTCGCCCTGGGCGGCGCTCCTGCTGGCCAGCGTCCTTTCTCAATCCGCGCTCGCGGACGATTCTTGTTCGAGTTCTATTGACCCATTAGTATTACCCATAAAAGTAAGGAAAAACTTCACGAGTCATTCAGTCACTTTTCATCGCGTATTGTTTTCTTTGGGTGTGTGTCTATGTGTGTTTTGAGTGTCTGTGTGTGTTGCCTTGTGCGACTGTAGCTCTTGTTGACTTACACACTCTCTCTCCAGAACGTCACCTTTCCCAATGGCATCGGTGCCAATCGTGGCCTCAAGCTCACGCTTGGTGGCCAGGTTCAAGGCATGCGCATGTCCACCATCTTAAACAACACGCGAGTGAGGAATAGTCTGGACTGCCCAGACAACTCAACATACGCTTTCGTCGGCTGCCAAGGAGCCTCGGGCAGTGTATACGACACCACAGGAGGCACATTCAGCCAAGTTGTCAACATCAAAGACTGGAACGTAACGTATGGTATCTGCCTGACCTCGCCATTTTCCATCACACAACTGACTCCCTCGACAGAACAATCGACGCTCAGCCTGAAGATGGCGAAACGACGGTACTCCATGGATACGATGTCGCAAACTTCACTGATGCTCCAGCCGTGGCCTATGGATACCCTTTCGAGGTATGGGCCGACTATGATTCCATGAACAAGAGCGCCATTGCATTTGGTCCAAACTCGTCCACCCTCGACAGCTTCGTAAGGAACGACCTGGCGCCCACGACAAGTTTCAGCCTAGACTATGGCTCAACATCAGAGCTCCATCCTCGCGACGGCCAGCTAGTTATCGGCGGCTACAACGAAGCGCGGTTCAACGAGTCCCAGGTCGCCGAGTTCGGCATGTGGGGAGCCAACGCCCCAGTCCCGTGCCCTCTCCAGGTTCTCGTGGCCGACATCGTTCTCACCAACACGGACGGCGATCACTCCCTCTTCGACCCCGGCGTCAAGGTGGCCGCTTGTATAGACACTGTGCAGAACAGCTTCACCCTCACCCAGAACATGTTTGCCAAATTCCAGAGCCTCGGCAACCACACCGCGACTGACGGACAGACATTTGGTGAATCCGACTTTCCCAAGGACCGCGAGTCTCTCCTCGGCTCCTTGACGATCAAGCTGTCCAACGGCTACACGAGCGTCATCCCTCACTACGAGCTTGTCAGTCACGTTCGCGGCACCGACGCCCGCGGCAGATATGCTGTGCTGAATAACAGCCGAATCAGCACCACAGTCGCCTCGGGCATGAGCGACCTTGGTGACAATATTCCCATCCTCGGCGGCGTATTCCTGTCGCAGAACTATCTTCACGTCGACTATGACGCGGGCAAATTCTGGCTGAGTCCGCAAGTCGCCAACGGCACTTTACCCGACCACATCACATCATCCTGCAACGGGACCTCGTCCTCAAGCGGCGGTACCCAAACTGCTCTGGGCATTAAAGTAGGCGTGCCCGTAGCCATCGGCGCCGCTCTTATTGCCTTCCTTGGTCTCTGGTTTTGGCTGAAGAACCGTAAGCCCAAGCAGAACGGACAGTTTGCAGGCGCGTCTCGGTCCATCCCACGATCCGAGAAGCGCGACGCGCCAGACTCCAAGTCTTCTACCACCAACTTCGCCGGCTATCACAACGTCAACCACGCAAATCCGGATGGCCATATGGAACTCGAAGGCGACCCTGGCCACGCTGTAGGACTCCAACAACAACGGGCCGAACTAGCGGAGCCCGCGCCGGCATATAAGTCGGAGTGGCCCCGGCAGAACTCTATTCAAGGCGAGAGCGCCGCGTATTACCAGCAATTCGAAGAGCCAGGCGAGAGTTATGAGCTCGCGGACACGTCGCCGCACTCTCAACATACACAACCCCAAGAACTTCCGCAACCTCCACACCCCCAGATCGTTATCCCACCGACGAATCCACCTCCTATTAAACGAAAGGATACCGGCTTAAGCGATTGGGTGCCGAGTCCGGCGACGTTAAAGAAGCAATTTTCGGGATTCGGCGAAGCCGTGTCACCGACGAGTACACGTGCGAACAGCACGAGGGTTAATCCACATATTTCTCCTGTTTAGCGTATTTGAGGATAGATGAGTAATGATAATTCACTTCTTGAGACATGAAACACATAGCCCTGGTTACCTATGCAAAGATACGAAGTAAGTTTCTGATTGGATTTGGTGGGTGGATCGTCCTCAGTCTGTGACATTGGTGGGCACTGATGATCGATTACCCTTCCTGCTTGATGGGTCTGAATATACATGTAATAAAGGAGTCTAACACGGCCCACGACACGAGGGCTGCGATGATCCACGAGGTCCTGGAAGCCTTGAGTCAACAACATTTAATCGGATTCCTTTCATCTCTATAGGGTATCTCTGCCACGTCAATAATAATAGCTGTACCTGCTTGCGTATTTTTGCTGCCCAGTTCCGTACCAAACTCCCAAGAATGTGATCGTTCCAACAGTGAAGCTGACAAAGGCGATGATAATTCTGCTCTTCTTTGACCGACCTACCATCAGCGCAAGCAGGAGAGCAATAATCGGAACTAAGAGCCACCATCCAAACGAATTGTTGATGACGATGAGTGGCGCCGATGTCACCATCATCAACAAGACAGGGCCTATCCACCACCTTTCCTCCTTGAGCCACACCCAATTCGCCCGCCAGAAGCCATATGTCGCGGGTGAATCTGCCAACTCCAACTGAATCCTTCCGCCCTTTAGACTCTTCTTGATTTCTTCCGAGAGTTGGTCGTGAGAGAGCTCGTCAGGCTCGGTCTCCTGTAGCTCCTTGTGAATGGCATGCGACAGCTCCAACACGCCCTTGTAACCCCTCGGTACATCATACCTCCGCCGCATCCTCATCGTCAGGCGGGCCTTGAGCCACATGTAGGCAAGACTCAATGTCCACAGCACGAGCAAGATCACAAGGATATAGAGTTGCAGATAAGAGAAGCCCCATTGATAAGTCTCTCGCCCGGCATCAGCGCCCATTCCGTGATCACTCATTGGTTGACAACTCCCGTACGCCTTCATGTACTCCTTGGAGTAGGTCTCGTTTCCGGCGGTGTAAGTTAAGTTTTTTCCGTTTTCGAAGGGCTTCAAGCTCGTGCGAGGATCGGTCCAGTTCCAGCCGTATAGCAAGTTTCTGTAAGAAGGAAGCCCAGAAGCCGATATGTTGAGGGCCGGAGCCGGCATCGTCTTGTTCATCCAAGTGGTGTTCTTGTTCTCTAACCCATAGAACCCATACTCTTGGACATCTGCCAAAAGGAACACATTAGTACTGCAACATCTTGTGAATCGTTGACACTTCACACTGTTACTGTGAATAGCTTGACTTACAGTTTGAAACATTTCGATGTAATGAACATCTTTGAGTTTCCGGCGTAGACTCATCAAAGTTCCACCAACTCGGAGAGTATTCAGAGTAGCTCTGGTCATCTTCTACGCAACCGAGATAATGTGCCCATAAGCTTGTACTGCTGTAACTGCCGGCCTCATTGTCTTCTCCAAAGTCAGCGCAGGCCTAGGATTCATGTGAAGATCACCGTCACCAAAGGTTTAACTTACAGCCAGGGAAGGTGAGCGTAGTGTTGCCCTCCATGCCGATCCTCCAGCCGTCGTGGATTACATATCCAACAACCTCGAACCCACCAAAGGGTATCAACATGCCGTCGGAGCCCTGTACATATGCGTCGTTGTTCGCCACATATCCTGTCATTGCACTACCCAGGGTAGGGAAGCATAAGATGAAGATAGTGACCAAGACCATTATGATCATCATGACCTTCGATCTTAACCCTCGTGAACGAGCAAAATCTCGTACCATGTGCCACGTTGACCAGAAGTTCGGCTGGTCCTGGAGGAAGATTGTGCGAAAGAAGTCATACGTCACAGGCTTGGTTTGAATCGAGGTGGTAGTGTAGTCGACAAATACTCGCCATGTGATCCAAGTCAGCAGAGCCTGACCTCCTCGACCGAAGATCTGCGAGCGACCGGTCAGTTGATGAATAACAGAATGATGCATTTCGTGCTATCCAGTGAGTAGCTTACCACATCCCAGGCAACGTCAATGACTTTGGCATCCGCAAATGAAAATTTGCCCCATGCCAAGGTAATCTGGAAGAATCCAGAGGAAGACCAGAGGTTGTACTGGTTCTTCTCCACATCGAAACTGCCGTCCGGTTTGCAGGCCGAGTCTCCGTACAACTCTGTGTTGCTGATAAATGCAAGTACGGTGCAAAGTCCTCCGATCCACGATAAAGCCAATAGCCAAGCGAGAACTGCGTAGCAGTGGACAGCTCGAATGTCTCTAAACGCGACGACGAATGCCTCCCTCCACTGCCTGCGGTTCCAGAGATGCTGTCGGAAATCTACCCACACGCTAAGCGATTCTTTCTTCCATTGTCTCCTATCCCACAGCCGGTACCGGAACTTTGTCAACTTGAACTGCGTGGTCTCCTTGAGCGGCTTTCTGTCCTCAACGAGTAGTGGGGCAAATGGTCTCGTTGATTCTGATGGAGCGTCTTCTCCGTGCTCTTTGGGAGAGGCCATGGTCGGTGATGGTGCACTCCGGTCTGGAGCAACATTCGTGGTCGTGGCTTGGTGCAATGCTCAAGCCATCGCGTACTGATAGTCGAGAAACACCGAGTAGCTTGGCTCGACACTTGGAAATCAGCAATTACGGCGTGATGGGGTATTTATCAGAGATCTTACATTCGGTCAGCCTGCATCAAGTCGTGCAGCCCAACGGAGCGTGACAGGGGTAGAAGTCGGCCGCCAGCCCGCAGCGCTGTCAGCAGGATTGATGTCATTTCGGCTGCTTGAACAAACGTCGCAGGAGCTGACTGCAGTAGAGACATTTATGGGCAAGCGCGGAGTCTCAATGCCAGGGAACATGCGACTAGGCGTGCTGCGCCAACGACGTTTTCTTTTGTTGAGTGACACAGTGATTGGATCCTTGAGCACCCAGGGCCCAGGCACGCCAGGAAAGTTGAAGCAGGCTCTGGAGAAGTTGTCGATCTTGGAGATCCGGTTACTCAGCCACTGCGCTGTTGTCCTAGATAACCTACTCCACCTTGCCCCAAAGTCCGAGATTTGCTGCCAGCTTGGCAGTCCCAGTATCATCCAGCTGATGGCGTGTGTTTTGGGACTTTGGTATGCGGCACAGCGCCACCACCCACCAGTCTCGGGACGGGAGTGGACGTCGGACTATGACGGCACTGTCTTTATGTGTGAGACAGTTTGATACCCTCTATATTCCCCGAAAGAATTAATTCATGGTCTTGTAATGGGTTCAATGAATCGAACGTGATAGCTGTAGATCCAAACGTATCCGTACACAGGACAGGAGGGTACCAGAGGAAGGTCAGGCATAAGCGGACGTTGAATCGCTGGAGTCAGTTGCTTCCCGGGCCTGGTCGGAAGAGAAGCTTATTTCCGGACGCACTGGGATAACTAACCAACAGTTGGGGTATGCTTTCATGGCGCGATTCCTAAGCGATCGCCATGCTAGCACCAGTAGGATTCTTACCCTGGTCACATTTACGCAGGCAGCAACTCGATTTCAGAAGAGAAAGCTGCAAATAGCATCAGCATTGCGGAGATCGAATGGTAAAGACACAGGAATCAAGAGAAATTCAACTATCAAAGCTACAATTTTTGTTCCCCTTGAATTCCCTTGGAAATGACCTTTCCCAGAGCCTGTGCCTCACCAGTCAACCTTCAGCGCACGGCCAGGGTCCCATTAACAGATTTTGACGACTGAAAAAGAAAAAGCATGTGTCCAGGGAGGTTCGCATAAGCAGGTGGCTGTCTGAACATTCTGAGAAGCCTAGCTATCTGTCTTTGAAAGATTCATATTTCCCGACTTGTCTCTTCACCGGCTTAGGCAACATGGCCAAGTCTATCGTCAGGGTCCAAGCCTTTAGAAAGAGTGCCCAGGAGCGTCAAAATAACATCGCCGAGTTCTTGGACGAATGGCGCCTGAATTATTCAACCGACATGCACTTGCCGCGTATAGCTCTCCTATCTTGCTACTGCTATAGGAATCGAGAACAAGGCCTGATGTGCCAAAAACCGGTGACTTGGCAAGGTAGGTTTCGTCCCAATGCTGAAGAATTCGACACCAGACGTTCGGTAACCCCACGTGGCTTCTTGCCTTAATCCATTGAAGCTTAGACTCCTTGTCCCACTCGATTACCAACCCGATAGATTGGGTTGACACTCGGCAGCACAAGCTAGGACAGTTCAATGTCCCCGGTTGCTGTACCGCACTGATCCCCCTTAGACTTTGACTGACAGGCTTAACAGAGGGAAACACCATCTTTGCAACTATTTGCTGCGGCCACCGTTCGTGGCGTGCGCAAACTCGTTACTCAGGGGTTCTGCGGCTGAGAGGCTTGGCCGCCACATATCGTTGAGCGACCAACCAAACATCGATCTAGTCGGCCGGCGCCTTTGACATCCCACGCGGTGTTTAGCCACACTCCCGACTATTTGGTCAGGATCCCGCCGCTAATGAAGTAAGAAGACTAGTGCTCGCGGCAACGACGAAGACTATGCCCTTTTCTGAATCTCTGAAGAACTTCCCCCTGACTACCACAGGAGATGGTGTTTCTTGTCGTTCGATTGAGTCTCGCCTGGAAGCCTCGCTAAGTCCTGAACGAGATGGTCCCCCGATGCGGCCGTCAACATCGACTTGTCGCGGTGTTAGACGATGGCCTCTCGCCAAGGATAGTCTGACTCGACATTTCGGCAGGTTGAAAGATGGGATTTCTTCGTGCAGGGTTGAATTACCATATAATCCAGGGATCATCGTCCTCAGTTTCCGAATTTGACTCCTGTGCTTCAACCAAGTCCTCTCTGCCATTCACTCTTTCATGGCCTGAGTTATTTCTGTGTCTGTCTCTGTCACTCTTTCGATTATCATCGGCCATACTGGGCTGACCACACTCGTTCCTCTTCCAGGATTAGTTCCATAATTACAGTCTTTTCATCACAATCATCACTCACATTCGTTTCATCATGAAGTGGTCTTTCGCCCTTCCTCTACTTGGGCTTTCCGGCGCCGTTGCACACCCAGGCCAGCGCAAGTACCTCAGCCAGAGGAACGAGACTCTTGTCTCAGGTCAATCTGGCAACTCTTTCACCCAGACCGCGTCTGTGTCTGTACCCCTCAGCACCGGCGTGACCTTCCACTCTCCGGCCAACTCATCCCGCACACTCACGTTGGCCACCAGCACAGCGTCTGCCTCTGGCGATGTTGTTGCCGCAACGGCTGCTTCCTCAAGCACGGAGTACGAATTCCCAACCTCCAAACTTGGGCCCATTGCGACCCTGAAGCCTGCTATCCCAGACAACCACGATCTCAACGATGTCAACAACCTCACTCCTCAGCCTAGCGGCGCTGGTGCTCCGATCCACTACGCGCAAGATGCTGGCTCGAACGGAGGTGGCATCTATGCTATTGCTACCCCCAAGTGGACTGCTCCGTCCATCGTTCTCGACCACTCGGGGCTCGTCAGCAATGTCAAGCTCTTGGGTCAAGGCAGCCTTGTCATGACTTTTGGTGATCAAAATGCCTTTGACCACAGTGCGTCCAACTGGAAGGCCGACAACATTATCTTCGTCACTTACACGCCAGAGTGCGGTGACTACGACTTGGGCCAGAGATGCTACTTCCAGGCCAACTCCGTCACCTTTGACCGCAACTCCCTCTCTGCAACCGCGGCAGGACAGGCCAAGGATATTGGCGATGTCACCAAGGACATCAATGTCGTGTGGGGAAACTACGGTAGCCAGAACGTCAACTACGGCAACCCCGCAGCCACCGCTGAGCCCACCGCGACTGAGACCGACGTGACTCCGGCCTACTCCGTTGCTCCTACCATGACTACCGCCTGCGTAGCTCCCGTAGATTACAAGTACGGTCTCCCCACGGCGTGCTTGGGACCTTACTTCGACGATGATCTCGATACGGAGCTCGGCTACTTCGAGTCCGAAGTCTTCAGCTTCAACGAGACCTTGTACGAGGTCGACATTGACGGCGAGCTGTCCAACTCAACTCTTGCCAGACGTACTGTCTTCGAGTCCATCGGTAACGGCTTCAAGAAGATCGGCCAGGCGACCAAGAGCGGTATCGTCACCCTCGGCAATAAGATTGAGACAGGGGCCAAGGCCGCCAAGAACAACGTCGTCAAGACGGGCGAAAAGGTTGTCAAGATTGGCGCCAAGGTCGTCGAGGTCGGCAAGGCAGTCGTCGAAGTCGGCGGCAACATCCTCACGGGCAAGCCCAACCGCTTCGAAAAGGACTTTGACAAGCTCCTCCTTCCCTGGCCCGCCAAGGAGTGCAAGGAGGCCGAGAACGACAAGGATAAGAAGGAGAAGCTCAAGAACGCCTGCAAGCCCAAGAAGCAGGACAAGGACAAGGACAGCGAGGCCAAGGCTGTCAAGACTCCTTGGGGTGACGACGCGCTCCTGCTCAAGTCGTTTGGCACCATTCCCTCGCCCAAGGATCTGCGTCCCAAGGGATCCAAGAAGCAGACTACCGTAACCAAGGGTAACTTCATCAACCTCTACTGCGTCAAGTGTGGTCTCTCCGGATCTCTCAAGACCAAGGGCAACATCACCATTGAGAACATCAAGGGCATCACCGATGGCTACATCGAGAGCGACATTGACCTCTCCGTTGGTCTCGGTATCGGTATCTACGCTCAGTACTACCAAGAGCATAAGTTCCGCAACAACTTGTACGACATCCCCCTCTCGCCCTTCACCCTCGGCTTCGTTACCGTCGGTCCCATGCTCTCCATCGGCACCGAGATCAAGTTTAGTCTCAACATGACTGGCACCGCCGTCGCTCGCGCCGACGTCAGCATCGCCCGCGCAAAGTTTGTCTACGACTGGAAGAAGGGCAGCTCCAAGTCCATTGGCTTCAAGCCCCAGTTCAAGCCCAGCTTCGAGGCCGAGGGTCAGGTCGAGATCGCCGCCCAGTTCGGCATTCCCGTCGGCCTCGACTTTGGCGTCACCACCTTCAACGGATGCTCCAAGTGCAAGGGCGCCATCGGTATTGAGACCATGCCATCCATTAAGGCCGCCGCTGCCATCGCTGTTCAGGCCAAGTGGGATAACAGCACCGACGGTATTGAGGCTGGATTGAAGCCTCTTAACAACTGCACCGGCATTAGCACCACCCTCAGCGTTCGCAACGATGTCACAGCCAAGTTCAAGGGTTTCGGACTCGTCGACAAGGACTGGCCTATCCATGAGACCAAGGACTATATCATTGCCTCGTACTGCATTGGGTAAGTGACGATTTCGACTTTGATGACCTTGTCAAGTAATCATGCTAATATCTGAATAGCAACAAGACGGACGGCACAAGCAAGGGCAAGCTAGGCCTCCACGACGACAAGCGCTCCCTCCCCTCTACTCCCTACAACAAGTACGAGTACCGCCGCGACGCGAACAACGTCTCCGTCCCCACCAACAACACAACCAACTCGACCCAGCTCGCCGACCTGACCAAGTACGTCGTCGAGGAAATTGAGTACCTTGACTACAACGGCACCGACCTCGCCGCCATCCCCTACGATCTCGACGAGGCGGCCTTTGACGGATACTGGTTCAGTACCCTCGCCCTCGACAGCGACAACAGCTACGTGCTTGCCGCCTGCAGCGACGGCAACGTCTACCTCCAGAAGAACACCACCCAGAACGACCTGCCCTACTACGTTACCTGTAACACTCTCTGGGCCGGCTACGGAGAGGCCGCTCTCTCCACGCCCACCGGCGAGGTCCTTCACTACTACAACAACACCATGGACAAGGTTGGCGTCAGCCGTCTCCGCGCCGGAGACGAGGCCAACCTCCCCGGAACCTCGGTCTATGTGTAAGTTCTCGAGCCAGCAGTTTCAATCCACAAGCTTCAGCCTTGCTAACGCGGAAATCAGCGCACTCACCCCCTTCTATTACGACGACAACGACAGCACCGCCAGCATCCTCGCCGCCATCGACCCTGAAGACAATATCTTCTTCCCCGCCGTCTGCACTTACAAGGGCGACCAGACGGCCAAGATCTACCTCGTCGGTGAAGACGTCGACGCCGGCCTCGAGATGCTCAAGAGTCCGGATCTCACTTACACCGTCACCAACGGCGAGGTCGATGATTGCTACCTCCTTTTCCTTGGCATCACCAACCGCGAGCTTGGCGAGTGGGCTAACTACGGCGACGATGTTTCGGACGCCTATGAGAGCGACCCGCTCGACGTCGAGTTCGAGGACACGCTCTTTGACACTAATGGAGACTTATTGTTGCCTGCTGATGAGCTTTTCGCTTACCAGGACGATGTCAACTATGATGATGTTTTTGATGAGTCGTTGGATGACATTACTTGGGAGTAAGGAGTGGAAAATTCCGCTCCTCCGTCCCTAGCTCCGACATTGAATCAAAGGAGCGTTGTTCTTCATCAAGGAGAAATGGAGAGATCATAGAAACCCTACTTACAATTAATACATAATAGAGATCCCTAAGTTACAAGATTTTGATTGCTTCTAGTCGCGGCGTGTCACATGTATTAAATAGTCATTGAGGTCAAGAACCTCCAAACGAAGGACGTCCGCTATTCGGCCAGATTGGCTTCTTTCCATACATTCATTATCGAATTTATTTGCGAAGCAATGCGAGACGAGTCTTTACTCAGTAACCTTCAGATAGTCGTCTCGACAAAGGCTGTGCTTTACCATGCCTGACTCCCTTAGTTTCGACCGCGCTGGTTGAAAAGTCCACGCCTATCGTATCGAACAAGGCATTGTACAGGATATAGAAAGAGCGATACGTTATAGGTCTCATGTCAATAAAGGACATGGCCCGCACTCACACTTGGACATTATTGTCCTTTCAGAGGCATGGTTATGCAACAGGCTCATCCGTCGTTGACCAAGATTGAAGAACATCAAGACAAAGACATACAAGACAACCCGAGAACAAGCTTAGGTGTTAACAATGCCTTGTGTTGGCGTCCAGTTCAGATACTGACTATATCTTTGGCCAACATCGATCCCAACGTAACTAAGTCTATATTAAATCCCATCAGAATCGAATACTATTGAACTGTCAAAAGCAACATCATGGAGAGCTCGAGCGAAGATCAGTCCGTTGACGAGCGTCAATCCGTCAACGAGAATTACTCCCTAAATGAATACCAGTCCGTCGATGACAACTACTCCGTCGGTGAGAACCACTCCTCCAGCGAATATCATTCGGCTGAAGAGAACCACCCCGCCGAAGAAACACCACCCGGTGACCCTCAAGTTCAAAGTCACTCCTTCTTCAAAAGTCCAGCAGACATATTATTCGGACCATTCAAGAACATCGTCTCTCGGCCGCTCCCTCCACTTCCCACCGAGGCCGAACCAAATCCAACGACAAACGTCGAGGTCCTACTTGAAGAGCTGCTAGTGCAAGAGTCTATAGGAGATGTCGAGGACCTCTGCGAAGAGAGCCCTACCCTCCGCAAGGTCTTCAAAGACAACATGGTCCAGATCCTCCGGAAACACATCGCCCCAGAAGCCTGGGCCGACTCCATCTGCTGCGTCGACCGTCGCCTGAAACACCTGGGCAAGACGGCCAGAAGGACCTTTAACGAAGACTATGCCAACGGCACCGTGGCAGACTGGCCTCCACCCACGGAAGGTATCATGGGATCTATCGCTGGTAGTGCCAGACGGACCATCTCCTATTACCTCTCGGCATTCGCAGGCGCTGGCGTCCAAACGAATACGCAGCCATGTATGGAACGCGGACAATGGGACCTAACAGGCCTCTGCCAGCTCGTCAAGGTCATCGATAAGCTACTAGACAGGGTCTCGCAGGCTCACAAGATATACGCCACCTTTGAAGAATGGGAAGACAGCTGGCAAAACCGCCGCCCAAACGACCTCCCCGACGCGATATGGGGCGAGCATATCGAAATACTCAAACCCAAATTCCTCGCAAGGTGCAACGACAACGGCACCGAAGACCCCGACAACATGACCTACGCCTGGGACCGGCACACGGCCTATGAACCAGACAGAGTACACATATCGGAGGGCGTCCTGATGACCAAGACGAATCGCGCAAAGCTCCAGCGCGCCTTCTTCCGCCTCGAGTTCATCCGGCGAGCGTACTACCAACAACCCTTCTACCCACGCGGCGCAAAATGGCAGAGCCGCAACGCGACGATGATGGAAGGCGAGATCCGCGGCCCCGCGGGCGAAACCTACGAAACTCGCGTGGAGCGCGCCGAAGAAATGTTCAAGCACTGGGACAAGGACGGCTTTATCGAGGTCATTTGCGCCTTCAAGGCCACCCTGAGCGAATTCGTCAACCCCGTGCGCCATCTCCTGAAAACCTTTGCCGAGAGCATCCCGTAGTACATCGATATGGACCAAGTCCACCGCTTCCGAGAAGCCTACGAAACGCGGTACCAAGAGACCAATTGGAATGGTGAAGCCGTCAGCCTGCAGTGGGAATGGGACCCCTACGACCTTCGCCAAGCATTCCTCCCCGTGTGGGATGTCCCGCACTCGGACGACTTCTTCACCCTCCGCTCGCAGCTTCTCGACGACCGCGCCGATCTAGGCAAGCAGATGGACGAGTGCCTCCCCGCGCCCCTCGCGCACGCCGAATTCGACGCGTGGCATGCCACGATATACCGGTCCGAACGCATTCGCTTCGCGCCGCAGAGAAAGCGCGAAAGGGAGGATCCTTCGCTGAGGAAGCTGGCGACCGAGGCGTGTCCCTTGCGGGCCATGATGCGGTTCCTGACCGTCATGTGTAGCCTACCGCTGTCGTTCATGGGGGAGTTCCTTGCTATGCCGCCGTACAGGAAGGCCCGCTTCGTCAAGTCAGCTTACTGGGCCGTCGCCCGTGTCAAGGCCTCGAGGTGCCCGTCATTTCTATCAGGCGAGATGAGCGCCTGGTGCAGCTGGCCTACCGTCGTGTACAACAAGCGCGGCAAGCCAGACCTGGGGACGCGTCCCCGCCTGCTTCCCGAGATGTCCGTCCGCGCCGCCTCCATCGGCTGCGTAGCCAAGGTGTACGAGTTTGTCGAAAACGAAGTCGTCGGCTGGCGGCTGGTCCCGCACCCGGGATCAGAAGGGGGCTGGTGGAAGTGGAAGTGGGACGACGCATGCCTCCCGGCCAAAGTCTTGGACGACCTACACTGCGACCTGTCGTCCTTTACGACCAAGATCAACAAGGTCTTCCGTATGGACGACATCAAGTGGGCGCAGGTCTGGCGTTCGGATTGTGAATTTGAACGGCAGGTCTGGACGGGGCGGATGATGGACCGAGAGGTGTGGGAAGGGTACGGGGACCCCGGCCGCGTGGATGGGAACGCGTGTTATTGTCGTTGGGGTAGCAGTGGGTGCGGAATCTGTGTGCCGCTGCCCGAGGTTGAGTTGCCGGAGTGGGAGCTGATGACGCCGGATGAGGTTCTAGAGGAATCTCATGTCCTGGGGTTTATGCGGGAGGCTTTGAGCAAGCTCCCCGATTTGGAAGAAGCCGTGAAGGAGTATGTTGGGAAACGCGTTTTTCGTGTTGAATATGACGAGGCTACCTAGTCTATTACAAGGGTTAGTACATAGGAATACGAAAGGCTTCATTCGTTGTTTGGCATGCTTCATAGAATGTGGTGTGTATGAAATATTTGTATGTTTTGAAATGAAATGCCTATGATGCTGTGCTAATAGTTTTGCTTTTTAGAAGATTTCTCTGTCGTCGTACGCCCTGACACTCTCCAAGTAGTTCTTGACCTGACTGTAATCCTTGCACACTGAGCATCTTGTTAGCCTTCATCTGCTCTTCTAGATCTTGATTCATATGAGAGTGACTTACCATGCTTCGAATCCCAGCCGTCAGAACCGCCGTTGTGATCCGGGAAGGTTGTCTCAAGACCCTCGAGAGCCATATCGGCGCTGCACATGATGGTTTGTCTCAGGTAGGAGAAGCAGTGAATCATGTGCCAGTGATGGTCATCGGGGATTTCGTGGCCGGACTTGATACCAGAGTAGGTCTGGACGACGGCGAACTGGGCGGGATGTTAGTAACCACCAACAAATTCAAGGGTGAGTCGAGGTGTCTCGAACGTACCAAGCAGTGCAGCTGGTGGGTGATGGAGGTGGTGAAGACGGTCTTCTCGGGCCAGACGATAGGAGTCGGCAGGTCGTGGTACTTGTGCGTGTCATTGACCCATTGGAAACCCATGCCGTCTGTGGTTCCATGTTAGCGATCGTATCCCTCTCATCATTCTGAAGACTAAGTACTCACAAGGCATCAACTCGTTCCAGTTGTTCAAAGTTTCATCGGTGAAAAACTTTGATGTGTCGTTGGGCGCATACTTGCCCTCATAGTCTGGCGTGAACGTCTTGATCTGCTGCGAGACTATACATTCATCAAGTCAGCAATCTCAGATCCCTCATTCTCACGTACCCCTCACTCCCCTCCCATCACGAAAGGAATCAAAACTCACAATGTCCGCTGACACCAGTCAAATCCCCACCAAAATCCCACGTATTCACCGGCGGCTTCTGCATCTGCTCTCTCACCAACAGACCCAAGATCACAACCAGCAATATCGTATCGACAAACCACCGCGACGAGTTGAGCATCGCCAGGCACCGGTTCTTCCTCCTCGCCGGCTGGTCGCGATGGTAGTCTTTAGCCATGCAGCGCCGGCATGCCTTGTCGTCGGTGCCAAGGAGTGACTCCTCGACCTCGGTGCTGCTCCGGTCATCGTGGTCCTCGAACTTGATGTTGGCGTACTTTGCGTCCGACATATCCATCTTGGCGGTTGTCTTTTGTGAGTTCTCGAATGAATGTTCTGTTTCTATTTGTGTGTGCAGCAAGGTACAAAGCGGATCAACCGGCGGCAGACAAGTCAATGAAAGAGAGAATTATCGAATCGAATTAGAAAGACTGGAGATAATCTGCAATAGCAATGCGCCAGCGCCAAGGAGAGAAGAAGACAAGGAGGAAGAGGCAAAGCCAAAACAGGTGCGAAGGGCTTTCACGCGGGCCATCTCGTTCTTTTGTTCAATGTTGCCCCTGTTTCTCTCCTTCATCCTCGCCTCCAATAACCGCCCTCGGTTCGTTACGCCGTCCTGTTTACGGTTCCCCGTCGTCTCATGTCCAGATACCACCAGAGTCTGAGGCTGAAGTTTCAGGACAGGGGTTGTCGATGTTGCCCCCAACAAGCCCCAGACTCTCTTCTTAGCCTCTAAATTCTTAATTGTTAGTGCAACTTCTCGCTCTTCAGCAGAGTCAACAGTGAGAAGAGCCTGTGACTAAGCAGTACAACGCCCGTTTCAGCGATCCTAAAGCCGCCAAGCGGCCCCCGCAGTTCACACATCCTCCCCGGACGGAGGCCCTGCAGTGTTTCCAGTCGCGTTTTGAATTCCGTCCAAAGTCACATTCTGAGGCGCGCCATTCGTCGATCCTTCGTCTCTAGTTGCCGTCTTATCCCTCCCCTTGGTCCTTTGGCCTTTTTTCGCACTTAAGTAGGACGAAAGATGCTTCTCATCTGCTGCTGAGGGACAACTTTTTTTTTTTTTTGATGTGGGTGATGCAACGAAAACCTGATCAACTTATGAGTCTCTTCAGCCGCTCGAAATAACCTCTATTCGTGCATCTACTTTCCGTCTTCCCGCCCCGTTAGCTCATTGTTGCATGAACCTACCTCATGTTTAAGAATCTGTTGGGTTAAATGACAGAGGTTTGAGTGAGATCTTGATCTAGACTCTAGAACATGCCGTACAGATACAAGCCCGCCTGAGATGATCTGCGTCGACCTTGATCAAGCTCGTCGCCAAGCCGCACATCACTTCGATACGCAAGTCGAAGCGATAGTTAACTAAGCCGTTCCTCTTCGAATTCAAAAACCAGCACTCATGAAATCTCACACAACAGAAAAGGAGAAATACTCCTTTGAAGAGATACGACAAGACGTGAATGAGTTGTCCTCAAAGTTGGCTTTCCCCAAAAGTCCCTCGCCGCATCTCGCACCCCTGCCAAGGGCCTAGACGACAAAAGTCAAATGTAGGCAGCATACTTAAGTAACTTCACTGCGATTTCAATCCAACCCAAGGGAAGTGACATAACCTCGTCATTCAATGAGGGGTCAAAATTCGGCGGCTGAGACTTTTAATTCCTTATTCTTTGCCTTCACTGCGATTTTAACCCATCCCAAGAGGGCCAGTGCAAGCTAAAGACATTGTGCGCAATGCACACCCCTCCAATCAACAGTCAGACATCAGCAGCGAGAATCTTCACTCAGCTACTGGCTGCAACAATAGGCCTGGATCCTTCGTCAGCACTGCATTCTTAGCACATCGCGAGAGTCAAAGTCAGGAAAAAAGGCATTACTGCGGGGTTTGAAGGTAGATAATTGCAGCCTGCTACTCCGTACAGCCTGTAGGAGCATTCTTCACTGCGTTTTCAACCCATCCAGAGAGAACCGAGGCAACCCAAGAACGTCGCTTCGCCCATTAAGTAATCCCGAATCGCGAGGCTGACCGTTGAATAGCCTGGTCAGATGCACTGCATTCTTAACTCAACGCAAGAGAACCAAAGCCAGACCAAAAGTCACGGGTTCTCAGTCTTAGCCCACCGGCGAGTCTGGCCTTGTGAAGAATACTTGTGCTTCAAAGCTGGCGTGTCATAAAATCCTGCTCATTCAGAGCGAGCCATCAGGTCTTCAACTTTGCGGTTTTGTGCTCAAGAGCAGGTTTACAACAATCTCAAGATCCCACCCATCAGACCTCCCGCACTTCAGCAAAACGTTGCTGCCATCTTGTCATTTCCCTTCGATCTAGACCAGAAACATGTCTCTAAATATGGGGGGGGGGGGGTTTTTTTTTTTACCAATCCTACCTCCAGGCTACCAGATTCGGTTACGATTGATAATAGCCACGTCGCTGACCCGGGCCACCTGACCTTGGTCCTGCCGTCGCTCTCCGGAATGTGGAGACGCTCCGCTCCGGGCCGGAGACGGGATAAAAGTGGATATATGCGGAAGAGCCCGTGTCCAGCAGTCAGAGAAAAATCTGCCGAACGCAAAGTCAGTAGCTATAAGCCGAAAACAGTCAAAGTTCCCCCGAAGTCGGCGAAACCGGCTACTACAGCCGCAAGTCGGAAATGCTCTTCTAAGGCTGTTATTCCGAGTGCGGTGATAGGAATGCGACGCTCGAGGTAGCACTGATTAGTACAGTAGCTTCCAGCACCTGCTAGTGCCACCTACCTTACTTTACCTCATGCACTTTCCTGGAGGCCAACCACCTCGGTTTCGGTTTTGCAATGTTGAGAAGGCACATTCTAAATCAATCACATCTAGCACCCATCCACGTCACAGATTTCAAGCAAATAGTAATGTTCAGATATCGCGGCACCAAGCGGTGCACGCCATGTATATTGACCCATTCCAAGGGGAAGAGATTCTAGTCTTCTCCCCGCATCCATGTAAATATGTACGTCATGCCGTCATAAAGGTCGTGAGAATATCCCCCCGTCGGCTCCAGCCGAGGCCAAAGGCCAAACCACCGCTAAAAAAGGGTGTAAATAGAAATTAAGTAATAAGAAAATGTCTGTCTCCGCAATGGAGAAAGAGGGGTATCAAGTAGTCTTAACAGGGTTGTATCCTCTAAACATTTCGCAAGGAAGATAGTTGTTTTCGATAAAGGGCGTGGCGGCCTGGAAGCCAGCCACGTCGGAGAACGAAACGTCGGTCTGGAACGGCCCGAGGTTCGATTTGAGCGTCCCGCGTACGGGAACAGGCTCGAAGGCTCCGGTGGTGACGGAGGTGTTGAAGAGACGGATCTGCTGATCGCAGGTTGAGCCGTTGGCGAAGATGGGCTGGTTGATGATGGTGTCGAACATGGCCAGCGTGTAGGGGGCCTTGCCGCCGCACGACGACTTCTTCATCTCGAGGGACATGTACTTGGCGCCCGCGGTACCATTGAATGAAGTGCCACCTCCGGGGGTGGCCGAGTATGCGTTGCAGTCAGGGGCAAAGGTGGCGGCGTGGACTTCGGTGCCGTACGCCTGGGAGCCGGTGACGGCAGCGGGGTTGGTGGCCGAAATCAGTTGCTCGGGTGCCCATCGGAAGGACGATTTGCCGTCGCCAAGGAGATCCAGGAAGGGAAACTCAAAGCCAGCTTTCTGTTCCGAGTGTCAGTAAAGTATCTCTGGGAGGAAACGTCTTGTACACAGGACGTACACTAAAGTCTGGAATTCCAAAGTTCTGAAACCGAATGTCGTGATCGTGGCCGGCCTGGACGACAACGGGGTACATGTCGGCGGGGAAGTTTGGCATGAGAGCCCGATATGCGCCCTCGAGAATGCCATACTGCTGCGGGATGATTTGGCGCGCAGTCGTCATGGGGATCGGAATGATGACCATGGTGACGTTCAAGAGGCCAGTGGCGTTGTTCGGGTACTGGCTGAAGATGGGGTTCGGCTGGTCGACATTCGTGCAAGCGAGAGGTGTAGCTTGGGCAGCTGTTGTCTGCATCTGGATCCCAAAGATGACCAACAAGACCGCGATGGACGCCTGGACGAGGTAGTTGGAGAGTGGCATGTTGAACCAGGAGGATAGATTATCGCGTGAGGGAAGAGAGATCTTCCTCAGATCTGGGCAAGGCCAGAGGGAAGGGAGGATGGTGACCATCTTTAAGAGCTCTGGGGACGTAGAGCTGCAAAAAGGATGGAGGAATGCCAGTGAAACATCAGTGGCTTTTGAGCTCTAATCCTGGCGGTCGATCCGGAGGTTTTGTTCTTTTGAAGGTTTACCGGTACGGATACCACGCAGCCTTTTCAAGACCGGGAGCCGCGACGATCAGTGATGGACATTCGAGTTCCCGGCGGCATTGGGCGGAGTTCGTGGGGGGCGTGCTGATGTGACGACGATCCGTCCAGAAGCCGGAGTGAGAAGTTTGAACAGGCAGGGCTCCCCCGAGATGTCTAGGTTGTCTGGAATGGGGCCAGCAGCCGGGATAAGAGCGGCAGCGGGTTGCAGAAAAGTGTGATATTGGATAATAGCAGACGGTGTGGGCGGGAGGCAGCTGCATTCACTTCAACCTAAGAGGCATCTGGGACGACGGCGCATCCCCGCACGGATGGGATGTGTTCATGGTTTGGTCCAACAAGCAAGCGACGTATCCGTGGTTTTGGGTGTGTGTGTGTTTGGATTGGACGAGAGGGATTCTCGAGGGATGGACCATGGCTCGGAAACGAAGAACCGAGTGATGGAAAGTGGACGGATGGGGTGGAGAGAGCACACACAAAGTGAGTCTTTCTGAGAGAGTGTGACACGGTGACAGGGCCAGTGCCGGGCCTTGGGAGTTCGGGAGGGAGAGAAGCCAGGCGCTCGGCTGCAGCCACAGCTCGGATGGTTGGAGATCCGGGCAGCTGGGAATGGCTCCAACGTCCCCAAGAAGACCAGCGTGACCAGCCACGGACACGGAAGGCCGAGGGACCGGCCGAGGGAGGAATCAAGTTGATTGGAGCACCGTCTCGACTTTGGGGCGGCCTAATGTTGACCACGCGACATTTGTAGCGGATGATCGTTAGCCTGGAAACGATAGAAGTATTGATCGTTCGATTCGTTCCACGCAGTCGGCCAGCGGCGTTCTTTTGGGTAAAGCCTCATCTTCCAGCCATCATCGGCGATATTGTGTGGAATGTGGTCTCTGTACACTGTAGTGGTGCTTTGGTAGGTTCGTCGTTCTCCAAATGCCACGGGGATTTTCCAATCCATGGGATCAGATGAGATGGGAGGATCCGTACGAGAGATCAAAAAGTTGACACTTGGTGGTGGCCACTGACACGCCGGTATGCTGGCATTCCTTGGTTTGCAACTCTGCAAAGAGTTCGTCGGCAGCGCAAAAGTGGCACCCATGACTCGACGGAGACAGGAAGGGCTCTGGTCCGTTGTTAGAAGGGGACGACTGCGACAGCGGCGTGTGCGAGTTGTCTTGAAGGTTGAGTGAAGATCCGAGGTTTCACATCGCCGCCAGCGTCATTGCAGCTGCCAGCAGTAGCAGAAAGCAGAAAGCAGCAGATGGAAGGAGTCAACCTAGGAGAGAGCTGCTCCCATCCCAGCTGAAGATTCGGTACGTATCTTTATTAGGTAAGGTGAACTCCGGGTATTTTACGGAGGCACTGGGGGTCCTCAGGGTCCTCTCAAAACGCTGGAACCGGGACCCACTTGGTCCGGTCTAGCGCGAGTTTTACCGTTTTGCCGACCAGCACCGCGCTGCAGACTGAGGTGCAGCGCGTGACAAGGCCTGCCACCGCCCTGCCACCTCGGAAAAAGCGCAACATATTGACCATCCATCTCAACGGCGTTTAATGTAACTTGCCAACAGCCTCTGCAGACTAATGCCTTTCATGTGTTTTAATTGCGCAAACGTTAGGAGGAGGTTCGTGATACCTTGGGTCGCATATGGAGTAGACTAAGACAAATCCTCAATATCCCTCAGATAAACAGAATAAACTCAACCTACTACCTTATGCCCGCAGCCTGGCCGATCAATGGCGGGCCTACACAGTAAAACGCGCCTTTGGGGTCCCCTTTTGGGTCTCTTGGGGCGGACACTAACGGCCGGAACTGAGCTTCCCGGCATGGGCTCATCTCCTTTCCTCTCCAGACTCCGATCTCAACTGTCAATCCTTACCGCGTAAGCTCATCGTGGCCGCAACTGCAATTCTAGCGGTGAGACTTGTGAGCGAAGGAACCTCATCACGATTCACCCAACCTCTTCCGTGACCTCTGGAACAACAAGTTCGAAAAGCTGATCACGGCGTGACACTGGTGCCTTTTTGCTCTTCCTGTACCAAAAACAGACGCAGACGCAACGCACACCCCCCTCAACCCCCGCGCGCACATCTCATCCCACCTCACCATACCCCTTACGGCCACGATCCCATCCGTATTGCAAGGGCAAGCCGCAAAAGTCAAAAAAGAATCCAACCAACCTTCCACCGGATCTGCTCCTCTCCGAAGGAAGAAAACGTCCACGGTCCACCAACCACCAGTCACGCCCGCCATGGCCTCCGTCGCCGATCAAACACCGGCCTCCACCACCGCCGCCGGTCTGCAAGAAAAGGCCACCGCATCCGGCCCGCTCAAGACGCCAATCGCCCTCCCCGTCCCGGCCTCCTCCACCCCGGCTGTCCCGGCCCTCACCGCAGACCAACAGACCAAATACGACGGCCTCCTCGCCCAAGCCCGCGCCTGGACGGAAGTGAAGTGCACCACCGCCGCCCACGCCGCTAAATCCGGGCCCCTCACCGACTCGGAGCGCCAGTGGCTCACGCGCGAGTGCCTCCTCCGCTACCTCCGCGCCACCAAATGGTCCCTCAAGGACGCCGAGAAGCGTCTCCTCGAGACCCTGGCCTGGCGCCGCGAGTACGGCGTCGAAGACCTCACCGCCGACCACATCTCGCCCGAGAACGAGACGGGCAAGCAAATCATTCTCGGCTTCGATAAGGAGCGCCGGCCCTGTCACTACCTCAACCCGGGCCGCCAGAACACCGACCCCAGCCCGCGCCAGGTCCAGCACCTCGTCTTCATGCTCGAGCGCGTCATCGAGCTCATGCCCGCCGGCCAGGAGAAGATTGCCCTCCTCATCAACTTCAAGACGTCAAAGAGCCGCGGCAACACGGCGCCCGGCCTTGGGCTGGCTCGCGAGGTGCTGCATATTCTCCAGACGCATTACCCCGAGCGTCTCGGCAAGGCCCTCATCATCAATGGTGCGTTTTACTGGAATCCCGTTCCATCCCCATCTCCTCTAGATCAGTTCACGACAATACTAACAATTGACAGTCCCCTGGATGGTCAACGGCTTCTTCAAGCTCATCACCCCCTTCATTGACCCCATGACCCGGGACAAGCTCAAGTTCAACGAGGATATGCGCCAGTACGTGCCCGAGGAGCAGCTGTGGACCGAGTTCAGCGACGGCAAGCTCGAGTTCGAGTACGACCACTCCGTCTACTGGCCCGCCCTCAACGGCATGTGCAAGGAGAAGCACGACGCCCGGACGGCCCGCTGGGTTGCTGGCGGCAAGCAGATTGGCGAGTCGGAAGACTACCTGGGCGGTGCCGTTGAGAAGGGCGTCGGCGCGGAGGCTGTTGCCCCGGCTGTTGCTGCTGTTGCTGAGGCTGCTCCAGCTACGGCTGAGACACCTGCCGAGGTCAAGCTTGCCGTGTAGATGAGGCTGAATAGGTAGCAAGTGTTGAACGGAGAGTTTAGAGGTTGGCTTGAATCATTACAACATTCATAGACAGAGCAAACAGGCGCTCAAACTAATGGCAAGATAGAGGTACAGAAAGGTAGATTTTTGGGTGCTCCGCGGGGACATTGAGACGGTTGGAACCTTTCTTGGTGTTCCCCGTTACATAGATCTTCTATCATACATATTTTCCAATTCGATTTGCTCGTGATGACGTTTGCAATGTGATAGACGAAGTTTCCATGAGGTTAGGCAAGGTACGGGAGGTGAGGTTCATGAGCTCTTATCGTTATCGCCGATAAGGCTGACCCAATCGCCTCCCCAATCGCAACTTGGACATTGAAACCCACAGCTCCCGCCAACCCTGCAGCCTTTCCATAAACGTCACCCCTTCTCGGCGCAAGCGCAACACCAAAGCTGCTGCCGCACACCGATTCTCAGCGCGTGGAGGACAGTTCCAGTCAGTCTCAAACCAGGTGCATCACCCTGTATCTCAACACAACCACCAAACAGCACTCTAGGCACCAGACACACACATACACCCACGCGACAATGGCGAACCTGCCGACGACGAAGAGCATCCCGGGCAAGGAAACGCCCGGTCTGCGATACCCCTCCAACGGCAAGACAATCTACCACCGGCCCCTGAACCGCACAAAGACGGCCGAGCTGAGCCAGTCCAGCTTCGCCTACCTCTTTAGCGAAATGGTCTCGTACGCCCAGCGCAACGTAAAGGATATTTCCGAGCTCGAACAACGGTAAGCCCCCCCGGGCTTTTGTCTTCCCCTCTACCGTCCAAGATCCAAACATCCACTAACTCTTGCCCTTAAACTCTTCCAGACTAAACGTCCAAGGCCACTCAATAGGCCTCAAACTCCTCGACCTCCTCCTCTTCCGCGAACCCCCGCGCACCCAGACCCGACCCCTCACAATCATCACCCTCCTCCACTTCATCAAGCAGTCCTGCTGGCAGCACCTCTTTGGCCGACAAGCCGACCGCCTCGAGAAATCAGCCGACCCGGCCAAGCCCGACGAGTACATGATTATCGACAACGAGCCCCTCGTCAACGCCTACATCTCCGTGCCGCGCGAAATGTCCCAGCTCAACTGCGCCGCTTATGTTGCGGGTATCGTCGAGGGTATCTGCGACGGGGCCGGGTTCCCTGCGAGGGTGAGCGCGCATAATATTGCGGCCAAGGATGAACACGAGATGTGGCCTGGCAAGACGGTGTTTTTGGTAAAGTTTAGACCTGAGGTATTGGAGAGGGAGGGGTATCTTGGGAAGAGCTGAGCTGGTCGAGCCCTTGAGAGAGGTGGCTGGTTTGATGGTGGTCATTGGGTGAGGAGATGACGGGGTATGTTGATTCACGGCGTTTACTGGAAGGGCATGGACGGCGTTTGGGCGATGGGAGATTTCTCTGGTGCATCAAGTACCTTACATATCATTTGAAGTGAATTTCTAGGAAGACTTCATAGCAAACAAGATCAAGAACCCTTAAAAGACCTCAATAGTATTCTTGCACCAGCGATGTGTTCACAGGAGCTACGAAACTCATAAAGCCCTCTGCGTCAATAACGCGTCTCCGGTCCAAGGGTCAAGTCGTTCCCCCTCCAAAGCAATCTCACGATGCCACCACTCCCCAAGACTTCCCCTACCTCGTCCTCAAAATCAATGCCTGGGTATCCCATAACGCCAAAGAATATCTTCCACCCATATAGAGCCAGCCCCCTCCCTCTTCGTCGTCAACCGCGATCGCACATCCTCTACCGCGGCAACCTCTTCACACCACCACCACCAGCACCCCCAGAACTCCCTCCAGCCCCAGCCTGCCCCCCAGCCGCCGGCGGCCCCCGATTCATCAACCCCGACAGCCCCAAATCCTTCCACGCCGCCTCCCGCTGCCGTTGCGTCGCCTTGGTAATCCCAAACGCCGCGTGCTGATCCGGCACCACGTCGTCCTCGTCCTCCGGGTTGATCGGCTGGTGCTGCGGGGGCACGTAGACCTCGTCGTCCGGCAGCTTCTCCTTGCAGAAATCCTCAAAGAGATCGGCGTCGCGCGCGCGGTGCATGTGCACGTACGTGTGGCTGGCGTCCTTGTTCTGTCACGGTGGCGCAGATTTGTCAGTTACTTTTGGGGTGTATGGATTTAGGATGGATGGAGAGGGTGGAATATGGGGACGTACCAGGCCCATGACTGTGGGTTTCGTTTAGTATTCTCGGCTTCGATTTTCGTTGAGCAAGTGATTGGAGGTTTGTGTGGAGTTGGCGGCTTTCAGTTTCTATAATGTAGAATGGTAGGTCGTGTTCGTGGAGTTGGATGCAATGTTGATGTTCATGGATGGGATCTCAAGCTCCCCCACCATTCGGCAGATCCCGGGCAGGGATCACCTTGCGCTACGGCAGCCTTCTACGAAAAGGATCCACTTGACCCTGCACCACTGCACACCCATCGACAACTTCACCAACATCAAGCTAGGTTGGCTGTCAGACGCCCCAATGTCTACCATCATGGGTATTGTTTCAACATTGGGATTGATCACGGAGATGGAAGAGACTTTAGAGAATCTCGTTATCAGAACATATGACAAAACAACTTCAATGGAGTAAGAACTTTTCTGAATTTCAATTCTAATAAGAGTACTCTGTCTACTTGCTGCTGTTTGTTCTGTAGCTCATCCTCCTCGGGAACCTTGTTCTATGGAGCCTCTGTAAACTATCTCTGGAGAAGGTCGCCTCGACCCTTCCTCTAGTTGCCACGCGTGACCAAGACGTAGACTGAGCGTTTCTCGTTCCACCAGTACCCGCTCTTCCCATTCACAATGCATGTTGTTTGAATGGGGTTCATCATCCGTGCAGTTGTCAACGAGAAGTCGATATTGTGGATTCCGCCAGATGCGCAGACGATGGCCTTGCATGAGCCGTGGGTTTGGCTGAAGCAAGTTCTGTCGGCCGATACATCAGCTCCATCCTTTTGCCCAGATTGTATCTTTGCGAAAAGGGCTGGGCAGTCAAGAGGGCTTGGTCCAGGTATCTATCTCTCCGTCAGCTCTGTAGTATCTACGGCGAGTTTCCTATCTTTTCAATGCCAATGATACAGCAGTAGAACAAGATCCATGCATTGAGGGATAGCAGGAAGCATGATCTAGAGAAAGTGGTACAGGCAGACGGGAAGAAATAGAAGCTCACATGATTGCATCCCCAGTTATTGCCAACACCAGGAATCATCTTGGAGATGGCAGAACTTGCGTCAATGGCTGTTTCGTGCTTCAATGTCTCGAAGCTTGGAACATTGTGAGACCTCGGTCGGATCTCTTCGTGGTGTCGAGGCGTGATGTCCTCATGTTGCCGAGGGTTGACTTCCTCGTGGTGGCGGGGTTTGATGCCAATGGGGCTGGCGATGCCAAGGGCAGCCATTATCAGAGTGACGATAGACAGAAAGAACATCTTGGTGGTCGGATTACTGATGCTACCGAGTGGTGTGAGTCCGAGTGGAAAAAATGAGTTGAAAGGAATGCTACCAGAAAGAGAGGTCAGCGTCTGGGGAGATGGCTGTGATGGGTATGGCATGTGAACCAGTCGTGGTGTAGAGATGGGAGGGCGGCTGTTCAGCTTTTTGTAGGAAATCAGGTTGATTCCATCGAGGTCATCTGCGGAAATTGCATCGTATTCATCGGCCTCCTTACCCCCTGCCCTTGGAACCTTCCCAACCCATGCGGAAGTCATCCATCAGGTCACACATACCTCAGTCAGGCAACCGTTTGCTCTCCACGACATTAGAGGCAGGAGCATCTTTTCCAAAGAAGGAAAATGGGAGGAACGGCTCAGGCTTCTGGGCAGCGACGTCTTGATGCTAATCCGCAACACGGGGTCTGAGAAGCATCTTTCACGATGCATATGCGGTAGGTACACGAGGTCTCGGTTCTTTCTCTCCGGACCGATTTTACGTCTTCGCTACGTTACACTAGACCATTCCACATTATCTGATGGTGCTACTCGTTAGAAAGATCGAGTCTATGATCCTCCTCCCTGTGCAAGATGAAGAGGGCTTGCCACGCGATCATGGCCACCCAAATTTGACCGGTATGTCGTCACCGCCTTCCTCAAAACCCAGCTGAAGAAGCTTGAAAGACACCACGTTGACGTCTCGTGTTGCTGAACCATGTGCACCGTTGCAACGTGATGTCTCGGTTGCCAGCAAATTGGAAGCCCTGTGATGCGCATTCCCAGGTTCAAGGTCCTCGAGCTCTCACACCGACTATTCGGTCAGGGGCTGAACACATGAGGATGACCTCGTCGAACACCACCTTGAATGGGGTATTCTTCCTCTTAAATTTGAACTTCTAAGTTTGGTCATCTTTGATCCAGGTTTCTAACGCCAGGTTGTCTCTTCCTCCACTTGATGAGAGCACCCATATCTCCAGGAGCACCTCGGAGCATCCCAGACCTAGAACAGGAAGGCAAGATGCCTCTACTTCTCTTCATACCTGAATATCTTGACCGGTTTCAAGCGACACTGTGCTTTTATAGTGATGTTAATAGATGCTTTCCATGCAGTTGAACAACTGAAGAGAGTTGGTCTCACGTACGAAATGGGCGACCTGTTGAATTCGGCGAGGATCTGGAGAGTCGAGACGTACGTTCCCCACGAAGAACGAAGCGCTCGCTCTACGCATGAGTACGTACAGCTGGTCAGCGTAATTTGTAGACTAGTCGTGGTGAAACTCTATTGCAATGAATCCTGTGCCAGCAGCTTGCCAATAGCCACAATTGTGCGTCGAAAAGAGTCCAGAGCTAACAGTATTTAAAAGACGATGATCTGCTTGCCCTGAACTTTCGATTACTTTGTGGCCATTTGAACACACATTCAAGTCTACCTAGTCCAAAAAGCGGCGTACAGATTGTTTCATCCTTCGTGAGAGATATGCCCCTGCTTGGAATCTACGTCTATGCTTGGAGACATCTACAAGTGTGGCGACCGGATGAAATTCTAGACGCTGTCTGCTTTCTCAATCAAGGTCTCCTTGATCTCTAGTTTCTGTACACAAAATCCAAGCGGATTAATGGTTTATGCGACAACAGGTAAGACTTCTAAGTAAGGAGGGGAGTCACAAGGGAACCACTAGTTCGATAGTTGCCACGGAAGGAATTTGATAATCCATCGCTTTGCTCGCGCCGAGAACGTATGTGGAAATGCTATCTAGGAAGAGCTATAGTAAAAGTCTTCTCCAAACACACTATAGGATAGCCATATACAGAGAGGATGACATTGAAAAGCCAAGTAATTACTAACCCTCCTGCCTTCGCTCATCTAACTTCATTCTGAGCCTCTTAGCCAGGTACCAAGCACAAATAAAAGCTACAGCGAGAACGAAAGCACCCCCGGCGCTAATGCCTACCAACGCTATGATATTGAGTATCCCGAAATCGCACCGGCCTGGGTCTATCGCAACTGGGTCGTCTCGAGGTAGAAGATACATCCTTCCAAGCTAAAACGAATTAGATCTAGCAATCAACGACATTACTTGGTGAGAGGTGCGAGTGATAGTAACTACTGCGGGTAATGACAAGCCTGGGATATAATCCTCACTTTGCGTCAAAGTCTCGCCGGCGCCAGCGCAGCCTTTCTTGAGATTCTCGTAGTTGTGTGAAGTCTGGTTGTATATTCGTTGAAAATGTATTTTTCAAGCTGAGACGAGTTAGATCCATGGTCAATGCTACCACTCAGTGAGAGGTGCGCACGATATTAAATACGGTAGAAGATGGCAAGTCTGAGGTGCAATATTACCTGGCGTCAAACTCCCGGCGCCGGTGCGGTTTCTCTCGAACTTCCTGAGTTCGTTTGTATGTGTTTTCTGGTGATGTATTCATTCGGCTGACTGACTGACTTTTGATGTATTTCCTCGTCCGAGTATTCCATCGAGTCGAAGTCATATTTTGTAAATATACTGTCTCATCACAACAAAGCATCTCCTGTCCACAGAACAGCGTCGCCCCCAGACCAAGGAAAACACCACCACCCACAAAGGAAGCGTAATCACCTGCGCATTCATCCTTTGACTTCTTGTTTACCCCCAACATTCTCCACTCACCCAGACTGTTCCTATTCTTTACGCTTCTTCAACGGATCCTTCCAGACTTTCTCTCTCGGGCAAGCACGACACAAGCAGATGTGTTTCGGTCAATGAGGTGTGGGCCCTGTTCACCATCACAAGGCCCTCACTCACTTCGCGATGGACCAAAAATACATCCCACGCGACTTTTGATCACACCCCTTTCGGTGAACAGCAGACTGTCTGCCTCATCCTCATCCTCGACCTTGGCCTCGACCACGTAGGGCTGCTCTGCCGCACCTCCCCTCTTCACAAACACTCACCTCCCACACACAGCCATTGTTTACTTTGACCTCCCACATCCATCCACACTTTTCCTTGAGCAGAGGTGAACTTTACATTGTCAATTCCATCACCCGAATTTTCCGCCCAAAACAAAAACCAAGACGACGCAAAAATAAAAAGGCAGGGTCGGGGGAGAAGTACATCGCTCAAGAAGGAGACTGCGATCCTTCACCCCGTCTTTCACCTCAACCACCTCATCCCAAATAAGTATTTCTCACCTCAAATTCCCCTATCGATCTCTCACCTGACGACCACAACAATAGAAATCGCCCTCATTGTCAGCAGTAGAAAGAGATCCAATTCATAATTCTTTTCTACCATCGCTCTTCCCCCAAACAAAAACATTACAAAATATCACGTGCGATCGTGCCAGTAGGTGATTTCTCCTTCTCACCCACTCACACTTCCCCTCCATCTCAAAAATAGTAACAACTCACCATCTTCTAGACGGAGCTCATTTTGCTACCGTTTTGGCACTTCTGCTAGGTTGCTGTTGTTTGTCCAGCATTTTGCAGCCTACAGCTACACATACAATACCGGCACATTTACTGGACTTGACTCGACGCGACACTGCGATATTCACAGCTCATAGCTCACGATACCTTCTACCGATCGTATACCCCTATACCAAAACGAACAGGGCAGCATCATACGCACCTCCAAGGCTCACACTACCCCTTCCAGACATACCTAGAGCCCCTATTCTACTAACCAAGATGGCTCCCTCAGCCCTTCACTCCCTCCCCTCGCCAACCATAACCTTCAAGCCTATCCTAGCAGCATTCACACAGCCGCCAACAGCAACCCCAACAACGTTGCTCACGGCAGTCGCAAAGCTCATACCCCGAACTGCCATGAACGTGTCCGTTTACATCACCCAGAACCCCTCGGCTTCCCCAGCACCGACCGACGCACCGAAGCTCAAAGATCCAGTCTACGGTAACCTCACTTGGACTTTCATCGCCGTCCCCTGCGTTCCCGTTATCGTCCTCGTCTTCTTCATCTTCACATGCTACCAGGAACGCCGCCGCACCATCAAGAACATGCAGAGAAATCCCGATATTGAGATGCAGACCTTCCACAAGTACTGGTTCCCCTGGCGCGAGCTCGATAAGAACGAGGTCCCTAATGAGGTAAGTGAAACCACCAAGAACCTGTCCTCCTCCCAAATCACATCCCTTCCCGTTGGTGCCCGAGATGGCCCTGTTGGCCCTGGAGATGCTGCTGCTTCAGCTACAGCCAGCAGCATACCCCCAGGCATCATTACCCTCGAAGACCACTCCCGTCGCAAAAACCGCCGATGGGCACCGTGGCACCCAAGTGACGGAACCCAGATCCCCCCCATAACCCTCTACGATAACCCCCCCTCCTGGGGCCGACGACACCTCTGGTCCGAAGTCATGGCGTACCCATCTCTCCTGACGCCTGGCCTCATCCGACGTCGAACAAAGCCCCCCAAACCCGATCCCGCCGACGATACCTCCTCCTCATCCTCCTACTCCTCCCCTCCGAGCCCGAACGCCTCTCCCCCGAGACTGTGTACCTCCCCGAGAACCGCTCCCCCTCGAACCCCCGGCGGTCTACCCATTATCACGGAATCCGGTGAAGGCGAAATCACCTCCGCCCCGAAACGCTCCCGATTTGCAGAGGCCACAACTCAAATCATCGAATCCCATCAACCCGAACCCGAACTCGAACACGGCCCAGAACGAGAAACTAACCAACGCACCCAGATCTACGGAAGAACAGGCCGCCGTCGCCACTGGGGCCACGAAGACGACCACCCCCGCGAGAACCAGAGCTCCAGCTCCAGCTCAGGCCATAGTTCCCGCGAAAACCAGACAGACACATCAGACGAAGCAGACGAGAACGAAGAAGGCAACAACTCGGACGCAGACTCCATCACAACACAGAAGCCCATCCGCCCGCCCACCGATATGCCCTCCTTCGGCCGCTTCAAAGACGTCTCTTCCTCTACCGCCACTGCTCAGAAGAGCAGCACCACTGCCACCGCAAGCAGCAGCGGCACAGGCACAGGCACAGGTACCTGGGGGGCAGGTCACATCCCCTCCTACTACGGCGCCTCTCCCTCCCCGGCGGAAACACACATCCAGCAGCCACGCGGACAACCTCCTCCATCCGCGAACGCGTCTATCTCGGCAACTCCAACCCAAACCGCAGCAGCAGCCGCCGCCGGCGCGGCAGCCCTCTCCCGCCGAGCCCACGCCTCAACATCGCGATCCCCCGCCGCAAACTCAGACGGCGTCTCCCCGCTCTCCAGCGCGCGCTCCTCCACCGTCACCGTCACAGCCGGCGACGCCCGCCGCCGAACAGCAAACACCGTCTCCAGCATCGGATCCGAGCCGGGCTCTCCAACGCGCATGGGCAGCGCTCAATGGCGTGGCCACCTCGTGTTCGATTCTGACGAGGAAGAGCAGGGCGAGGGCAGCAAATCCGTCCGCGAGGGTGGTTCTGACAACAAGATGGGAAAGCACAGCAAGAATGTCAAGCCCTAGAACAGTGAGACCTCTCCTGCTGATGCCGGTACCACTCTTCTTCTCGCTGGAATTGACGAGAACATGACCGCGAGCAAGTCCACGTCCAAGGGCAAAGGCAAGGCTGTAGCCAAGGACAAGGACAAAGGCAAAGGCAAAGGCAAGGCCAAGAGCCAGTGCAGATCTAAATCCGACACTGTCGTCGGAGCCAAGACCGACAACATCATCGCCAAGACCAAAGCCAAATGCACCTGCAGCAAAAGCAAAGGCAAAGGCAAAGCCATACCCTCCAACGCCAGTGGCGGTGCAGCCGTCGTCGCTGAATCATCCACCTCCGCGTCCGCGTCCTCGTCATCCTGCCCTCGGCACCTGAGCCTCACCCACAGCTCTGCCGCCGTCGAGGCATCCCAGTCCACCCAATCCACCTCTACGGCACCGGACGTCCGAGGCCCGGCGACCAAGAACAAGGCCCATCGCAGATCGATTACAGAGTGGCCCCGTGTCTGCTCCGGCTGCGGCCAGGTGAGTTAAAAAGTCCCCCGATCCAATTCACACTGTCCATTCCGTCTACTGTCAAGTGAACGAGGCGAAAGGGTTCAGTAACAACTGAGACTTTTCGGAAGACGTGCGTAGGGGGGCAGGGGAGAAGGAAGGAAAGCAAGAAAGAGAACGGAAGGAGAGGGTGAGTGGGCGGCCGAGGTGTTCGCAATGGACAAGGAACCAACCGACGATGAAGGCGATGCCATCACGACGAACACACTTCCTCCCGCATCCAAAATCTTATTCATCCCACCACCATTCCCATCTCATCGAAAAGAATCCCACCTTTATCGTTGGTACGCCGTACTCGCTTGGCCCGGGACCCGATCACCATGCCAAAGATGGAAGTCCATCCTTTTCAGTTCGCCATGGGTATGTCGACAGTAGATGATGACTGGATGGTTCAAACTCTCTTGAACCTTTCTTCTTCTGCCTTTCGCTCTCTTCAGCCACAATCCAGGACAAGGTGATATCCCCGTCCCTCCCCCCCTCCATCACCTTCCTTCTCTCTCTTTTCTCTCACAAATAGCAAATTTTCTAACGCGTTTGAGCCTCTGCTATAGTTCCCTCCTCCTTCGCTTATTACACCTTCCCATCCTAGCCGACATCCTGGAGTTGAGATGGAGTAAAAGACCGCGGAACTTTTTCTTTCCTTTTTCTTTTCTGAATCTGCGTGTGGTGCGAGAGAATTTTGCGTGTGTAAGGATTATTGTATGCCTAGGTACCAGGATAAACGAGGAGTATCTCTTGAACTTTGCTGAACCGTGTCGGGATCCGGCACACTTACACTCTGTAGCCGTCGGTTTGTCCTCCAAGCATGAACGTGATTGCCGAGGCGGTCGGCCTGTGTCCTTGTCAGCTCGTCTTTTCGTAAGAAAAGAAGGGTCTACTCCAACCAACGTGCGTCGTTTCATGGCAATCACTTTGGCCAAAACACGTAAAAAGAAGGGATGATCCATGTCCAGCAGTTGGAAAGAGACTCGGAACGACAAGAGACACAGAGAGGGAGAATGGGCAATGTGTGTAACCAGAAAAATACGGGATACCCGACAGCCAGAGCGCTTCTCGACTGCGGGGTCCCTGATGAACTCTTTGATTGCTCTCGCCTGGTACCCTAATGCGTATAGAGGCCGTCTAACAGAAGCCTGACAAAAATAATCCCACCCCAATAATCCTTTTATACCACAATCCGCAGCTATGGCGAAACCGCACGCGTCTCTCCTTGACGCAGTAAGCGTGCCTCCAATACCCTTGTACAAAAAGTGCTGGTGCTGTTCTCCCCATGTGAAGAATCGAAAAGTAGGAAAAGCCCTGGTCTCTCCGTAAACGTAGACACCAAAGTGGATTGCTTCGTGTCTCGTAGTGCCGATACCCTCGGACTTCTCACAGCCCGTGGGGTTTATCGGGAACCCCTTCTGTAGGATACTGAATCGCAAAGTGCCGCTGCTCGCTCGCTGATGGATTGCCCATGCATTGAACTCCAAAAAACGCCTGATCGTAATTATGGTGGTCCCTTCCCTTTGTTGATGACAAAGCTCGATATGAAAAGGAGACAGTAGAGAAATGATTGCCCGAGGTGGCCATCGGGCGACAGTAATAATGGGTCGTTGTATATAATACAAACTGAAGGGCAAGTGGCTCGAGCTTGGTGACAGAGGAGCGTCTATGCGGCTATGTTCGGTATGATAGTTGGCCAGCTGGCCAGATAGGTGTTTTGCGGTGTTTTGGGGTCCATTGTCGAAATGTATTTGTCGCCAAAAAGACTTGCCGCCCTCACTTGTTTCCATCGGGAGTGCCCCAGATGGGTGCGCCCAAAGGCTTGCTTACGCCAAAGCCAACGCCGACGCCGACGCCAATAACGAGGAGGCCAATGGCGACCTTCATGATGATGCGGTTCTTCTTGCTCATGCGGGCCATGCAGGCGCAGGAGCCTCTATCACGCTTTGCGGCCTTTGCCTTGGCCTTCCAATCCTGCTTGCCCGGCCATATCGTTGGACAGTCTTTCGTGGTTGTGATGCTCTTCATGGCGTATGGGTCGGAGGAGGATGTCGTGGTGATCATAGCCTCAATATCGGTATCGAAGGGGTTCTCGTTGCGGTACGACCGCGGGGTAGAAAGATTGCTGTCGCGGGGCATCTCCAAGCTCTTCTCGGGGGTTGAAGCCACGGGGGTAAGTGTGCCCGGGGTCGGGGTAATGGTGTCGGACAGCTTCGAGTACGCCGCCTTCTCGGGGAGAGCGATGCTGGCGACCGTGGTGTGGACGGCCACCTTTTCTTGAGGAACGGCCATTGTTACGGTAGGGGGTTTGGCAAGACTGGCTTGCTAACGATGTGTGTGATGGGATTGTCGTATCGAAGAACTCGTGTGTATCCAATTGCTTACTTGTCTGTCCGAAGGGGAGCAGATACAATTGCCAAGACTGCTGCAAGAGGTGGGTTAGTCAACGGCCATTGACGAGGTACAAGGGTGAATCAGGGCAGAGACTGGAGGAGAAGTTGATGAAGTAGGGTTGGAGTTGAGATCGATGGGAACCAGGTAGGTTAGAAGAACTGGGGTGACGTACATCAGGAGGCAGCTCAAGAAGTGACCTAGCGTAAAAGGAACGAAGAATGATAGGCGAAGCCGAAAGCCTTGTAGACGAGCAGCAATGGCCTGATATCAACCCACTCGAATGGTTCCAGCCAGCAGGTGAGGAAACGGAGCGGGTAGGCGGTCGGGGGCAAGTCCCAAGCCAAATGTCTTTCCACTAACAGGCGGTTTCGAAGTCGAACCCTGTGGAAGGGTCTGGTGATGTCAACCGAAGGGTGGTTGGCAGATTGAAGAGGTAGCGAGACACGGGGTGCGGAAAGGGATAGTGTGGATTGGGCGTTGAAATTGAGGGTGGAAGTGAGGTCGACGGAGGCGAGTTAAGGGAGGAGGAAGGGGAATAAGGCGTAGATGAGGGATCCGAGAAGTAGGTTGGAGGAGCAGGTGGCAGAAGTAGAGAAAGCTCGATCCAACGGGGGGTGGGAGGTTTTGGATTTGGATTTGGATTTTGAGGACGACAGATGGTAAACGGTAGACGGCAAGAGATTCTCTCCCAAGAAGAGACGAGACGAGACGAGGATGGCGAATCGCGAGAGGGACGTTGAAACCAGAAACCGAAGACCCGTTTAACAGCGCATTTGGGACGACCTTTGACTTGGCAGATGTTGCAAAGTTGAACCCTCAAAAGAGACGACACACGGCAGAAGAAGAGAAAGGCCTGAGAATGAGAGCGAACGTGCACGGGGAGGGAGGTGTCACGATGGTTTTATTAGGGATGGCATGGCATTGTGTGTATTCTTGAGTCTTGTCGTTTGGTGCTTGGGTGTGGATTCTGGACCTGGTTCAGCCAGAGACGCAGTGAGTAGGGGATAGAGAGAGAGGCAGACTGGGGGGAGTGTATTTTGAGAAGAAGGAAGAGGAGTAGTGGGGTGTGTGTACGAATACTCCGTACAGAAGAGCAGGTGCAAGGTCTCCATCCTTGCCATCTACAGATACAGATACAAAGTACATGGTTAGTGGCCGACGGGTGTGTGCGAGACAACCCCAAGACACACAGAGAAAGAGCAGATAGACTGTGAAAGAGCCACAGAGCCACGAGAGCGAGGGACGAGAGTGAGAAAGGGCAAATTGGTGAGTGACAGACATGGGATGGACGAGCTAGACGAGATTGTGGATGTGCATCGCGCAGGGAACACCAGAATACGTGCCGGTACGTACCCCGCGCTACTGCAGAGAGAGGGATACGTACCTATCTTTTGAGGACCCTCTTGGACCTGCCTGCACTCTGGGGGGGGAAGGAGGAGGCAAATGGAGGCACTGGAGCCCTGGAGCAAATGGAGCAAATGGAGCAAGAGGCTAGAGCAATGGAACAAGCCGGGGTATGCCATTTGGGGTGTCAATGGGAGTGGAAAGAGTCGAATGGAGCCAAGATTGCGCCGGGCAGGGGCACCATGGGGACCCAGGCCCGGCTGCTATTTTCTCTTGCAGCAACGTATTTTCTCTCGCCTTTATTCTCTTTCTGCCTTTTTCCTACCCTGCGCATACATACTCCGTACACTACGGAGTACGTAGTACGGATATGCTTCTGCACTATCAATATCTGTACGAATAACTGTACGATATCATGCCTTGCCGCATTCTACTGGGGCTAAATTGACCGGGCCAGACAGGTCCACCAGCCAAACGAGGGCTGTCACTGTCAGTCTAGCTCTGACGCCAGCACCAGCACCATCATCGGGGATCACAGACTGGTTTGCTCTAGAGAGAAAAAAAAAATGCCTTGGATCTGGGATACCGGGATATTCTTCCCTCTACCTTTCTTACTCGGTTTTGTTTCTTGTGCAGGGCCCAAGGCTGGAGCTTGGGACACTTGGGGTTTAGGGGACAGACACACCACACTGACCTTGACACTGACACTGGACGGCGACAGGCGGCGACGAACTCGTCGAGAAGAATCGGAATCGCGCATTGATGCCGTCGAATGTCGAAGCGATGCGAGGTGAGGCGATGCGATGCGATGGAAAGTATCCATTCGTGTACTCTTGCCCTCTAAATTTTTAACATTTTTTATTTTTTTTGGCCTTTGGTCTGCTTTTATTCTTCATTCTATCTATACGAGGCTTGCCATGGCCTTCCCTTACCTTTGAACTTACCTATGGTTCCACTGCGTATGAGGCCAGGTACACATTTAGGTACCTCAGATGTTTCTTACCTAATACACCGGCTGCAAAGCCCGTAAATCGGACAAGATACGTACTTCCACGGCTCCAGTCTCCACGAGGGGAAGAGGAAGGAATTTCGAGCCAGCTGAACCGGGGTCACACACACAGATTCGCAGCCCCCGTGCCTGGCCCTTTGCTGCGTACAAAGTAGAGTCTGCAGACTCTAACTAGTGTAGTAGATTCAGAGACTGGCTTCATTGTTGCAACCTCTATCGCGTTACCTCGGGCCAGTCCAGACCACGCATCAGGTCTGCAACCAGATCAAGTCTTGCCCTCTTTCAGTCCTAAGCTGGCATGGCCGGTAGGGCTACTGGAGCTGCCGACCTGCAAGATGGCTCACGAGACCAGCCGCACAGCAGAGACACACACAAACATATGCGCCGTAGACGGGATGAAAGAAGGGAGCCAGCGGCTGACAGGTCTGACCATTGCACATGTGGGACGTCCGTGTGTGTCTCTCTTCGCCGCTCTGTGGCATCGTAGGCGTGGGCGCGGGCGTGAACGTGAGCGGTGGACGATGACAGCCGACCAGTCGTGCCAGTGAACAAGAAACCAACTTGGACGACCTGGGCCATTTCCCCCCCGCCATGCGCCGTAGCTAGGGCCGAAACAGGTTACTCTGAACCGTGTGCTTGCGGGGGAACTACTTCCAAGGTTCTTCGTCTTCTTCTCCATTATTATTATTGCGACGGCCTGTGCCTGTGCCTGTGTTGTATTGTGTCTGTGTCTGTCATCAATAAGTCTGTTGGCTTGTCAGAGGGGCGAAAAAAAGATGTAATTTATTGGTGGAAGCAAACAAACGGTCAATCGACGTCTTCGTCCGCGGCAGATGTTGGGTTTCAAAGGTTGATTGGCGGTGACTGAACCACCCAGAGTAATTGTCAGAAGGGTAAACCCAATTGCATCTGCCCATCGTAGCGGCAGCCAGCCGGGAGAGGACAAACCGACAACGATCAGAGTAGGTACTTCGTACAGCGATGGCAGGAGACCAGCCACGCGACCATGGCGGTCAGCCATTGACTTATAGATGGCCCGTGATGAGTCAATTTTGCAATGATCGACTTTTTCCTGGAAGTTGTTTGCTGCTCGCGAAAGACATTGCTTCCATTTGGTACGGACTACGGAGTAGTGGCTGAGGTAATGTTGAGAAGACCAGGAGCCAGAGACGGCTTGCACCTGCCAGTGGCACCTGCCCGGTGTGCCTCAGTGCCTCAGTGCCTCAGTGCCTCAGTGCCTCTTGCTTCGCAGTTGGGGAAGAAGGTTGCAGTAGCGGGATGGCGGTGGGTTGGTTCGCGCTATGGAAAGCGCCCCCGGTCCTGGCTTCCCTTGATTGGCAAAAATGGGGTTCAGGTTCCATCTGCGCTGCCGTTTTTGGGACTGGCTTCTTTTTTTCACACAAGACACTCCACTAGCGGGAATCTCCATGCGATTTTTACGTGTATATGATTGGCTTATCTAGGCTCCGTGCTCCTGGTGTCAAAGACGCTTGAAGCGGGAGGCAGTATCCACTTGTGCTGTCCATGGTTTAGTGCATATCTGCATAAAGTACGTACCCCTCACTCAATTCATCCTCCAATGCCTCAGCACCTTGTCGTGCTCATCTCTCAGGTCCGCCAACCTGGAAGTCGCTCCCCCACTGGCTGCCGCTGCCGTTGCTGCTGATTCTCCAGTCTTCCTCATGCCATCCATGCATCTCGCAGCTGTCTGCCTGTCCTTCAATCTTTCGCCGTGTTTCTCACCAGGCCTTGCGCCCCAGATTTCCTCGCCATACTTTGCCTGCTCCCATCATCTACCTGCTGCCGCCCCTCTTCTTCACATGAATCCTCGTCATTCTTTGCGCGTGTTTGCGGTGTGTTTCCCCTCATCTTACATACTTCAGGCGTCCCGGTTCAAGCTAGTTAGCAGCCAGTCAGTAACCACAAGCCAACTTCAGGTTGACCAAAGAGGCATTGCTGATCATAGGCGCTGACACAGACGTTCAAGTTCACTCGTCCACTCAGCAGCACTCGTTGAGTCGTGCCATCACAAATCTACCGTCCATCTCGTCTTTCTCTAGAAAGTCTACTCAAGAAGTCTACGGTGTGATCCCCAGCCACTGCCGACGCCGTCTTGTCCCGGAAACTACCCAGACCAGCTGCCAAGGGCACCCGTCAAGAGGCTTTCAACAAACGCCACGACGGACTGCGTACGCAAGTCTTAGCTGCTGGCCGGATACGCTCTGGCTCCCATTTCAACGACTTTCACTTTGTCGTTGCACTACAAGGAGAAACCTCCAGCCGCCTCCAAGCCACCACCTGTGACGAGGCCGCAAACCTCACCTTTCTCGTCTTCGCCTTGTTGCTCCCGAGTGCCCAGCAACAGACCGCAATCTTCAATCCGCAAAGAGGTTGGCCCCATCACTAACAGCCGCGTATTCATCGTCCATCATCTCTCTCCTCCGACGCTGAACCCGAGGGAACAAGGGAGGCATCCTCAAGGCTCGAGGACCCCTCTTTCACTGCCTTCTCCCGCTTCTGGCCTGCCCTGCTAGTCAAATGGGCTCACCTATCGCGTGCCGTACAGCGTACACACACACCCCTCACCCCCGGCCGTATCAAGCGGCACCACTGCAGCAGTTCTCTCCTCTGGGTACCTCTGGGCAGGAAAAGAGGACCATCCTGGCTCCCTCTCGCCTCTTCCTTGGATAAAGACGACATCGACACCTGCGACCACCGGTGACAGGCTATAACAGCCCACAGTTACGCAGCAAGCAAGTCAGTTCAGAATGCACATTCCGTCCCGGCGCATTGGGAGTTCCATCCTGATTCATCTTGCTGCCGCCGGACCTCTTTTGCTCATTCGTTGAGACGCACGCTCGGTTCCCAATCGGGTCTTTTGGGCCATCCGGCCGAGTGGCCGTCCCCCGTCTCTTCATCGGTCCCTCCATGGCGGCATTTTTATCTCTCGACCTACCGGCCCTCAACCCAAACACCCGGCCTTCGATCTTCCACGGCCGTGTTATGCCACCGGCCCTCGCCTTTATGCAGACATATGCAACCTCCCAGCGTGGCCCATGAAAGGGTCCATGCCGTGCAGAGTACCAGCTGGCACCAGCAACAAAACATGCTAGGCACCTTGTATTGCCTCTGCCGCCTGCCATGCAAGCTCCAAGGCCTTTGGAGTTTGCTATCGCTCTCCCCGCGGCACAGGCACAGGTATCGGCCCAGATTGAAATTTTGAGCGACACAGCAGCCAATGCGTTCCCCAGTTTCCATCTTGCGCTGTCGCCGTGTCTTGAGAGAGTTCGTCGGGGAACGGTCCCCTGTCGCCTGTTACAGGATCCATATCCACATTTTCCGCCCATTTTATCATTTTCCCCCTTTCGTTGAACGCGTTGCTGTCTCCCGTAACTACCTTGACAGGCTCCGTCGCATTGAAGACGTTCATTATGTTTGGCGAAACGACCCTGGCAATCGAGTCTCTTCATGAGGTAGACAGGCGTGACAGGGTCCATTCTTGACTTTGCCGCCCCCAGTCTATCCTGGCCGCTTGTCTCGCTTGCTGAGAAGCTACGGAGAGTCTCCTTCTCCCTGCGTCAGTATGGATCTAGTTCGTTGTTGTTCTAAGTTTTGCATCAGAACGGACACCATCCATCGCTCCCCATCCACCCATTGCGCTATGATGATGAGCGAGAGAGTGAGACAGTACGGCTCTGATCTGAGCCGTTGGATGTTGACCGACGACCGTTGCATTGCTGCTGTCAATGTCGCATCTATCGTCTTTTTTGCTGAAATTACCTGGCTTGGATCCATATCGCTTTTCGTTCTCGCTCTCGCAACCTCCACAGGCCATTTCGTTCCTACACAATCGGCACACACCCGCGTATTCATCCTTGTTACAGACGCTGGGCGGTGCTGGAACAGCCTCTCCGCAGGTCTCTACTGTCTGGATCATCAACGTCAACATCAGTCATCATTTTCAGCCTTCGTTGTCGTTATCGTCATGGCGGACCGAACCGCGTTTTCACTTGACGAGCAGTACGAAATGTTCGCATCATAGCCTAATATCCTTATCCACTGTAATATCTCGTTTTGTTCTTTCCTACGAATACTCCTCCTCTTCCTCTGCGCTGCACAACGCAACAAGATGCCAAGAAGCAGCTAGGGACCTTTCCGTGCCAAGGCACAATCAAGTCGTAAAGCTTGTCTACGGACACAGTCTTGCGGCTTGCCAACGGTTGGCCCCATCTCCGACTGACCTGATCCATTGATGAGGTGGTTCTTCCCGTACCGCGTCCACTTTGCGCGTGGTGTCGTGTCGGCTGTCTGTCGGTCTAGTGTGTTAAATGCGACTATCGATGCAACCTCGTCCCTGAGAAGCAACTAATAATTGGGATGTAGTTTCCTCTGATAGTCGCCTGGGGGGGCGGCGCCATCTGCCCGCTTGGCCACTGACCAGCAGCAGGCGGGCCTTGGTCTGGACGCCCAAGAGCTGGCCCCGGGAGTTTGCACTTTGCAGCATACTTCGACGACATTCGGCACCCTACCTGGGAACACATCTCGTCGTCGCCGACAATCCAGAACCACAGGCTCGCCGCTAATGCAAGGCACATCCAACCAGAGTCCAGTGAGCTCACACCTTTTGATATTTCCAGAACGACGACTCCCAAGTTCCAACACAAGAGAACACCCAACCGAGAGCATGGTCCGGCCTGCTGTCACCTGCGGCCTTGTGGCATTCTTGCAGCTCTGCGGATTTGCTCTCTTGTCGCCTCATCCGCCTGCCCACCCTCCCCTTCCTTTTTTGGTGTGCCAAGTCGTGATGCCGGACGGAAGACCAAGAGATAGGCTTGCGTCTCTTGGGTTCTTTTCCGCTTCTTGGCTTTCGTGGCCAGCACACCACAATCCTATTTTGCCCGAACCACTACACACCTCCTTCACTCGCTCGTCCGAACTGGCTCGTATGCACAGCAGGCGAGTCGACTCGGTCGAGTAGTAAAGGGAAGTGGGCGAATATTGACTGACACTGACAGACACGCTGCGGTTCTATCGTGAGTCTCTGCTGTGCCTCAACATAGCAGCGGTCATATATCCCGCACTCGCCACAAGATGGCATTTTGCCGAGCGCAGGGTAAGACGACTGGGGCTACATTCCACCTGTGACAATCGTCGCACGAGCGGTTCCTCCCTCTTTCCTACCCATTTCATCGTTCATCGTTGGCTTCACAAGGTCCAACCGAGCAGAGGGGCAAAGTGAGCAGGCCTCAACACAAACGGGGACCTTGTGCCGCTTAGCGTACGTCGGCGACTCATGCACACAATGTCGGGGTGCCATCGTGTCATCCCCATCGCAGTAACCGCCCTGGCTCTTCCATGATCCATCTGATTCAAGGAAAATGACTAAGTATCGTAGGGGCGCATGTTGTTTCTGCGCGAAATTCCAGGAAGTAGCAGCGTGCGCGGGCTGGTGAACGGTCTGACATCATGAGGGGGGAATGCTTGGTTTCCTAGGCAAGTGAGACCAAGAATGAACCGATGCAAGCTCCTCGTGCTAGACGATGGATCAATGTGCGAGCGTGACAAGCCCCCGGGTCGCAGCTCTGGATGAGCTTGAAAGGCCCTATCATCCATTGGCCATGGGTGCTGGGAGGGCGGGCAAGGAGACTAGAGAAGAAGCCCAACGGGGGGAAATCCAAATAATACCACTGCCCACTGAGTCTAGCGCCGGCCTTGACACCACTGTATGCCAATGTCGTCTCTGGGCCTAGCTCCGGAGGCGGGTGAGCTAACGGCGCAGCAAGTAGTTTGTGTACTATTGTAGGCGCGGCCGGGGTGGACGAATGGGAGTTTACCCCTCACTGTCCCATTTGCGAATGGCACTGGCAATGGTTCAGTTCAGTTCAGTTTGGGGAGATCCGGTGAGAGTTCGTGGAGGAATCGAGGATGGTCCCGAGGCCTAGGCGGTCAAGGGTGTGAAGTGGTTCGGAATCAAGTCCTCTTGACAAGCTTCGTGAGGGTTTGCTCTAGCCCGGGTCGGAAATTCCGCCAGACGGTTTGGGATCAGAGAGGCGGGACATTCACCGGCAGAGGCGTTTGTGCTGCTTCTGCTGCTGGTCTCTTGACCATTCCTGTCTCGCTCACGTACATCTGTTTGGGGTTTGAGGAGGGGGGATCTTCTCACGGCGACCAACGATAAGAGAGGAATTCCAAGCCTTTGGTTGTAGCTCGACTGGTTGGCTCAGGTCTGTCCTTGTTACTTGCTGCAGACTGCAGTAGCCAGAGTCAGAATGGGAATGGCAGATGGGGTAGATGACGAAAAAGCATGACCCCACCCCCACGTGCCGTCCGTTCGAAGTCGTCTCTCCCCGTTTGAAGATCTGACTTGAACGCTGGTCAAGTCTGAAGAGCATTACCTCTGTGTCTCGCAGAGTACCAGGCTACGGAGTAGATGTCTGATATCGCAACTGCCGTCAAGAAAAACTTGGAGGGGTAGACGCTGAACAGGCTGATACTCACCAACTCACTTTACTTGCGCACTCCCAAAACATGTGTTCTGGATGCTCTCGCTCGCGTTCGCGCCGCGCGCGTGTGCTTGTGCGGTGCAACGGCTGCAGCGTCGCATTCTGGAACAGAGCTTGTGTGGGAGATATCATATGGTCCCCCCGTCGTCCCTGTCTCTCTTACACCCATGGGCCATGGATCACGAAGGACGAACTTCAGATGGCGTCTTTTTTTTGCGTCTTTGCGTCTGCGTCTCTAGCCCTGGAAGGCGAATAGGTACCGGTATCCTATCTCAGATCTGTAAGGACTGCCCTCACACCCTAGTCAGTTTGACAGAGATAGGTGAACCCTGCGACGGCCTGCATGTCGCGATATCGCGGGTATCCTCCGACTTGGACAGAAACTCGTCCCAGATACGATTCAGTCTCTCTTTTCTTGTTCTTCTTTCTAACTCTGCTTCTTTATCAGGGCTGTTTTCGTGTTACTGATAGACGATTGTGCGTTTTTATCGTGGGCTTTGTTGGGCCTTGCGATACGGGAAGATGGTAGGACATGGGGTAATGGAACAGGTTGAAGATCATGGCGAGTCAGACAACGTCTTCACTCTTGCGGGCTGACAATATCCGCACACAGACTAGCAAGTCGTTGGATGTTGGATCGTCTCTCCGGGATAACATTAACCACGTCACAATTTGATGTATCCAATCTTTGGAGGGTGTATAGCGGTCACTAGGCTGCTTGAGCCTAACATACTAAAGACTCCAGAGTTCATGTATGCTAAGGAAGACGGTAGGCGGCAGGAGCCCTTGTTGGCTTTGGTGTACACCAGCTAAACTTCGACGCCGGCGGAAATACCGACCGGGGAGGAAAATATTTTGACTTTTTTTTTTTTGGGGCTGTTATTCGGCCGGGGAGATTAAGGGCGGAGGGATGGTATCTGCCGAGGGCCGGGCGGGTAAGACGGTATCTTTTTCTTGACCTTTGGTTTCGGACGGGATCGCTTCCGGGTCCGAGCAGAGTAGCAGACGGAGGCGCCGTTGTGTTTTGATGTTTGCTTCTTGAGGACGGAGAGTATTCTGAGGCTCGGTCAGATGGGCTGAGAGCATTTTCTTCTTTCCTCTGTCTAGAATTATCGGGGGGTATGACTGGTAAAGTGCCAGAATCTTTAACCACGGGTGATGCTGCAGCTTCGTCTTCAGACCTCTGAAAGCGACGGCCACATCTCATCCAACAGCGCATATATTGATGTTGTCAATCAGTAGCGTATAGTCTTCCGGCGAGTGGGAGCACGGAGGAAGGAATGATCTTGGAGTCAGAAACTTGGGCTTTCCGCATCCGGCGAGCTTCTCCTGCAGGATAGTCTCATGGTTTGATTCAATGTGACATCTCACGCACTTAGAATGCTGACTTTCTTTCCGACTTTCGACTTGAGACGAGCTTCATGAAAATGAGGAGGCACACAATAACCGACCGGGTTGCGTTTCTTCGTAAGTAAGGTATCCACGCAAACTGTATCAATAAATTTGATGACGAGTGCAGTACAATGCTACTGTTGGAAAGCTATCTAGTAGTGAGGGGCTTTCTTTCCAATACCTTCGGTTTCTTCTTCCACGTAAATGGCCAGTACGGCCTCATCTGCGACTTCTCCGTAGACCAACCCGTGTCTTATACGCAGCGACTTGATCTCCTTGGCAAGTTCAGGCCCATCCATCCATGTAGTCTTCGGCGACAGCGTAATGTACTTCGAGTTCCGAGCCATGGTTGATACATACTCCAGAATCTCGGGCCCTGATGCCAGATGAACGAATAGAACGCTGAAACAACCACATGCTAAGAGAACCAGTGTAGACATCACACAAAGCCCTGCCCAGAACTTTGAGACTACGAAAACTTCAGAGTATGTAGCTGCTACTCCTCTGGTTGTGATATTGGGTGTGAAAGCCTCGGAATTTCTGAGCGGTAGCTGGCTTATACCTAGGTATGTGTTGAGAAGCTGGCCGAAACGAGGCCCAATCCTTTGTAGATCTATAGTATTAATAGACATAATGGGACCCAATTCCATGTGCTCGAACATCGGGTCACTGAGGTAGTATAAGAATTGGTCAAGGATGTTGGTATCGTTCCGGCCTCCCTTGACCCTGCCTGTTGCAATCGGTAATTCTCTAGAGACATAGTTGAAGGCTCGAGGAAACGAGAGTTGGGTAATCTCTTCCGAGGGATGTGGCTTTTTGGGAAGGACGTTGTGCGACGACTTTGCAAGTGCGTTGACCATTGATATGTGAGCAGTAGACGCGTGACTCCACGTATTTCTGGGATATATTGCAGGTGATCTCAATCTCATCAACCTTTTCTTGAGAGTATTTGGCTGAGTCCAAGAGTATGCGGAGAAGAGGTTTGGTGGAGCCCACCTCAAGCCTTGTTGCGTTTGCAAATATCAGCGGACCGTTTGCAATCGAGGAGTCGAATCGCACGTCCTGAATTGAGTCGTTGAACCATCACGGGTCCACGAAGCGATCAATTGCCATGCCCCATTGTGCTGAGCTGCTCCGAGCACAGGTGGAGTATTTCCTGACATAGTCATATCCATGCCATGTTGCGTTTGGATATCCGAGGCCCAATTCGCCAAAGGGCCTTTGAAGCGACGAAGGGCAGATGAACTTATCGGTGACATGAACCTGTCCCGCCTTCATCGGCAAGGATCCATTCTCAGGGGCGAGGAATCGAGAGGCATTCGGACAATTCAAGTACATGTATGCAGACTCGAGTGTAAAAGTCGTGTTTCGCTCGCAGGTGTAACTGAAAGGTATTACAGCCAGTGACGAGTATTGCACTGCGGCAGAGTCGTTCGGGACATCTTTCCAATCTGATGTTACGTTTTGACCCAGATTAGGGATTTTGACGTTGCCCCAGAGGTCCATAGGATCAAGCTTGGCTGTCCTTGGTGCTGAAACAATATTTTGTAAAATGTGCCCGTACGTGCAAGAATCACCTTGTTGTTGCCATAACTCACGCCTCCAGATGTCATCATGCTTGATAATACCGATGTAGAAAGATTGTTGAACCACGCTATGCTAGAGGGCTGGAATGATGTACGAAAGCGTGTGCTCAGCTTGCGTAGGAAAGCCTGGGCCCTGGTGAGAAGGACCAGGTGAGTAAAAGCGCGACCGTAAGGAAGTTGGTTGCTCGAAGTTGTAGAATCGTATGAATAGTCGAACCCACGGTTCTACTGCCCATTAGCTGTTCAAGGAAGCCGATATTGCTGCCCTTCTCGAGCTTCCATCGTGCGGACTCCACCATTAAACGGCCAACGATGGAGGCATAGAGAATCGGGAATAAAGTCGCGAGCTGTACATCAAGTCAGGATCGAGTAGCTCTGTTACTAAAACTATGATCAGACGGAACTTACTACGTTGATGACATTTCGCCATGCCTCACGACTATCTCCGATCTCGAATTCGTCCAAGTGCCAAATATATGTGACGATTGCACATATTATTGAAGGCGAAATTACAGCATTGTAGATATTTCTGTCTTGTTGTTCCTGCGATGAACGGCCGTACCAGATGCTTCGTCTACAGCATCAATTTGTTATACAGGCTCGGAGGGCAGGTCGTCAAGCTCAGGCGTGACAGTCCTGGAAACACTTTGTGGATCAACTGCTGGCCCGCCTTGATTTTGAGGCGAATCTCGGTCTGGTAAACTTGGCGATGTAGTCGAGCTGCAAATCGGCTCATATGCTTCTTCTTGGTAATTGCTCCGAAGCAAAGGAGCCAGTCTTGATAACTCATTCGACATAGTGTGGTGTTAGGATCCCGAGAGCCTCGTCTTCTGCGGAAACGTTGGGTCATGCTATGTACCTAAGTCGGCGTACCGGCCCTCGACTTATAGGTGTCCACGCTCCCGGTGACACAGGCTCTTCGAAGCGCACCATCATCACTCTCCAAGCAAACGAGCAGGCTGCTAACCAATGAATGAGTTATGACAGCTGAGAAAAGATCTTTCGCTGTGGCGGCGAAGCCCGAGGCAGATCTGAGACTTACGCTCCCCCGTCTGCTGAGCGGCATAGTACATACGTACCACGAGAAGGTTGGTGAGACACTCTCCGCCCGTACTGGGAGAATAAAAGTAAAAGATTGGATGCCACCAGAGCAAAGCAGTTCTAGATGTCTTACTGTACATAGAGCCCAACGACGCTAGCCTGTCGCACAACAATCTGCCAAGCAGGCCACGCGAGGCTGAGCTGACCGGATTTATCGGCTGCAATTTATTCACTAAGTCAAATATCGGCGAGTCTTGAGAAGCTGGAGTTCAATGCTCTTCTGGGGGTTTACTTTCAATGGCCTACTGAAAGGCATTCCAGATGCATATATTTGTTCCGAGTCTGCTTTTTGAGCATCAACGAGAACTTCTCTGCGCGCTTCTTCCTTCAGGGGAGTGACTGCGACGAAGCCGTCAAAGCTACACATCGATGCCATACTACTTGGATGGTTGGTTGACTACTTAAGAGTCCCTTGTTTTGGGTTGACACCACGCAAAGCACAAAACCGGGTTGGAACATCAACGTGATGATTTTCACCAGAAGTAGGTCCTTGGCGCGATTGGTAGAATATAAGAAAAGTACTGTTGCAGTCTCCTCATGCCTTAATACATCTTCAAGGTTAGATAAAGTCGCTATCCTAGAGAGGGTCTTGAGGACTCAAATCGTGTCGTAAACCCCAAGAGACCCAGGCCACTGTAGCCAGGGCTTTCCCTCCTGAGCCTTATGCACAGTCATGAATCTTTTCATTGATCAAGTTCTCTTTGATGACACGATTTAGAAGGCCACACAAACGCCATAGATTCAATTTCATCTCAGTCTTGATATTCATCTAAAGCTGCAGCAACAAGAAATAACTTCATATTTTCAATGAGCCCCCAGACCATAGATCTATCTCACACTCGTACAGCCTCGTAGCTCCAATCGGGAAATCCCACTTCAAATCCTATCAATCCAGATGTACAGTGTTGAAAAGCCGATTACCAGTGTCCGTCCCACCGCTTCCAGTGAACTTATTGTCCGACAATCGAAGTGCGACGAGACTGAGGTCTCCCTCACAGGCAAGTGGCTCCAAGACATGCGAGATAGCCTTAGCTTGAACCACACAGGCAACAACGACGATGCGAATACCCAGCTCCAGCCCCCGAATGTGGTCAACGAACTCCTTGATCGATTTGCCGCTGTTGACCACTGTCAACCAAAAGGAGCGTTTTCATGCCTCCAAGGGTCTTCTTCGTGATCTCGGTAGCATTTTTGGCGTGGATGAAGATGGCACTCGGAAATGCTTCGCTGACGCCAAAAGCCATGGGTTCGTCACCGCGCATAAGAGTAACGATGGCTGTTCGACTCTCGTCGACGAGGCGATGGCCATCGGTCTTGTAGCCCTGAACATGAGGTATCGGGAAGTATTCTAGCCCGAGCAGCTCCGTCAGAAACTCGGTGGCGAGGTATCGTCCAACATGTCCATGGGCCGCTCTGAGACTGGGACCAGCCACAGACGCGTCGCGTGTCGGAGTCATGAGGAGTTTGCTTGCACTCTTCTTAGTGGCGTGTAGAACTCGGAGGTTGGCGTAGCGATAGAAGAAAGATTCCATGAAAGCTTGGCCAGAAATCTCGACAATCGGCAACTGGTCTGGAGTGAGGCGGGGTGTGGAGTGATTCTGGATCAAAGCCTGTCTTGGAAGAAAGTCTTTGTCGTCAGTGATGGCCCTTACCAACTCAGCGTCCATGGTCTTGCTCCTGAGACGCTTCTCGCCGACGACGACGATAGCTTGGTCGGCCATCTTGAGCATGGGAAGGTCCATCGGACTGTCTCCGAAAGCCCAGACAGACACACCTTGGGCTTGGAATTGGGAGACAACAACGGCCTTAGCCTCAGGGATAATGACGTAGCAATCAGCGAAACGGCCCCCGCCAATAATCTCCACGCTGTCATCGAGGCCCTCTCTCTCCAATATCAGTTTCCAGATTTGACGAAGGCCACACTGACGATGACGGCACCCACGCCTCGATGACGCTCCAGGGCGTGAATAAGAGCCATGAACTCTGGATATAGCGAGACAGCAGAGGCGACTTCCTTGCATACTTCGTCGAAAGCGCCGTCGACGTACTCGTGTAACGACATTGCCTGGTTAAAGGAAGCAAAGGAGTAGTTCTTCTCGCTGAATAGCCTCTTCAGGGGACATACGGGGTCATCACAGAGCCAATGATCTTCAAAGATCTCTGGAACGTCCCAGATCCGATCCTGGTCATGCCTCTTCGAAGTTGCTTTAAGTCTCTCCCAGAACATCGTGCCCGTGTCCACAGCGCACAGCGTTCGATCCGCGTCCAACACCAACCCCGTATCCAACAGATCTCCGTCTCGGTTCGAAAACAGCAATAGGTCAGTCTCCTTTATTACACGACCGAGATTTTCTTCGTCTTGTGTCACAAGATTGCGCAACATGTGTTGAATGCCATTTAGACGTGAGAGACGGGATAGACCGGCCATCTCGGCATTCCGCCACTTGGAAAGGTGACCGGGCTGTAGATCAGGGCGTCTTCGACTTTCGTCGTCCTTTCATTGACACCATAGCCTGTTAGCGGACATGTCCAAGTAGAGGATGTGAGTGTAAACGCGCATGTCGCTCATAGTCCACACGATCTCGCGGGGAGAATTCTTGTCGTTCCAGAATGAATAATGACCAGTGACGATGCCAATACGTCCAGTAGTGATAGTGATACATTCATCGGCAATGAGTTGAATGGCTCGCTTTCGTTGCAGGTTTTGAGTGTCCTTGTCGAGTCGCTTGAAGGCTTCCAGACCGCCGCCGACGAGATTCCCAATGACCTCGGATCCCTCATAGTACTGGAACCGATTTCCAACACCGAAGTATGTCTTGAGATGGCGTAGGAGGTAAGATTTGCCACTACCAGGAAGGCCATAGAGGCCAACGATGATGGGCTTGTTGGTGGGAGGAGTGGTACTAGAGCTGAGTGCAGACATCCTGTTAATGTTAGGCAATGAGTTGTCAATGTGATCCAAGAGAAAGTAGCTAGGGAAGAATGAGGTTCGTTCGATAGAGGAAGTTAAGGTGGATGCAGTGCGGCTTATATACAACATCAGAGCTTTTCTCAGCTGCCATAATCTGGGAGGAAAGGGCTTCCTGGGGGTTTAATCATGAGACATATGACGGAAAGGCCTTTGGTTTGTTTGAAGCAGTAATGATGCACAACGTTAGAGGCAGGAGGTGTTTGTCCGCAAGATGGCAACTTGAGTTCCTACTTACGTAGTGGCTCAGGCCAACTCCACACTCCTGTCTGCCCACGATCCCAGGAAGTTTCCTTCTAATTTGTGATGGTGCATGTCCGGCCATCATTCGCCTAGTAGTGATTCAGCAGTGACATACATCGGCGTTTGCCTTGGGAAACACACCACAGCATTCGCAGGCCTTGAAAGCGACTCGTGGCAAGCTCGATAGCTTCAATGCTCCGAGAAACGTGGCTTTGGTAATATGCGATCAGTTAGCAACGAGGTGTTTCCGTATAAGACAGCACAAAAAACGGCAATGCGAGTTCGTTTGTTCCCGCTTGTCCCCGTCCGAAGAAGCTGCTGAGGCCAAAGCGGTGCGTGGTGTTGACGACTACCTCTCATTTCCCTTGCATGATGTGTCCTTCCTCTTTATTCAGGAAAATGACAAAAATGACAGCTGGTCTTCTGAGCTGAGGACACATAGACAGCAAAACAAGCTGCTCATGGAGAGGAGCCTGACAAACATTCGCTTTGCTCCTGATGCATCTTCTGAACAAGGACTTTTCCGAGTTGATCCCCTTTCTTGGGTTCAGATGAATCTACATTACATTACGTTTCCTTACATCGAGAGGGGTATCATATGTTCTATCATACATAAGTCCATTCTTTAAGATCCAATAACCCATCCAGTATCCCATCCATCCATCTAAATGTGTTTCGTTCCCTCTGTCTCGGATCCAACCGCCGTAACCTCATCCTCCTGCTTTAAGACCGCACCATCATCACCACGACTCAGACTCCGCCCCCTCGGCTTCTCGACATCCTCAACATCCCGTTCGCTGCCCTCGTCAAGTTCCTTCTCCTTCTCCCTCTGTGCCTCAGCAGCAACGGTAGCTGCCACAGCTCCAGACACCCCTCCAACAGCAGCTGCAGCCTCAGCCGCCTCGGCATCCGCCTTGGCCTTCTGCTTCGCCTGCTGCTCTTTCTTCACGCTCTTCCACTCCATGCCGGCAGCGCCGATGAACACGGAGCAAACCATCACCAGCGCAACCACAAACACGACCCGCAGCGCTCCGTTGTACGCCTCCAGCACTGGTCCCCTAATGTTATCAGGCAGATCCGTCAGCGATGTCGCGCCGGTGGTCTGCAGGTTGATCCCCTCGAGCCCGGGCAGCCCCCTGATCCTCTTCACAAGCTCGTTGTTCAACACCGTCTGCCCAACCGAGATGAATATAGCGCCGCCGAGAGTCTGCGAGAAGAACATGATACTTGCGCCCACGGGCACATCCTTCAGCTTGAGCACCGTCTGCGCAGCGAGATTCGGCGCCTGGAACGTCATACCCTGTCCGATACCGTAAATAACCTGGTACGCCGCCCACTTGGCTGTGCTCGTGTCCACCTCGAGGGTCGTCATCATGCCTGCGCCGACGGACATGATGCAGATACCGACCAGCATCACGGGCGTATAGTATCCAATCTTGGTAATGATGCCGCCAGATACACCTGCGAAGACTGTCATGGAGAGAACCATAGGGAGTGTGCGGACTCCGGACTCGACAGCCGTGAAGCCCTTGATCGCCTGGAGCCAGATGGGGAGGTAGTACGCGATTAGCATCATCTGTCCGCCGAGGGAAAATGCTGCCCAGGCTGCGAAGGCGATGGATCGTTGGCGGATGATGCGCGGTGGGACGGTTGCCGTGTTGGGGAGGAGGATCTGGATGGCGATGAAGGATAGAAGGAGGACGATGGCGAGGACCAGCAGGGCAATGATTCGCCCGTTACTCCACTGTGATTCATCAGCCTATGTTTCCATATAGAGAGAAATAGGTAGAGAGATAATAGGGGGTCAAGATAAGAGTGAGAGGAAGGGAAAATCGTAATACTTACAGCATACTCAACACCACCCCATTGCAACGCAAGAAGCAAGCAAACAACACCAGGAATAAACACCGACGTCCCCGCGAAATCCAGCTGCTTCAACTTATCCCATAACGAAGACTCAGCAAGATTCTGCTCCGGCGGCCTCATCACAAACGCAATCACCAACAGCGCGACGCCCCCAAGCGGCAGGTTAATATAAAAGCACCACCGCCAGGTGACCTTAGTCGTGAACGCGCCGCCCAGCAGCGGGCCGATAACGGAAGCGATCCCAAACACGGCTCCGAAGGCACCCTGGTACTTGGGCCGGCGGTGCAACGGGACGGAGTGGACCATGACGACGATGGTGCCCGCAAAGATACCCGCGCCGCCAACGCCCGCGATGGCGCGGCCGACGATGAAGGCGGCGCTGTCGGGGGCCGCACCGCAGACGGCAGAGCCGACTTCGAAGAGGACGACGGAGCAGAGGAAGACGCGCTTGATGGGGAAATTGGCGTAGAGCTTGCCGAAGAGGAGCTGGAAGGCGCAGGTTGTTAGGAGGTAGGCGCTGCCGTACCAGCCTATGTCGGTGACGGAGTGGAAGTCATCTGTGATTTGTGGGATTGCTGTCGCGATGATGAGGCGATCCTGTTGGTGGTGTTAGTCTGGTATGAAAGGGGGGTTGAGAGTTCGAAGGGAGGGGAATACCAATGCGACGAGGAACATGGACACCAAGATCGAGAGCATGATGAGAAAGAGCTTCACGCCCTTGGGATACTGGATCGAGCGCGTTGTCGAAGTGTGCGTGAGAGCATGCTGGGCGGGTTGCTGTTCCTCTTCATCGTGAATCTTGCTCGTCCGTGATGAGGCAGGCGGTTCGCTCGCTGGCGTCGTTGAGGCGACGGCGCCCTTGTCGCGCTTTTTGAAGAACATGGCGATATTTCTACTTCGTCCTTTCGTTCGTAGTCGTCCAGTCCAGGATATCCAAACCCTCTTAGCTTTTTGTCCTTCTATTGCTGTTTCCCAAAGTTGTTGTTCGTCTGTTCCCCGTGCGTGATTGACACTCCCAATATAGTATCTACCCAGAGTGGCTCACTAATAATATCACAAATCTCGAAAGCCCTTTTGATGTGAACTAGAAGGGTTGGTGGGGGAGCTGTAACAAGTCGACGATGATGAAGAGACCAGGAGGTAAACATCACATTCAAGAAGAAACCGTCATCACAGATAATTATATCGCATTTCCCCTAAACAAGACAAAACACGCCTATTCGAAACGAGCAAAACGAATTACGACCCGAAAAAGGACGTAAGAAACGTCCGGCCACGACGCAGGAAACGACCTAACACATGTCCGCATGACGAGGACGACTCACATCCAACACCCGTTCGGGGATTTCTATTCTCCTTTCTTTCATCCTCGCATCCAACCACCCAATGAAAGAGAGCCCCCCAGACCAGTCTTGCCCTAAAAGAGCCTCCAATCTTGGCTCCCGCCCGCCCGCTTCTGTCTAGCCACGCGACCTTAGACCCCAAAGATCCAAACTTGAATGAGTCTAAGCCGGTGCGACTCTGAGCCATGCTTCCATTCCCAGTTGTCTCCTGGAACGGGGCCTGGTTATGAGGGACTCCTTCGCGGCGCATGCTTACGTACCCACGCTGACTTATCCACAGGTCAGGGAAAACAATCCAACGCAACAAAAGGCCGGCCATTCTCGGGTCTTAGTTTATTGGGATCGTGAGGAAAATCATACCCGCCCATGTACGGATATAAGGCAGACGCATAGGGAGGTAAGCAATCGGCATTGAAAATGCCGACTCCCCAAATTGCCATTCCTGAACTGGTGCGGTGAAGCCTCGTTGGCAAGTTTGAACTCAGCAAACTGTCCCCTTAGTCGACGCCACGCGCAGCTGCAAGTGGAAAAGAGGAAAAGGTAGGAAAAAAGACGACACACGCATGAAAAGAGTCGTCGACTCATCGTCCATGCTGCCATCAGGCCAGACGGGGCCGAGCGGTCTTTGGTAAGCTCCAGGTGAGAGTCTGTTAGCCCGCCTTGTGTTGTGACTCTTGCGTGGCTCATCAGACAATAGAAAACCAGGCGGGCATTAAACTGGCTTAAACTAAACCATTCGAGAAACCCGAGCCACAAACCTCGGGGATTTCTACACCAAAAGTGGTAAAGACCCAACCAACCTCGGTCCCGAAGGCAAGGGTCGGCTCACGGGTCCATCGTTCCCCGACGAGCCCGAGCCTCCGGTTCTTGGTGTTATGCGTGGCACCAGAGAAACTTGGCCGGTCGTCAGGTTCTCTCAGCCCCGTCAGACCAGCGGTCAAATTTGACCTTCGTGGGGGTGATGTTCATACAACTCCACGGATACAAGTTCATGTTTCCCATCAAACGGGACGGCGGGTCGGGGTAAGTATCCCGCTCCGCTCCGTCCAAAATAACACAGCCCTCAGCCCTGAGCCTGCACATCTCCTTTCCGTCCTCCGGTTCCTTGATTTTTGATGATGTTGCTATTGACTTTTCGGATGTTACCCACCTAAAAAAAAAGACAATTATGACTCTTATGCTTCTTCTTCCTCCTCCCTCGCACGGGCTCCTTTCCCGGACCCGAACGAATCGGAGCCCGCCGCCTCGGGGGTTTTTCGTTTGCATGCTGTAATGTTCGCCTGGAATTCGTGAAATCTCGGGAATCGGAAGTACAGTTCGAGGTCCTACGGACAGGGCTTTCCGATGGACATGTCTCCATTTACGGGTAGCTCCCCTTTGCCCATCGGGCAACATTGCAGTCTTGTTCCTTGGAAGGAAAGTATCTAGTAAGACGGGCATTCGGCGGATATGATATGCGCAGCAGAGGGATCAATGCCTCTCTCTCTCTCTCTCCCATGGGCCATGAGTGATGATCCTGTACTCTGGAGTACCCTGGCCAATAGTAGAGTTGTTTCGCAAATCGCAAATAGCCGGGAACTTTGATTGCCATTCGTTGGGGGGGTTGCGACCAGGGAATAAACTGACGAGTCGTTCCATCTGCCTGTCCGCGTCGTAAGCCCATAGGATCGCATATGCATGTCTCGTATCCTGAGCGGTAGGCAGACAGGTAGGCAGACAGGCACCAATAAGACTAAAGGACGTTGTATGATTGAACAGATAGAGCCGTAAACCCTGAAAACCGTGTCTTCTCGGAATAAGTCTCCGCAAGTCGCCGATGAAGACAACTCCTCTGCCAATCTTACCCCTTTTCCGTGAGGAGGGAGCCAAACGCCCAAAGGTAACAAGTTCATTCAGCTCGACAGGGGCAGGTAGTCAATCATCATGCCAACGGCTTCCGGACTGCCAGGAGAAGGGGGCGTATGCGCTTGGTCGTTCCATAGACTCCCGTCTATTTACCATTAGGTAGCTTCGTCATTTCATGGTACTATCGTTACAGAGGTGGGAGAGTTGTCTCTTTGTAAAATCCTAACACCAAAAGACAAATCCAAATCCAAAGAATGCCCCAAGTAATGATTCCCCGTCT